TATTTATAGGCCGAAAGTGGCCTTGACATCTTCCATTTTCTCAATTATATATATAAAGTGTAGTCATAGATTGCAATGTGGAATCTTATGATTTTAAGTTTGTGGCGTCCTCAAATATAAATTCTACATCCTTTCATACATAGTATGTTGATATCTAATAAATTGCCAATGTACGTATTAAATATTGTAAATTGATATATGTAGTCACTTCCCATTTGAATGTACAAGCACCCTTCTCTCTGTTGTATAAACAGATTTTCAAACATGAAAATGTGGCCATTTAAGGCATCAAAATAAAATAGTTTTGCATCACATGTAGGTTGTAGCTGTAGAGTTGTAGACTTGTTGTTGGAAGGATGCGAGGCCAAGGGATAGCTGAGGCTCCACCGTCCAGTCCAACCGGTCCACCATGAAAAGGTGACGACCCAGCTGAAGAAAGGTGACTGATATCATCCACATTAATCCAAATTAATGTCAGTAATTTCATACAAGAATCTTTGCATAAAAAATAAAATAAATTCATACAAGAATCCAACTGTGGTAGGAGAGACGTCTAATATTAAGTTAAGTGCATCTAAATCCCAAAGTTGCAATTTGGTAGTGTTTTTAGAAGAAAATATTGAGAGTTTGCAATTGCTAACGTAAAGCTTAGACATGTACAGCTCCCCACTTGTTCATTATTTATATATGGCAGCTTTGTGTACGAAGTGTTCTTATTATATACAGTATTGAATTCAATGTAGATAGAAATACATGTGGAACTTTGCTAGATAAATTACAAAATATTGATTTAGTATAATTTGGTTTGCTAAAAGTAGTATAAACTATTAAAACTTAAGAAGAGCCGCAGCAATGAAATCAGATCAATATATAGATTCCCCAGCCATAATCGTGCAAACCTCCAACCACACTGTATAATGCATTTTCTTAAATAAATAAAAAAGATGAGATGTTATTGACACTCCAAAAATCCATCATCATACACTATCTTATCAATATATAGAGAAAAAAATATATTGTATAGAATGACTACTTTAGAGTAGTAATAACATTTCTTTAAAGAATCAAGATTTTTGTTTTGGCCAAAGTTAGAAGGAGGGGGCCGATTTTTTCACACACACACACACTACCAAGGTGTCATGAGATTTCAAACATGAAATCACTAATCTGCTAGTCAATGTCCTTGTCCACTGGGCTAGACCCCCTCTGCTAAAGAATTGAGATTTTTATTTATTACACAAAGGCGATAATATTTTATTGATAATGAGGGATAAAACAAGTATAAAAACCGAGAAATGTGCTAGAGGATTAGGTGAGTATCTCAACACCAAATGGGCTTTTAGAATAAGCGATAGTTTTTATTTTACTGATAGATAAAACAAAAGTACAAATATGTGTGGAATATGGGTAAATATTCTCTAGTGACCAAATGCAATAATATGTTAAATTGATCTGGAGAGAATCATACACAACCAATAATGACTAATCTTTCATTAAATTGCTAATCTAACATGATGACAACTACACAATTAAGGGCTCCGTTCATTCTACTCCTTTCCATGAATAAGCCTAAAGGCATATTTGGCATAATTATTTAGTACAATCCGTGGTATCTAATAAGGGAAGAATATGTATAATTGGCAGGTTTATTTAAAGTAAGATTGATAAATCGGCCAAAAATAGGAAAACAACATACGTACGAATTTGATACGTTAGTGTGTTATATAATTTTATTTTGTAACAAAAAATTATGGGTCTAAATATGTTACTATACTAAAATTTAATTTCCATTAGGGTTTCATGGTTGTCCCTTGTTTTGAGAGAAAAGAAACAAAATGTAAAAGGTTGATTAATAATGGACTTCCTTTTTGTTTCGTACTTATATATGCTAATCAAACACACGTATTACGATCCCTCAACAAAGAATTAAAAGAAAAGACAGCAAAACTATGTAGCACGAGCAACTCAATAGGGCCACGGGGAAGAGACATGATGAAAGATTACCAAAGCAATGAAAAGGAACAGAAATTATTACTTGAATCCAGAAATATGCAGAACCCCAAAAAAAGAACATTATGCAGATCTTAAGCAGGGGTAGATTAGTCATTTGGGTTCCCTTAAACACTTTTCTCCTCCCTCCATATCCACACACCGAAAAGTGAAAAATGATGACAAAAGTGGGCAATATTTTCAAAAGTAACGACAAACGACAGCACAACTCTCAGAATATTATTACTTAAAATGTCAATGGATTTTTCAATTCACAATAGTTTCCAAGATTAAGAAAACTTACAAAATGAGTTTTTTTATATATTATTTTTGTTGCTGGGAAAATTACAAAATGTGTTACTTTTTTACTTCCTCATTCTCTTTCTTGCCTTTACAGTTCATGAATCATCAAATAGTGACAGTTCCCAATCTGTCAAATATACTACACAAAACCCAATAAAGAGAGGAGTAGTGGGAGTCTCCTGTTTGAGGAGAAAACAGAGTAAATAGAGAGAAAATGGGGTGAAACTGTAATGTATGCAGCTGGAGTTTTCCAATCATAGCTGCTGATCAGAACCCCATTTCCAGTTTTTCATTCCCTTGGCATGTACTTGATCCAAACGGAGCAGAAAGAATCAGTCTTTTCAGTCTCTATTGAAACTCATTTGCTTTACATGTGAAAGCTGTTGTGTGTACCCTTGAATGGTAGCTTTGCATTGTCTATCAGAACCCACCACTGAAATCATTCATTGAGTAAGGTTTTAATCTTATGGTTCATTAAGGATTAGCTTTTGCAGTTTTTATGAAGACCATCTGCTCAAAACTAATGCATTTATGTTTCTTTGATTTGTAGGTTCACTTGTTGATTGGAAATCCAGCACCGGCTGTCAGTCAATCTTCTGGTAAGTTTCCTGATCTTATGTTTAATAAAAGAGTCTTTTTTTCTTTTTTTTTTTTTTTTTTTGTTTGGATGGGACCATTTGCAAAATAAAAAGCTCATCTTTGAGTGGTATGTTGGCTTGCCCATGAACTCCTTCCTGTTTTGATCTTTGTGTTGGTTTTTTGTTTTAGTAGTTCAGGTATGGCTTCTCATTTTGCGAAGTGTTGATTAGCTGAAAAAGCTCCTTTATTCTGAGTTTTATTGTGGTCAATTTCTGGATCACCTAGTTTTTTGTATTTTCCAATTTGTAGCACTTACATGAATTTTGATTTCTCATATATCAAAGACAACCTCAGTTTGCTACATTGTTTGTTTTTTTCTTGATGTCCTCTTGCTTAGTGTTACTTATTTTCTTCCCTTGGATCAATTGCATCTGTCTAATAGAGCAGGCAATCTGCAATTTCCTATCATTGGTTTTGTCTTGATAACTTCTTGCTGTTAGAACTTTATGCCATTCCAACGATCTCTTTAAAGTTTTCTTGCACTTACATTTTCTTTGCTGATTTTGGTGTCCAGGCAGGAGTGAGATATATAGAACTGTAAAGCCTCCTTTGGAATATTGAGCTGTGGAAGTTCATTGAGCTGATAATCTGGCCTGGATCCATTATCTGGGGGTTTATTACTGGTACAAGGATCAGGCCTTTCCCAAGTCAAAACCAGTTCTATTGTTGTGCTGCGCTGGAGTCATGGCAACCCTGTTACATTCTGAGTCCAGACGCTTATATTCTTGGTGGTGGGACAGTCATATTAGCCCAAAGAATTCAAAATGGCTTCAGGAAAATCTTACAGGTCTTGATATTTTCCTTGCATTTATTTGGTACTATACTAATTACCTGATAGAAACTTCCAATTGTTTCTATCTCACTGTGTATTAGGAACTTTATTTAGTAAGGTTTGGATTGAAATCAATTTTATTCAGATGCATATATAAACTCTGCACTAATTATATAGCCTCTAATCACATATGACGGCGAGTCATAACAATAAGACATAGCATTTTGGTAGTGATGCATGGATACCAACATAAAGATCTTAAGTAAAATATGCCTGTATTCTTCTTTTTTGGATGTTAATTTTAAAAACTAAAGATCCCCTTTCTTAATCCTTCTGTTTTCAAATGATTAGGAAAGGAGAGACAGGACAGAGACAAAAGAGATGTGATAGTGGAGGGGGGAGAATAGATAGAACTAACACTAAGTACTGAAAACCATTTATGATTATCTACAATTTTTATTTTATAAACCATTCTATACGTGGCCAGCTGTGTTCACACGCCTGGTTAGGATCTGTTTGGCCAACATAGGCGATATGCCTATGTATAATTTTTTCATGGCTTGTCACTTTTCTGTCAAACTACCATCAAGATCATCCATGTTAATTTGAACATGAAACTAGATTGTGTTCAGCTAAACCAAAAATGAATGGAAACAAGATATAGTGATGTTAGGATGATACAATGTCAAGTATATGCAATATGTTTTTAAAGGAATTTTCAGGTCATAGTAGATAAGGAATATAAAAAATAAATAAAAAATTATATATCTGAACTACAAACACTAGTTTGGTCACCCTTAAAGGCTTCACCTCTGGACCTTGATCATTTTTTTATGTTCTATGCATGCTGCTGTGTATATTCCAAACCCGATGGGTTTTTCTGATGAATATGTTTTCGTGTGTGAAGAAGTCTAAAAAAAGAAGCAATACAAATATCTTTTCATTTTCATTGTAGGAATGGGAAATGTGTCGGCTTTAGAAGTACAAGAAGTTAAAGGTCCAAGCATGAATTGAACCATCTAAAATGGTGTCAGAAACAAAAGAATGATAACGTGCAGTTCATATTTGCTACTCATTAAAGAGTTATATCAATCCAAATTCTTGCTAGAAAGTTGCTCTCAACCTGGAATTCCTTGAAACTTTAAAGAGATTGTATAGTTGCTTAATCAAATGATACTTGTCTGTTGGATTTCATTTTATCTCCTCAGCATGTGCACTTGAGCATGTTTTTGCATACGGATGTCTTCGGAATTTTCAGGCTACATTCTTAATCAACCCTAAATCTTATTATGCAGACATGGATGCCAAAGTCAAAGCAATGATCAAGCTCATTGAAGAAGATGCAGATTCTTTTGCAAGGAGGGCAGAAATGTACTACAAAAAACGCCCAGAGCTCATGAAACTGGTTGAGGAATTCTATCGAGCTTATCGTGCGTTAGCAGAGAGGTACGATCATGCAACTGTGGAGCTGCGCCAGGCTCATCGAACCATGGCAGAAGCGTTTCCCAACCAAGTACCTTATGTATTGGCAGATGAATCACCCTCAGGCTCTTCTGGCCCAGACGTTGAACCTCATACCCCAGAAATTCCACATCCAGTTCGTGCCTTATTTGACGCAGATGATTTGCATAAGGATGCACTGGGACTCTCATCAACTAACTTACAAGCTTTGAAAAGGAATGGTTCAGTAGACTCTGAATCAGGAATAAGCAAAAGAGGTCTGAAACAGGTCAATGAGATGTTCAATCCAGGAGAAGTGCCAAATAATTTAAAGGTTGCGGAGGGAAGGATGAGAGAAGGCTCAAGTTTCCAAGAAGCAGAAGAGAGCAAACAAAAGTTGCAAAGTGGGTACTCTCAGTTAACAAGTGAGAACCAGAGTCTCAAGACCCAGGTTCTTTCTCAATCTGAGCGTGCTGCAAAAGCTGAAACTGAAGTTCAAACCTTAAAGAAAACTCTAGATGAGATACAAGCTGAAAAAGACACAGTCCTTCTTCAGTACGAGCAGAGTTTGGAGAAGTTATCTAAACTGGGGAGAGAACTAAATGATGCACAAATGGCTGTTGGAGGGCTCGATGAACGAGCAAGCAAAGCTGATATTGAAACTACAATATTGAAGGAAACCCTTGTGGAATTAGAAGCGGAGAGGGATGCTGGTCTTCTTCAGTACAATCGTTGTTTGGAAAGGATATCTAGCCTGGAGAGCATGTTATCTTTCGCCCAAAGGGATGCAAAAGGACTTAATGAGCGAGCTATTAAAGCAGAAACTGAAGCTCAAAATCTCAAGCAAGAACTTTCTAAACTAGAGGCTGAAAAGGAAGGTTTTTTTCTTCAGTACAAGCAATGTCTTCAGCAGATATCTGTTCTGGAGACTAAAATCTCAGTTTCTGAGGAAAATTCCAGAATGCTTAATGAACAAATTGAAAGAGCTGAAGGTGAAATCAAATCTCTGAAGGAATCTCTGGCTATACTGAAGGAAGAGAAAGAAGCTGCAGCTCTTCAATACAAGCAGTGCATGGATACAATTTCTAAGATGGAAAGTGAAATTTCTCATGCTCAAGCAGATGCTGAACGACTGAAAAGCGAAATTTTGACAGGGGCAGCAAACTTAAAGAGTGCCGAAGAACAATGCGTTCTCTTGGAGAGATCAAATCAGTCTCTGCGGTTAGAGGCGGACGGTCTGCTGAAGAAGATTACAAGTAAAGATCAAGAACTTTTAGAGAAGAATGAAGAGATGGAGAAATTTCAGATTCTGATGCAGGAGGAGCACTTGCGGTTTGTGCAAGCTGAAGCCACTCTCCAAGCTCTACAGAAGTTGCACTCCCAATCCCAAGAGGCGCAGAAAGCTTTAGCACTGGAGTTCAAAAATGGCCTTCAAATGTTGAAGGACTCGGAGATACGCAAACAAGGTATGGAGGATGATATCCAGCAGGTTAAGGAGGAAAATAAGAGCTTAAGTGAATTGAATTTTTCTTGCACTATCTCGATAAAGAATCTGCAAGATGAAATCGTTAACATCAAAGAGATGAAAGAGAAACTTGAACAGGAGGTTGCGCTAAAATCAGACCAAAGCAATGCCCTCCAGCAGCATATATTCGACTTGGAGGAGGAAATTAAGGGATTGAACAAAAGATACCAGGCTATGGCGGAGCAGGTGGAATCAGCAGGTTTAAATCCTGAATGCTTTGAGTCATCTGTGAAAGACTTGCAAAATGAAAAAGCAAAGCTGAAAGATATCTGCACAAGGGACAGAGAAGAGAGAGAACTTCTTTATGAGAAATTGAAGGATATGGGTAAACTTTCAAAGGAGAATGCCGTTCTGGAGAGTTCGCTGTTGGGGTTGAATGGTGAGTTGGAGGGTTTGAGAGAGAAGGTCAAAGAATTGCAGGAGTCTTGCCAGTTTCTCCAGGGAGAAAAATCCATTCTTGTTGCTGAGAAAGCTATCCTGCTTTCTCAGTTACAAATTATCACTCAGAATATGCAGAAGCTTTTTGAGAAGAACACCTTGCTGGAAAATTCCCTCTCTGGTGCAAATATTGAGCTTGAACGGTTGAGAGCAAGATCAAAGAGCTTGGAAGAGTTGTGCCAGTTACTCAATAATGAGAAGTGCAATCTTCTTAATGAGAGAGGCACCCTTGTATTTCAGTTAAAAGATGTTGAACAGAGACTGCGAAACCTGGAAAAGCGGTTTACAAAATTAGAGAAAAAATATTTGAAGCTGGAGAAGGAGAAAGGCTCCACACTTAATGTTGTAGAGGAACTATGGGGTTCCCTTCATGCAGAAAAACGAGAGCGTGCAAGTTATATACGGTCAAGTGAGGCTCGGTTAGCAGGTTTGGAAAACAATTTCCATGTCATGCAGGAAGAAAGAAGGCTGGGAAAGAAAGAATTTGAAGAAGAACTAGATAAAGCTCTAAATGCCCAGATTGAGATCTTTGTCCTTCAGAAGTTTATAGAAGATCTGGAAGAGAAGAATTTTTCATTATTAATTGAGAGTCAGAGACATGTTGAGGCATCCAAATTTTCTGATAAGCTGATCGCAGAATTGGAGAATGAAAATCTTGAGTTACAGGTGGAAGAAGAATTCTTGGTGGGAGAAATCGAAAAGTTAAGGCTGGGAATTCGTCAAGTGTTCAGGGCTCTTCAAACTGAACCAGATAGCCATGAAAATAAGAGTGGACAAGAGCAAGTACCTGTGCCGCACATTTTGAATACTATTAAGGACTTGAAAACGTCTTTGCTTAGGAGCAAGGATGAGGAACAACAGTTGCTGGTTGAGAAGTCAGTGCTCTTAACTTTACTTGAGCAGATGAGATTAGAGGGTGCAGAGATAGAATTAGCAAAACAACTCTTCAAGCAGGAGTATGAGATTATGGTAGACCATTGTTCTACGCTACAAAAAGAGAAGCATGAGCTTCTAGAGATGACGAGGCAGCTGAGGTTGGAAGTGACCAAGAAAGGGCACAAGGAGGAAACATTAGAGGCTCAATTGCAAACGCTTCAAGCTAAGGTGGAAAATTTTCAGGATGCTTATGTGGTTTTGCACAAAGAGAACTCCAAGGTGCTTGAAGAGAGAAGATCTTTGCATAAGAAAGTTTTGGACCTGAAAGAGGAAAAGAAAATGCTTGAAGAGGAGAATAGTGTTAATTTCCATGAAGCACTAGCTTTCAGCAACCTCTCTTTGGTTTTAGAGAGCTTCACAATTGAAAAAGCTGCGGAACTAAAAGCACTTGCTGAAGATCTCAACACCCTCTTTGTAATTAACAATGACCTCAAAGAGGCTGTTGGAATATTGGAGGAGAATTTAGTGATGAAAGAAGTAGAAAATCTACATCTGAATGACACTGTCCAATTGTTGGACAAGGAACTGAGTGAAGCCAATGACTTAAATGGTCAACTAAGCCATCAAATTGCAGTTGGAAAGGATTATCTGAAACAGAAAACCATGAAGCTCTCAGAGGCAGAAGAGAAGCTTGAAAAGACAGAGGAATTGAATCTGCAATTATGTAGAACATTTCAGGAACTGAAGATGGAATATGAAGAATCAAAAATTGTGAAAGAAAATTGTGAGAAGCAGATTCTTGAACTATCTGAAGGTAGCACAAATCAGAAAAAGGAAATCGTTGGCCTTCGTGAAGCGAATGAAATTCTGGAGAATGAAATCTTGTGTAAAGCAATTGAAAAAGAAATAGAAAATCTACATATGAATGAGACAGTGCAATTGTTGGACAAGGATCTTTGTGAAGCCAAGGACTCAAAAGCTCAGCTAAGCCATCAAATATTAGCTGGAATGAATTCTCTGAAACAGAAAACCATGGAGCTCTCAGAAGTTGAAGAGAAGCTTAGAAAGACAGGGGACTTGAATGTGGAATTGTGCAGAACCATTCAGGAACTGAGGATGGAAAATGAAGATTCAAAACTAATGAGAGAAAATTGTGAGAAGCAGATTCTAGAACTATCGAAAGATAACTCAAATCAGAAGAATGAAATTGATAGCCTTCACAAAGCAAATGGAACTCTGGAGATTGAAGTGGGCATCTTAAGTGAAGTAATTGAAGAACATAGAATTAGAGAAGAGAATTTGAATTCAGAGCTGCAAGAAAGAAGCAATGACTTTGAACTCTGGGAGGCTGAGGCTGCAACATTCTATTTTGATTTTCAAGTTTCTGCTGTCCGTGAAGTTTTTCTTGAAAATAAAGTTAATGAGCTTTCTGAAGTTTGTGAGAGTCTTAAAGATGAAAGTGCTACAAAAGGTGTGGAGCTTGAACAAATGAAAGAAAGAGTTAGCTCCTTGGAAGGTGAAGTTGGAGGACTGATGGCCCAAATGTCTGCATATATTCCTGTTGTAGCCTCATTGAGAGAGAATGTAGCATCTCTTCAGCACAATGCCGTTCTTAGAACAAAGCTTCTTGTGGAAAGCAATCAACAATATAAGGTAATATTTTGCCTCTTTTGAGAAACATTAATGATCATGATGATTCAGAAGTTACAATCTGAGCTAGGTAGTTGCTCCATTTTTGGTTTGACAGCATGAACCCAAATTAATTGGCTTGAATTTCAAGGGAACCTTCAAGAACATAGAAGTGTATCTGTTTAGTGTGTGTTTTTGGCCAATTGGCATGGAGGAAATGTGTATCTAACTGCTGTCATAAGTTCACATAAAATTCCAGTTAGTTCTGAGAGTCCTGTTTATATTAAACTTAAAACATTCTTGTTCTGGTGAAGGCCTTCGCAACAGAACATATTTGAGAAAACAAGTCTGCAAGTTGTCTTGAAGTCTTGATTTTCTCGACTGAGACATGTAGTTTTTGCGTGCATAATTTTAGTCTTAGTGCTAAAACCTAATACTTAATTAACATGCTTGTGTCTGATTGCACCACTCTGACCATTGCCATTGCCAGCTGCTGCTCTTCTTCTTTCTTCTAATTAACTTTTTGCTTCTAGGATATTGAACCACAAAATTATCTACATCAAAAGATCTGTCAGGATTCCAGAGAAGATCAAAGCACATTGGTACCAGACGGAATTTCAGAATTGGAAAAAATGCAGACTATGATCAAAGAAGTTGAAAAGATGTTTGTAGAAGAAACAGAAAGGCTTGCAATTGAAGCAGTTGAAAAGGCAATGGTGGAAGAAATGGAAAGGCTTGCAACTCAGGAAAGTACAAAAAACACCAACATCAAAGTGGAGGTTTCCGTGGAGATCGAAGAGCTAAAATCAAAAGGTACCTCACTTCAAGGAAAGGGCAGTAAAAGTGAAGAGCTGAAACTTGTGAATGAGTTTACTGATGAAAATCTCAAGTTGCAGAGGATGAAATCTGATAATGGGACTTCGATGAAAGATATTCCGCTTGATCATGTTTCAGATTGTTCATTTTATGGAAGAAGCGGGAGAGATAATGGTGGGGCGGATGATCAAATGCTTGAGTTATGGGAAACTGCCGAACAACACTGCCATCAGGATCCAGTGGCCAGTGAGATAGAAAATCAGGCATCTGCACCAAGGGAAGATGTGGCTTACCATCGGTTTGCAGATTCGCAGAAGATCATTCAAAATTCTTCTTCGGAAGTTCAGGTTGAGAAGGAGTTGGGCATTGACAAGCTGGAGGTGTCCCTTAATATTCAAGGGCCAAGTCATGAAGGCAAGAAGGAAAAGATATTGGAGAGACTTGCTTCTGATGCTCAGAAACTGATAAGTCTGCAAACAATTGCTCAAGATTTGAATAAGAAGATGGAGACAAACAACAAGGGTAGAAAGGCAAATGGCACTGAATATGAAACAGTCAAGACACACTTGCATGAAGTTGAGGAGGCAGTTGTGCAGCTAGCAGAAATTAATGATCAATTGAAAAAGAATATCGAAGAGTCTCCGTTGAACGAGCAGACGTCCATGGAGTTGGAGGAGGCTGGAAATGTCTGGAGAGAGAGAATACTCGAACAGGCAAGTAAAGGGTCTGAGAAGATTGGAAGGTTGCAGTTTGAGTTACAGAACATTCACTATATTTTGCTGAAATTGGAGGATGAAAACAAAAACAAAGGGAGGAATGGATTTTACGTAAGTAGAACAGGTGTTCTCCTGAAGGATTTTATTTACAGTGGCAGAAGTAGTGAGAGGCGCAAGAAGGCTCGTGTGTGTGGGTGTATGAGACCCTCCACAAATGGAGACTGAGGAAGTAACCACTTTAGAGGGAAGCATTTTTTATTTGCTTTTAAGTTTTCATTCCATGAAATGGTCCTAATATTATTACCTTAAGCAAATCATTTCTTGGATTAGTTGGTGAAAACTGAACTGTATTAGCTCAGATTCTCTGTAAGATTTAGGCTTGATCTAATCAAAATAAGATGCTTCCTTCTGCTTTTCATCTCATAAACTGTAGAAACTTCCTAATTTTTATTGGAGAAACTCAAAATAATACAAGCTTCTTTTTTTTCTTCAATTCAAATGTTTTCCAATAAGATGTGGATAGAGTTGAATATTAACCGGATTTCTGAAGCAGGAATTTAATGGATGTAATGCTTAATGATCCTCAATTTCAGATTTCTGTACATATCTTTTTTACCAAATTATTATTATTTTTTATAGTGGTGATTCTGTTGGCATAATTCAATTCAACCGATCGCATATTGGCAACGACAATCAGGGAGAGACAAATGCTCTAACTCTTTGAAACAACACTTTATTTATAAAGAGTAACATTATTAACCCGAAGTACTCACCTCACCTACCCACCTATCCACTCTAAAATCTGCCAAAGTCTACAAAATATCACCATTGCCTCGCCCAGTGAGCCCACCCTCATTGCATCCAAGTTTGAATCTGAATCCTCTCACAATTGATTAGATTAACTTAGAGTAAATTAGACCATCACTGATATGGAAGTAATGCCCATTGCCCCTTGAGTTGGGAGCTATCTTAGGGCCTTAGGGGCGAGGCTCTAGGCCTTAAGTTGAGGGGCTTGGTCATGAAGCAACGCCAACACCCTTCTCGTATTTCATTTCCTTGGAGCACCCCCTTAAACTTGAGGGCTGGCTTTGGCATTGGGGCAGTACCTCAGGCAGCCAATGTCTTTTTTCTTTATACATAAATCAGGACTCTTAAATCAGCGACTGCCTTCAAAATTGGTGAAGCTGCAAAATAGCTTCCCAACACTTCAAACTGACATAGGGAAAGGATCAAAACACATCTGCCGTTCAGCCTTTCTACATGTTTTGCCTGTCGACTTTAATTGTACTGATTGAATAAAGGAAAAAAACCTTTTATAAAACAATAAGCGGAGTGATGCTATTTGGCCTGTACTTTTGGTACACATTACATGGTAGATCGAATAGGAATAATATAACTGAGAATGTAAAAAGCAGGATTCAAAGATAATCTCGGATTATAAATATAATAAAAACTTAGTATTTGGATTAAAGCACAAAATTTCGGTCATGCAACTTTCTTTTCCTCACAGCTAGAACATAACAAGCAGCAAGTAATACGGTCTTCAAGTTCACAAAACATAAATCGAGCAACTCTAAAATAGAAGAAAATGAACAAAGGCTGCATTTAAGCTCCAACGATTTCTGGTGGGGGCTCAGTCACTGCTTCTTCAGCAGGTCTTTCAACCTTCTGACCAACATCTTCATTACCACCATGGACCTACAGATACAAAGTCCATTTTACTTCATCAATATCCAGCTACTGTCGAAATGCATTAGTGCGTGACAGATCATGATGCAAAAATGCCACCAAAAATGATTTGAGATAAAGCAGATGTCATGGAATGAAGGGTTTCAAACTATTTATCCTCAGAATGAATATAATAATGACAGATAAGCTCGAGTATTCCAGAAGTACTATGGTCAGGGCTCATTTATATCTTAATAATGTTACAAATGCCAAAAAATGTTTGCACTGTCAGTCAACTCTGCATGCTAAAACAGAAAAAGGGCATACCTCCATTAGCTTGGTAAGATCAAACTTTGGTGCTTTCAAGATCTTGACTTTCCTGATGAAGACATTTTGCAATGGATAGATGCTCATGGTTGCCTTCTCAATCTCTTTACCGATACTCTCAGCAATGAACTTGCGAACCAAGTCCTTTAGATCACTAGATGTCGCCTGGGCGACCATGATCTCCCTCATCTTACGGCGGATCTGACAGAATCAATGCAGCATTACATCATGTTACAGCTAAACAAAGACTTCCGACTACACCTAAAAACATACATTTCATGGAAATATTTCTAATATAAACATGTAAACCCTAAAGTCAATATTACCTGTCTAATCTGGCTAGATTGTGCATAACAGGTCCTCTTGACCTGATTTGGACGTCTCTTGGTGAAGCCAATGCAGAACAACCGGAGAGTGTAGTTGTCTGTGGTCTTCACATCCACATGAGCTTCAATTAAAGTTTGCCATTTCCTCACCAATGACCTCAACTTGTCGGTTGTGAAGTTCATTCCCTGAATAATCCAATAAAACATCAGTAGAGGTGGAAATAAATTTATATTAGAAATCATAAAAAAAAATTAAGAAACATATGGACATTATAATTTTCTTACCCAGAAATTTGTAAGAACATTCCTCCCTTGGACATCTTCAGCTCTCAATCGCATCTTTCTGTAAGCATGTTCCTCATCACCCTGAAGGTCAGCAAGCGATACCTCAAAGACTCTATGTTTGAGTCCTTCTGAAGCAATCTGTTAAAATCCCAACGCTTGTTAAGAGTATGAATTATGTGAACAATTACAGATATGTGGTGAATGTTCTTATGTCAAAAAGAAATGTTCTTATGCTCAACTATTGCTTTACAAATGTGCATGAAGAAAGATGTATTGACTATATAATAGCTTTACAATTTTGCATGTCATACACAACAACAAGAGTACTAAAAGCAATGATGTCAAATTCAAATATCCAGCTTTAAATTCCAGAATAGAATTGAGTAAATAAAAAGTTTTAAACTCAGAACTGCGGAAAATATCTCAAACTGACAAGAAAAAGGGGGGGTACTCCAAACATTAGAGCTGGCATTAAAATTCCACTGAGTATTTAACTCAGAAACAAATGCAACAATGGCTCAACTTCACGCTAAAATACATCTGAACAATGCTAACAAAAAAACCATTTTTCATGAATCCCAGTTTTCCAAACAAACAGATAACAGGGTAATCCTAAAACTCTGAACAGATGCAATCCATACATTAAAAATCAGGTCATAACAAGTTCACAGATTATGGTTCAGCAATAACCACAATCTAATCAACAGCAGCCTAACCCACCAACTGATCCAATGACGCCAGATGCACGCAACTCTACAGACATAGATGAGACTAAATCTATCTTCTCAAGAGAAATTAGAATTAGGCTCATCCCACAACTACTTCCAGCGTATACCAGAAATTCACGAAAACAAAACTACTCAAAAACTAAAACAAAAACGAACCCAAATATATACACACACACACACATACAGATAGAAATAATACCTTGGTTCCCTGAGTACGGGAGACGAGGGTTTTACCCACATTCTTGTTCTGGAACAACGAAGGGGCCTTGATATCATACCAATCCTTCTTGGCAAACGGATCAGCCCTGTATTTTTTCAAATACAGATACAAATACAAATCAATAAATCAATAAATAGGCAAGATTAATACTTATGAACCAAATTGTATGAAATGAAAAATGAAAACAAAACTACACAAAAGAATAGATCTGTAGTAAATCATGAGTAGATGTAGAAAATGAGCTTACGCTTTCTTCTTTCCTCCTTTCTTGGACTTGGAAATCCTCTTGTTCTTCCTGTGTCAAACAAAGCTCAATGTGTCAGTGACTCGTTTAGGAATTTAACAGCTGAATATACAAATGCAAAGTATGGAGAAAGTACCCAACGGCCATGGTTGGAGCTTGGAAGAGCTGAAGAGCTCAAGCGTGACCTGCGAGACAGACGAAGTGAGAGTCGAAACGGCTGTGAGAGCAAACCCTTTTCGATGACACAAAACCCTAGCCCTCTCTTATATAAATTGGATAGGTCTTGCCCTTACTGAGCTGGGCTCAGGTTACAGTTGGGCCATATTTTGTAATTTGTTAAAATAACATGACGACTCAAGTTATGACTGTGCCTTATATGACAAAGCCCAAGAAAAGGCCTAAGTTCTGGGGTCTGGCTCTGGCTCTGACCCAAACCCATTATGTCTATTATGTTGATGTAATGGGACACGAGGTCATGTGTTTGAATCCCCTCCTCCCCAATATCATAGGAAAACCTGTTAAGTTGTTACATACTTGTGAGAGGAGTGAAACTGATCCTCTTGTTTGTCGGCAAATTTTTATTTTTATTTTTCTAAAAAGTGAGTGGGTGAGAAAATGAACTATAACTAAGTTAGGTCAAAAGTTCGATTTTCTTTCATTGTAACCAAAAGAAAAAACAATTTGGACCAACTTCGAAGTCAGATCCATGCATTCAACGTTTGAGGTCGAAAGCAACAAATTGATACCAAAACATGACATACACTAAAGTTTTGAAGACATTTATGACTATTTTTTATATACAGAAAACATCAATTCTCATAGATGTACTGCTTATTAGGTACTCTAACCAAATAATGCAATACATGCTGAATTACTGATAAACTACTTATCCAAAAAAAGTTCAATCATACATGCAATAATAGAACAAGTCGTGTGTCAAATTTCATATAACAAGAGAGTCAAAAGAGCAAATTGATTGAAATATTTTTTTTGGATTTACAATAAGCCCTCAAATATAATTTCAACAAGGACACAGATTAAAGAAAAAAAAATCGTAATTCTCGGTTGATCATGGATAATGAGATGCCACATGAGGCGGAGGTGGAGGCGGCGAGGGTGGCGGTGGACTTCTTGGTGTGCACCCAAAGGCATCACAATTGACCAAATGGGCATAAAATGTGGCACATTCCTGCGGTGATCGCTGCAATGGCCTATATGCAATACAATTCTTCCTATCATCTTGTTCTGGCAACTTGATGCATATTGGTGGTTCACCACAGAAATAGTTATATGAGTATGTGAAGTTCTCCAACTTAGGCAACGAGCATATGCTAGCAGGAACCTCCCCTGACAATTTGTTATGTGCCACATTTAGCTGCTCCAAATTCTTCATCCCACCCATAGATTCAGGCAATGCACCCACCAGCTTATTCTGGCTTATATCAAACACTCTCACTTTGTCCAACAACCCTAAATTTGACGGCAGACACCCTTTTAGTCCACTGTTTATGAGTATAACTTCGTTCAATGTGTCCTTCAAATTCGCCAAGCTTGAAGGAATGCAACCCTTGAGGTCATTATTTGCCAAGACAATCACAGAGAGTGAGGAGTTGCCAATGTTTTGAGGCAATGAAAATTGAAACCTGTTATTGTTAAGGAACAATGCATCAAGTTTTAAATTGAAAAGGGCAGAGGGAACTTCACCATGAAAATTGTTGTATCTGATATCCAAGTATTTGAGTGAATTAATGTAAAGAACAGATGAAGGAAATTGGCCTGAGAATTGGTTGTTACTGATATCCAATTCGTGAAGAAGGCGAAGGTAACGAAAGCTATAAGGAATGGTGCCGCAGAAGCGGTTAGAGTTGATGTGGAAAATGGCTAGATCAGTTAAGAGGCCAAGTTCTTCCGGCATTGAACCGGCTATGTTGGCATGGTTTAGGTCTATGCCAGCCACTGTGATGGTGTGAGGATCATCCAGGGCTGGTGCACAGTAGACTCCGGTGTAGTTGCAAACTTGCAGGCCGCACCAATTGGCAGTGAAGTTGTTGGGGTCAGAGGTGATGACATGTTTCCATGCTTGGAGTGCTGTGTAAGCCTGTAGAAGTCTAGGGTTGGAGACTTGGTGAGAGGGTTTGAAGAGGAAGATGATAGAGAAGATGACACCGAGGGACAAAGTGAGACTTGGGTTTTTCATTTTTGAGAGCATAGCCACAGAAATGTCCTTATCTGTTGTGTGATGTTCAAGGATAGGGATTGAAGTTTATACATATGGATTTTGAGAAGTAGTCTTGACTTGTATCTCACTCTAGGTAGGTAGCACAGAAGGGCTTTTTGAATTTGGATTAATTGACTTACAATTGGTCAATTAGTAGGTAACAAGAATGTTCTATCAATTCATGCAATGCACTGGCATATGCATGGCAAAGGATGGAGATGTTAATTTTGTTTCTTGTAGAGAGTCTAAAGAAGAGGGTTGGCATGAAATTGGCAACAGATGCTACCAAACACACGTTTTTTTACCAGCCCGGCTTTAAAATTAATATGTTTGCTCAAAAGTACGTGGAGAATTGTTCAACAGATTAAGATATATATATATATATATATATATTTGCAGTTTTTCAAAGGTCTATATTTTACTGATATACTCAGACAGTGGACTGGATTGCTAAAACAAAGACTATGTCTGTGTAAAGCCTTGAGGAGGCAGATATCAAAGTCACACACACGGCAGAGCAGGTAGATTTAAAGGAAGAGAAAGTGTGTGTAGGTTGCAAAGTCCATTCAAGCATGCTTCGTTTTCATATTCTTTTCTTTTGGGATTGGATTTGCTTGTGATATTTTCGTTACCCCAACTTGCAAGTGGAAACTTGTTGAGGAGAGGGATAGATAATCCAAGTCAAATACCAACACACAAACCAAAATCTGTATTAAGCAAACAAGGATTGAAAAGTCCAAATCCAAATAAAAAAAGCCAACCATAAAGCTATAGCCCAATCTGATGCCCTAATTAACCACCTCAACCTACAATAAGTTAGCAAAAAATAGGATCATACTTGTATTAGTATATCATTTTCGAATCAATTGTTAGAAAAATATAAAGGAAAGAGAGGGAAAGACAGCAGCACTCAGAGGAGTTAGAATGTAACAATACTAAAGTCATTTTATTGAATCTATCAACTATAAAAGATAATAATAATAATAATAATACTAGCTCAGCAACCTCAGCCTTATCTTAAATATGAAATGGCTGTAAATGAATGAGGAAAAGTGGAGTGGAATTCGGGTGAAGATGAAATTTGAAATTTCATATTGCTAAAGCATTTTGCTTAAGAATTCAAGGTGAGAATTATAAATTCATGGAGAGAGTTGTGTGCGTTGAACGCTTAATCCTAAATATGAATTTGGATTTTGGACTAGACTTCGGACCCTAAACCCTAAACTCTCGTTACATAAGTAGTTTACATTTTCCTTTGCATGAACTGAAACTTAAGAATTTGTTTTCTTGGTAAGAAAAAGAAATCCGACCATGACCCCATTTATTATTATCTTTTTATACAAACGATAATCTACGTTAATCTAATATAAACTATAGAGAGGGAGATTCAAACTCGAGTGCAGAGTGGGAGAACATCTACTTATTGGCTAAGTTCATGTCTGCTAACCGATTCTTCATTGGTTCAGATCTGACATAGTATGTGTTGTAGGCTAGGGCTAAGACAAGAGATAATATTTTTGGGCAGATACGGTTAATTCTCGAAATTCTTTTGATCCACTTATACATGACTCAGATAAAACGACCGACCCCATTTTTCACTTTTGAAGTCCTCGTGAAATGAAACCATGGCTCAGAATCACATTTTATTGGGTCAGCAGCTAAAACCGTAATAAAGAAAACGGAGGTTTTATTGAAGGAGACGGTAGCTTTACTTGCAGTGAGTTGCTCTCTCTTTTCTGTCCCTCTCATAAACCTTAGTGAGCAGTAAGGGTCATTAAAGGGATAAAAGAATGGCGGAAGCAGAAGGAGGCTAGAGGTAAAAGAGAAGCTTCGAGCTCCAACGCACACTTTGGCCTACTTGGAAAATCGGGGGTCTTTTTTATTTTTTCAATAAATAATATAACCACGCGGCTATCCTATTAATTAAAAAACAAACAAAAACACCGTAGTATAGCCCCTCGGCTGTTAAAAAAAATACAATACACATATTATACACGTACATACATATTTTTCATGTTTAATACACATATTTTTTACAAATTTTTAATAATACACATAAAATTCAAGTATTATACACATAATTTTCACGTATTATTGAATAAAAATAAAATATATTTAAATAGTATAGCCTCGCAGCTATAATGTAGTTTTTTAAATTTTTTTAAATTAATAGGCAAAAGGCAAAAGGCAAAAGGCAGAGAATGGTGAAACATTCAAAATACCATAAAATGCCATTGGTTAATCCAAATATTAAGAATTAAAGTTATTAATTAAATGAGGATAATATGGTAAAGTCACACTTTCTCATATTTAAAAAATTAAAATTAAAATTAAAAGAAAAATTAGATAATGAATCCTATTTTTACAGAACACAGCTACCCATTATCTTTTTTAATTCTAAAATAAATTTAAATTTATAAAAATAAAATAAATAAATAAATAAAAGCCTTTCGTAGGCAGAAGAGTAGTATTTTTTTTTTTTTTTTTTTTTTTTTTTTTTTTTTTTTTTAATAATTATACGCGTAAAGGACCTAAATAACCCGGGAATAGCTGGTCGCCTATACTATTTTGAAAAATACGCGATAGTATCGCCGCCCGGCTATACTATTTATATATAAAAAGGGATGTGTAGTGTCACAATAGGTATAGCCGTGCGGCTATACTATTTTTAAAAATTAAAAATGCAGGATAGCTGCTGGGCTATACTATTTAATTAAAAAGAGGAGGACCGTGTCAAAAATAGTATAGCCGAGCGGCTATACTATTTTTAATAAAAGAAATACCGTAAAAAATATGTATGCATATCTATCAGTTCAACAAGAATCATATATATATATATATATATATATATATATATATATATATATATTCTTTAGAAAGCGTTCTTTCGATCAATTCAATCTAGTTAATTGCAGGGTTGAAACAAAAGTAATTATAATTGGCGTTGGTGATGTGTTGACGTTTTATTAGTTTTGACAGCAACAAGCGGGTAAAAACGACATGCAAGAAAATAATTCCTTAATTCTTCCTCAAGTTTTAAGAGTGTATAATTACACTCTCTAAATCATTAGAGCAGAGAAATTTAAGCAAATACCATGGAATGTCGTCTCTTTCTCTCATTGTTTCACCCAGGAGGAGAGAGATATGGGATCAGGCACACCAGGAACAATGTTCTAGCCTCTTCTCTGTTGGATCAAGTTAAACTTTTCCGATTAATACTGTCTTGTCTAATTAGATTAGTATTGTTCCGGCATTTTCCCCTTCAGTCCACTTGATCGATTTTTCCTGCAGTAGCTTCAAAACCTGTGTAAATGGAAAAAGGAAAAGCCAAGTATGAAGCATTGTTCAAACAGATGCAGCAAGTAATTATGAACCAATCTTACCAATATTCGCCTGCGAGATCCTTTTGAGATCTCTTCCTCTTGTGTCTCAATGATGACCTTAAGACACATGATTGCTGACGAGAAGACAACAAATAATTACAAATAACAAGAAAGAAGTTCAAAGAATAACTAGGAACATGAGAACGTTCACTTACATGAGATTCCAGAAAATGAAGAAATTTGACACTTCAAAAGACAAAGACACATCGCCTCCTTGGCACCATGTTCTTGCAAGCCAAGCACTATTTCACCTTGTGTCTCAAGGTTTCTGATGACGAACACACAATAAAAGAAAAAAAATTAACATTGTGGGATCCTATACACCACCATTAACCAATATCCACAGAGAGTAGAAACACACACCACAACGAAAAGGATGCTAACCTTGTTCTAAGAATCATTTCCTTTGACTCTTCATCCATTTCGGGTGCCTTTTTTGGAAAATATTTCCCGGCCACAGAACAATAGAATCCATAAATTCATTTAAAAAAGGGAAAACAAACTATAATGCGAATTCTACACTTAAAAATTGGTATCTTATATTTTTAGCTTAGATATGTGATCAAGTCCGGCTTGGTATCTGCATTAAGTGAAACTCCCCCTTGTTCAATTTTTGAAGCATGTATTTCATTTTATCCAACAGAAGAGTGTGTTTAAGTAAAGCTATTTGCAATATAGTCGTAAGATGCTATTTCCTTTTCTTTTTTAAAAAAATTTATTTATAAATAATTCATATCCAATCACTTCATAACAGCAAGTAAGCCTTACTTGTTCTAGAAGTTTGTTTGCTCGATCACTACTACAAAAATCGAAATAGACGACGGGAAACCACCGTCGTGTAAAAGGTTTTCGCCCGGTCGTGAAATCGACTGCCGTCTATTTGGGTTTCAAACTACGACGGCTTTTCACCGTCGTTGTTTATCAGTAAAGATGACGGTTTTCAAAGAAAATCGTCGTTGTTTAGAGGTAAAGATCGTTAATTATAGGAGGAAAGACGACTGTTTTTAATAAAACCGTCGTATATTGTATGTAAAGATGACGATTTTTTTATGAAAACCGTCGTGGATTGTTTATAAAGACGTCATCTTTACATACAATAGACGACCTTTTTTTTATAAAAAGCATCATCTTTACATACAATAGACGACGGTTTTTATAAAAAGCGTCATCTTTACATACAATCGACGACGGTTTTTTATAAAAAGCGTCATCTTTACGTACAATAGACGACGGTTTTTTATAAAAAGCGTCATCTTTACGTACAATAGACGACGTTTTTTTTATAAAAAGCGTCATCTTTATATATAATAGACGACCTTTTTTTTAAAAAAAAAGTGTCATCTTTATATATAATAGACGACGGTTTTTATAAAAAGCGTCATCTTTACATATAATAGACGACGGTTTTTTTATAAAAAGCGTCATCTTTACATATAATAGACGACGGTTTTTTTCGGTTTTTATAAAAAGCGTCATCTTTACATACAATAGACGACGGTTTTTTTCGGTTTTTTATAAAAAGCGTCATCTTTACATACAATAGACGACGGTTTTTTTCGGTTTTTTATAAAAAGCTTCATCTTTACATATAATAGACGACGGTTTTAAAAAAAATCGTCATCTTTACATATAATAGACGACGGTTTTTATAAAAAGCGTCATCTTTACGTACAATAGACGACGTTTTTTTTTATAAAAATTGTTATCTTTACGTACAATAGACGACGGTTTTTTTTATAAAAAGCGTCATCTTTACGTATAATAGACGACGGTTTTATAAAAAGCGTCATCTTTACATACAATAGACGACGGTTTTTATAAAAAGCGTCCTCTTTACATACAATAGACGACGGTTTTTATAAAAAAAGCGTCATCTTTACGTACAATAATGCTTTTTGATTTCCTATGATGCTATACAACGATTTTAACTAGAAAACCAACCATAATGCTTTATCAAAAATAGTTTCTTTCATAAAACTTGAAGATTCAATAGTTATTACATAGTTAACCAATCTTTATTCTACAACAAACATAATTCCTAACAAGACCTACGTACTCCTAATCCAAGCATTCCTCATCCAAACATACAAATGATGCACAACTGAAGTCTCCTCCATCATCCCTGTAAATAAATCAAAATGACAAAGAGAGAAAAAAAAAGAAGCTAAGATTATAAACATAAAAAATTAGGTGGAAGAGAAATTTTACCATTGGTCCATATTTCCATAGAAAACTTGTAAAATGAGCATAAAAAAGACCATCGAGAACCTGCAAATTTTCAACAACAAAAAAACATACGTCTCACATAGAAAACCTGCAAAAGAAAGAGTTATAAATCTGCAAGCTTCCTCCTCATCTCCTGATAACCAAATCAGAAAATCTAAAAAGAAACCAGAAATAAAAAAAAATATGTAAACAAATCAGACAAATCAAGAAAGACAAAATCTGAAATTAGGGATACAAAGAACATACCAAAAACGCAAAGAGACTAATCCAGAATTCACTAGCAAGATATAGAAGGGTATTAAGAGATTAGGTGACTTTCAAATCAACCTTTCAACCAGCTTTGATTCTCAAATACAGAACATCCCTCTACATCTTATGGATTTGCTAAGATCTTTTGATGATTTTGTAGAGAGTTTTATGAGGGTGTTTTAGAGAGTGCATGAGGGTTTCAAGGAGGGAGAGATAAGGTTTTCAGAGACGGGGGAAAATCTGAAAATTTGACAAGCGCGAATTCACTTAAGTAGACTTTTTTAGCGTGTTTTAAAAGACGACGCTTGTTAATGAGAGATAAGATTTTCAAAGACGGGTGAAAATTTGAAAATTTATGGAGCGCGAATTCACTTAAGCGGCCATTTTTTAGCGCGTTTTAAAAGACGACGCTTTTTTTAAAAAAAAATTTGTCATCTTTACATATAATATACGACGGTTTTTTTTATAAAAAGCGTCATCTTTACATATAATAGACGACGGTTTTTATAAAAAGCGTCATCTTTACATACAATAGACGACGGTTTTTTATAAAAAGCGTCATCTTTACGTACAATAGACGACGGTTTTTTATAAAAAGCGTCATCTTTACGTACAATAGACGACGGTTTTTATAAAAAACGTCATCTTTACATACAATAGACGACGTTTTTTTCCACTACACTTCTTGACCCTATATGAATACAATGACTGAATTTGATCTTCAATTTAAAATATTTACACTAGTGGATACCACAAAATCTTATGTTATATTTAACGAAAGTATAAATAAACTCTTAATTGTTAGTGAATATTTTTTTTTATGGCATACGCATTTTAAGAAACTAGTTTCAATGATCCAACCGTCAAACATGTTTGTTTATGCTTCGAGATCATATACGCCAAAAATCGGAAAAAATAAACATTCAGAGATCAAGTAACGAGACAAAAAATTTCAACGGTTATAAATGAAAAATCATGATTTAACGGTTATTTTAACTCCGATTTTGATGATTTTTTACCACTACAGTCCTTGACCCAATATGAATACAATGATTGAATTTGATCTTCAATTTAAAATATTTACACTAGTGGATACCACAAAATCTTATGTCATATTTAATGAAAGTATAAATAAACTCTTCATTGTTAGTGAATATATTGTTTTGATGGCATACGCATTCTAAGAAACTAGTTTCAATGATCCAACCGTCAAACATGTTTGTTTATGCTTCGAGATCATATACGCCAAAAATCGGAAAAAAATAAACATTCAGAGATCAAGTAACGAGACAAAAAATTTCAACGGTTATAAATGAAAAATCATGATTTAACGGTTATTTTAACTCCGATTTTGATGATTTTTTACCACTACAGTCCTTGACCCAATATGAATACAATGATTGAATTTGATCTTCAATTTAAAATATTTACACTAGTGGATACCACAAAATCTTATGTCATATTTAATGAAAGTATAAATAAACTCTTCATTGTTAGTTAATATATTGTTTTGATGGCATACGCATTCTAAGAAACTAGTTTCAATGATCCAACCGTCAAAAATGTTTGTTTATACTTCGAGATCATATACGCCAAAAATCAGAAAAAATAAACATTCAGAGATAAAGTAACGGGACAAAAAATTTCGACGGTTATAAATGAAAAATCATGATTTAACGGTTATTTTAACTCCGATTTTGATGATTTTTTACAGCTACACTCCTTGACCCTATATGAATACAATGACTGAATTTGATCTTCAATTTAAAATATTTACACTAGTGGATACCACAAAATCTTATGTTATATTTAACGAAAGTATAAATAAACTCTTAATTGTTAGTGAATATATTGTTTTGATGGCATACGCATTCTAAGAAACTAGTTTCAACGATCCAACCGTCAAACTTGTTTGTTTATACTTCGAGATCATCTACACCAAAAATCGAAAAAAATAAACATTCAAAGATAAAGTAACGGGACAAAAAATTTCGACGGTTATAAATGAAAATTCATGATTTAACGGTTATTATAACAAACCATCATCTTTACATATAATAGACGACCATTTTTTATAAAAAAACGTCATCTTTATATATAATAGACGACCCTTTTTTAAAAAAAAATTGTCATCTTTATATATAATAGACGACGGTTTTTATAAAAAGCGTCATCTTTACATATAATAGACGACGGTTTTTTTTATAAAAAGCGTCGTCTTTACATATAATAGACGACGGTTTTTTCGGTTTTTATAAAAAGCGTCATCTTTACATACAATAGACGACGGTTTTTTCGGTTTTTATAAAAAGCGTCATCTTTACATACAATAGACGACGGTTTTTTTCGGTTTTTATAAAAAGCTTCATTTTTACATATAATAGACGACGGTTTTATAAAGTCGTCATCTTTACATATAATAGACGACGGTTTTAAAAAAAAATCGTCATCTTTACACATAATAGACGACGGTTTTTAAAAAAATCGTCATCTTTACATATAATAGACGACGGTTTGTAATAAAAATCGTCGTCTTTACATATAATAGACGACGGTTTTATAAAATCGTCGTCTTTACATATAATAGACGACGGTTTTAAAAAAAATCGTCATCTTTACACATAATAGACGACGGTTTTTTAAAAAAATCGTCATCTTTACATATATTAGACGACGGTTTGTAATAAAAAATCGTCGTCTTTACATATAATAGACGACGGTTTTATAAAATTGTCGTCTTTACATATAATAGACGACGGTTTTATAAAATCGTCATCTTTACATATAATAGACGACGGTTTTTTAAAAAAATCGTCATCTTTACATATAATAGACGACGGTTTAAATATAAGGTATGACGTATAAAGGGAATAAATACGACGTTAAATTTTATAATACGTCGTTAAATGAAAAACAAACGTGGTGAGATTTAAAGATACCGTCGTAGAACTATACAAGAAAGACGTCGATATATTTTTATTTTCCGTCGTTGTACATTAATTTAATACGGCGATATTTTGTATTTTACCGCCGTGGATTTATTTGTAATTATATGGCGCCTTATACGAAAACTTGGTCGTGTTATTTTCTGCGTAAAAACGGCGGCTTTTTTTGAAATCGTCGTCTTTACTTTCTACGTCGGTCGATTCATAACTTCTGCCGTTCTTTATTTGCTTTGATTTTACACTGCGGAAATCCTGTTTCAAATAGACGTCGGTTTTTTAATTAGGTACGTCGTTGTTTATAAACAACCATTTGAATCTCCATTTTTTAGGTGTCTAAGGTGTTATTACACGGCGGTTTTATAGAACCGTCGTCTTTTAAAAAACAACGACGGTTTTCACTTAGACCGTCGTTTTTTTCTGGTCGTCTTTGTCACTTTTTGTAGTAGTGGATCATGATCCTCCTTAGCAAATGCCTCTACAGCCTGGCAAGGAAAATTGATATCCTTACACTTGAAGGCTGCTAAGAGAAACTACTCTCCACGTTTTATAGATCAAATAATTGCAAATAAAATACTAAACCCTAAAAAGCCACATACAGCCTGGAAATATTCCTTCATTGTAGTCCGATACTCCTTCATAGCTTTACGAAAAACCTGGCGTCATCTGCATCTGCAATTTAGCACACTTTAATTATGAAAGAAAATACAAACATAAAAATGAAATTGACAGATAAATCAAGAGCAACCACACATCAAAATTAGCTAGTGCCTTAATAGGTCTATCTTTAGTACAAATCTGGATTTCATGGGAAATGAATAAAATCCAGAGAACAGTTTACCATTTACCATACAAACCGATTCCAATACTCCTATCTAAAAAAAACCAGGGAAATGAAGTTTCCCCCATACATAGAAAAGGTTCTTCAGAAATGAGCCAAGAGTCTTTCTCAGAGAGCTGAAAGTTCTGTCATCCTGAGTTTATAAACAGAAAATGTGGTTTTGAGACATGTTTGCATAAATATATACACATGGAGACATCAGTACACGCCTTTTTTCTTAAATAAAAAAATAATAATAAATAAAGGAAGAGAGAGAGAGAGAGAGGGGGGTAGTACCTGCTTCTTCTTTTTCAAGGACTCTTCCAGTTTAGCAATTTTATCAGTACAAGCTTTCTCATGCTCAGATATCAGACTCCTTTCTTTCTTTCCTGACATGACATCAATCCATCAGAAAATTTTGGTGTATTTGATTTCACTATAAGGAGGAGTAAAGGAGTTTTGTTGCTTGCTCAGTTGTTCATATCGTGTGCAGAGCCTTTCCTTCTCTTCTTCGTAGTTGGAAATGAAGTCTGTCAAATAGAACAACAATGCTCAACAGAGTCGATGGGTTATATTAGCTAATAATTGCAAGGCCTGTTCTGCAGTTTTGATATGATGCTCTTAAATTTTACTTATTACTGGAAAATGGAGCCAAACTAAAGGAGCTACATGCATAAGATGACAGTCGACAATGTCATGTTCTGTGTGCAGAGTAATAAAAAGCAGAGGCTTCGTATCCATAAATCCGAAACCGAAATTGTGCAGACAAAAATGCTAGTTGCTGATAAGAAACTTTGCTAAATCACTATGTGCAGACAAATAAGCTAGTTGCTGATTAGGTAAATACCTATTCAATTGAATTTATGCTATTAATTACACTTACAATCCAGTTACACAGAAACGCTTAATAGTATGAAGAGAAATCAGATGCAATTACAAGATTTGGAAACTGTAGGGACTACCTTTCAAGGCCTGTAGATATTGGGCTTGGAACTTGGCAGTTTCAGTCTTCAAGCAATTCTCACACTGCAGACATATATTATATATAACCAAATTATTAATCAGAATAAAAATTTTGGGCATCAAACAAATTAACTAGAAATTCAAATTTCTCCGCAAGGTCATCCATGGTTTACCTCTTTTCTTCTCCTTCCACAGACCTCTTTTGAGCTCTTCGAAAGAGATTTAGCGGAACTTTTGTAAGAATATTTTATAAATATTCTGTGTGGCCCACATGAAGTGACCTATGTGGTAAATAAATTGTTTAATTGGTTTAATAAATATTATTCAGAATAATTATATTGGTCAAATAAAGAGAAGTAGTTTCCTATTATTACTGTGATGGGTGGTAATTGATTATGGGCTTCACTAGGAAACGGGTCCTCTCTCTGCCTATAATAGTGCACATACCCATCTTATGTGTACACTGATGAAGACACGGATTAGGGTTTTCTAAACGTGCAAAAGGCTAGAGAGAGAAATCTATTTCCTCCACACTGACGACTCGCCTACGGATTGCTCAAGACAAATATCTTGATATGGTAGAAGACTAATCATTCAAGGTATGTATGTAATTTAAGTCTAATTGAATTTCCGCCTAATGTTATTGTGAAAATCATGAAGTTCAAGATCTTGGGTCATGGATTAGGTTCTTATGGTTTTACCCAATATTAAGTTTACAACTTTGTCTGACAATTGAAGAATACAAAAGGCATAAAATCCAAATGCCTAAATAGTAGCTGTTTGAACATTTCATATAAAGCTTAAAAAAAGATGGTTCATTAGGTTTCACTAAATAAAATTAAAGATTCATAATGTAAATTCTATCAGAACTAACGCAGATAAGCAAGCAATTGTACCTTCAATTTTCAGAGTTTATTGCAATCTGTAAACGAAATGGAAAACAAAGCAATAAAACAAGGACAATCGAATTAATCTCGCAAAGAAACAACTCAACGATATTCGAATTTCGGCGATAATCAAACTGGACCAGACCGATATGATTCGGCTCACCTTGAAACGGTCTCTTCGTTCTTCTTAAGCCCGTCCTTGTGAGCTTTCTCTCGGATCTGGTGCAGTGCCGACATAATTCCTTTTGTTGACGCAGAAAAATGGTTTGGCACTTTCCCGCGCAACTTAGTGATTTATTTTTCCTTCGGTATTCTATGGCCTCGGTAGGGCGTTATACCTGTAAGATAGCAAACGCACAGTAAGTCCTAGGGCACCGGTGTGGTACCGGCCGAAGGCTCTCCGATGCTTAAGTAAGTATAGATTTAGTAAGTTTGAACTACATATCAATAGGTAGTATGTCGTGAGTTCTGATTGATTACCTCCAAACTAAGGTGGTTGTCCTCTTTTATAGGCCTTGGGAGGTGTGCAATTTGTTTAGAGTTTTGATGTGGGACTGTGGACATCAATTGTGGGACTGCCACATGTCCCTGGGGGTGAGGTTGCCCTAATGATGCGACCGGTAGGAATGATACCGAAGATAGATGCCGAAGGCTCCCATCGCTCGGGTTTGGTCCACGTGTCCGATGTTCACTGGCTGTTCATTTTGGTATAAACACCTTTGATATCACTGTAAAATTCAACCATAATCTCAATCTCATAACTTCATCCACAAATCTACGAGAAACAAAAAAGATCAAGAAGAAATTATAGGAAAACGAACTTGGAGAGGTCGAGATCGAGGTGATCCGATTTGGTGAGCTGAGGCTCGGTCCTGCGCTTCTTGTTACTCGCTTTGGCGGTCGACATTGTTATTAGGCTTCCAAATTATAAAAAACCGTTTTTTAAATGTTAAAATAGTAAAACCATTTTTTTTCTTTTTCTGAAAATAATAAAACCTTCTAAGTGAGGACGCGGAGTCCGTGTTGTACAAGAATTCCTATAGACGTTAGGGTTACGCAGCCCACTGAAGCCTATATAATGACCCCGTCTCTTTTCTCTCATAATTTACCCTAAATCCCAATTTACGCAGCCCAAGCGGCAGTTTTAGTTTTCCCCTTCCGAGCAAACACAGTCATGGACGGCGGCCTTGTGTCTCCACTTTTGCAAATCCACCGGCCAAAGCCAATCAGTATGTTTTTCCTTTTTCGTTTAATTTAAGGGTTTGTGATGAAGATTATGTGCAATTTAATTATATGCCTTAGATTTTGTGTATGATAAATTCCCTATGAGAATATCCTCGCTTTGGTTATAGTAGAATTTCGAACAATATCCTGCCTCTAGATGTTAGGTGGAAGCATGTTGCATATGACATTTTCTCCATGTATCATTGTGTGCTCTGGTAAAATCAAAGTGTTGTTTTAATATTATTTTTGTTGGTGTAATTATAGAGGATATATATTATGCCAAAATTTTGAATCGGTTTTTGAAGATAATTTTTTCCATTTAAGTTATTTTGGTATGTAGATGATATTTAATAATATTGTTATTTGTTGATGGATGTCATTCCTTCTAACTTCTTTGGCATCTTCACCTTTCTTCTTTTGTATTTATTGGTAATTTTTTATTTTAGGGAAAAAGAAAAAAAGAAAAAAATGCGCCTACATCTTCTCTATTTACATATATTCGTTTTTTTAAATCTCTTATGACATAACATATTTGTTCTGCCAAATTTTGAATCAGCCTTTGAAGATTTTTTTTTTCCAGCCAATTTATTTTGGTGTGTGCGTGATGCATAGCCGATATTTAATACTATCGTTATTTGTTGATGGGATCATAAATGTCATTCCTTCTAACTTCTTTGACATCACCACCTTTTTTCTTTTTGTATTTAACAATGTAATTGCATGGAAACAGGGAGCCAGGGTATTGAATCAAATATTGTTGAATCAAAGGCTGTTGAATCTGAGGTTGTTGAACTTATTGGTAAGCTTTTGATTTTAGGGACAAAGAAAAAAAATGCACCTACAACTTCTATATTTACATATATTCCTCTTCTTTTTTTTTAATCTCTTATGACATAACATCTATACTATGCCAAAATTTTGAATCAGTTTTTTAAGATGATTTTTTCTAGCCAAGTTATTTTGGTGTGTGCATGATATAGCCGATATTTAATAATATCGTTATTTGTTGATGGGATTATAGATGTCATTCCTTCTAACTTCTTTGACATCATCACCTTTTTTATTTGTGTATTTAACAATATAATTGCATGGAAACAGGTAGCGAGGCTGATGAATTTGAGGAGGCTGATGAATCGGAGGCTGATGAATCGGAGGCTGATGAATCCGAGATTGATGAATCCGAGATTGATGAATCGGAGACTGATGACTCGGAGGCTGATGAGTCGGATTCTGAAAAACTTATTGGTAAGCTTTTGATTTTGGGGACCAAAAAAAATCTCTTATAACATCTATGTGTTTGTTGTTATTTTATGTAATGTGCTAACAATACTGATTTTTTAGTTTTATCACCTTCATTCATTCATTGTTTTAAAAATAATAATAATAATAACTGATTCTTTTTATTGCTTTTATTGTATTTAACAATGGATCAACATATTGCACGCAGGTCGTGAATGTCAGTTTTGTTTAAAGGTGGGTGATCACTTCTCACAAACATGCTCTTACAGGTATCATGTCCCAAAGAACGCAATTGTTGGCAAGAGGTGTATGGTAGTTTGTAATTTGTGTGGTTGCCTCTTTAGAGACTCATGTTGTGGCATTTGTGGCCAAAGCGATGGATGTGCAATTCTTATGAACTGTTTACATTGTGGGAAGATAGGTGAACACTTGATGTCTATGTGTCCGAGCCGCGAGGGGAAACCTTCTTGTTTTTCTTTGGACCCTTATACTGGTTCTGTTATTTCCATTTAAGTGGTAGAGAATGGAGAGTTAATGGTACTCTAAAAGTTAAAGCAAAGATTAAATGTTAATTTCAATTTCAACAAATTTTTAGAATTTTCATTTTAAATGTTTTTAAATAATTGTACTCTTCGTAGACTTGTAGAGTAACTCACTTTATGAGTAGATCTCCTGCAATATTTAATTTGACTCCTACATGTGGCCATGTATCCCTATGTTGTATGAGATTGACTGCATACACCAATAAATCACCCAAGTTTTAATTGTACTTACTGGTTCTCTGTCATCTGCTGCTCAGGTGGAATTTGAGCCACCTTTTCCTCCTTAGGTGTACCCTTTTTCTTGTTGCTCTTTTTATCCTCTTTATCCTTCCAACTCTCTACTCTGTTCTTCCAAATTGGACTCCCATAGTCATCATTTAATTCTTCAAAGATAACAAAATAAGATAATTATAAAATATAAAAAAACGAGACAAGGGAATAAATCAAGCAAGAAACAGAAATATGACTGACCACTATCCACTGCAGACACATTGCTGACGTGCCTAGCATGAACTCCGATATCCTGCTTAAACAAAGATAAAATTCGCAAGCTGTAAGAAACCTAATATTCTTAAACACACTGAGTATAAACAAAATATTAACTCATTTTAATGAATCTATCAACTATAAAAGATAATAATAATAATAATAATAACAATAGTACTAGCTCAGCAACCTCAGCCTTATCCTAAATATGAAATGGCTTTAAATGAATGAGGAAAAGTGGAGTGGAATTGGGGTGAAGATGAAATTTGAATTTCATATTGCTAAAGCATTTTGCTTAAGAATTTGAGGTGAGAATTATAAATTCATGGAGAGAGTTGTGTGCGTTGAAAGCTTAATCCTAAATATATATTCGGATTTTGAACCCTAAATTCAATTCCAAAGGTCTACACCTAAATTATGGATCACAAACACAAACACAAACTTCATATTTGAATTCGATTTGGACTAGACTCCGGACCCTAAATTCTACTGCTTTATCGTAGCTTATGATATCTTTTATTATTTATGTGTGATTTTATAATTAATTGGTTTACTTTTGGACCAAGCAGTCTTGGTGCCCAAGTCTTGTAAAGCCTATAAATAAGGCTAATGTAATAGTTGTAAGGGAATGGAATATTGATGATTAATGAAATAGTTTATTTGTGGCATGGATTTGCTACGATATATGTGAGTTTGCACTAGCCCTAGATTTCGGTGCTCGTGTATGTGGTTGGTGACCTGTGTCCCGATCCCCGATCCCTATCAATTGGTATCAGAGCTATGGCTCAAGATCTGCTTTATCGGGGAGGTTTTTGGATGGAGGGTCGTGTTGACAACTACAACGACATGGAGGAAATTAGGAGGATACTACGGCAACTTACGGAACGCGTCGCTCGCATCGAAGCTCGAACCCAGATAGGTAAGAGTTCTAACGGGGAGAGATGCGTGAACCCTTATTTGAACCGAGTAGCTCGCATCGACACTCTAAGCCGTGGGAGTCTCGACGGGGAGTACGAGGGGGATAACTCTTTTCATTATTGCGCTTCGTTGTGTGAGTCAAGTGAAGAGTACGGTTATTCTCATTGTGTCTTTGAAGGTATAAATAGATTTGGTAATTTTGGTACATCTTATTATTCATCAAAGTTATTAAATTTGGATTTGCCTCCAATATTTGATCCTTGCAACTGTGAAAATTGCAATGAAAATTGTTTGGGTGTTCAAAGCAATTTTGATAAGCAATTTATTGATCAGAACAGTGAAGATATGAGAATTGAGAAAACTTTCGAAGATATTATTGATTTTATGGGCATTAATGTTTTCACTTGGAAGGTTGCCAAAACTTTGGTTGATTTTGTCAGTCGGTTGAAGATTCTAGAGAGAAACATTTGCATTGTTAGAGGGAGTAAGAAGAAGCCAAGAATAACGAAATATTCCAAATATCTATTTATTTGGAAAGGAAGGTTTCAATTGGATGCCAAAAGATCTAGAATTAATATGAAGCAATTGGAGATTTTACTCGGATTTTCCTCAATCAAAGGCTTGAATTCGAGGACGAATTCTTTCCAACCAGGGGAGTCTGATGCAGAAGCATAGGGGTGGATCAAGATAGATATTTATCATTTAATTAGTTATTTCATGATATATTTTTATTTTTTTATTTAGGTAGTTTTATGATATCTTTTATTATTTATGTGTGATTTTATAATTAATTAGTTACTTTTGGACCAAGCAGTCTTGGTGCCCAAGTCTTGTTAAACCTATAAATAAGGATATTGTAATAGTTGTAGGGAATTGAATATTGATGATTAATGAAATAGTTTATTTGTGGCATGGATTTGCTACGATATATGTGAGTTTGCACTAGCCCTAGATTTCGGTGCTCGTGTATGTGGTTGGTGACCTGTGTCCTGATCCCGATCCCCATCAATATTTGATGCAGGGCAGCGGCTATAAGCTGCTGTCCAGCGACCCAAACATACCCAAAATACAGAGAATAGAAGGATAAAGCAGTAGAATCGAAGTTGGAACGAAGATAATTGAGTTCTAGGGCAAAATCCCAACAGAAACTCTATAGACTAACGTCTGAAATTATATTCATCAACAAAACTAAATACAAGAGTCTCTAAATAGCCTATTTATACTAGAATACACCAGCCTAGAATTCCTATTCCTAGTTTAATAAGAAATCCTAATTGACAAAGGAAATTAAAACCTAAACAGGAAAATAAACCAAATCCTAGTAAGAATAGGAAAACAAGTAATAAAATAACCTATTAATTTAATATAACTAAAACTTAGCCTTATTGGCTGATGCCCACTTAGATTAGGAAAATCTAATAGATGCTCCTGCATCAACTCCACCGGGTTGGGAAGAATTCTTCCTCGAATTCCAATCGTTTGGTGAAAACCGCCTAGACATAACCTCCTTTTAGATAAGTTGTCCATAGAACTTTGGCCTTGATATTGAACCTTCCCACACCAAAGAAATAGATATTTAGAATATTTGATCCTTCTGGAACAGTACCAGATATCTTCTGCAGCCAAACTCTCAGCCCAAAACTCTTCACGCTAAAAACCAGTAGTCTAACAAGGTCAATGACGTTCTTGGTAGTTTGAAAATTAAAAGAATCAACCCCAAGAAAATCAGCATACTCATAAGTATCACCTTTGAAGGAATTCAGCTCATCTCCAACAATTCCCCCAAGAATTTCTTGAATTACCTTTCCTTCAAATGTGGGTTGATTGTGTTGCTTCAAAAGTTCAAACCCAGCTTCTTCTTGATTCACTGCCTTCAAGATTACACTAGATTCACCTTGTTTACTCTCACCAAATACCTTGTCAGAAGCTTTCTCAATTCCCAAACAAACTTCACAATCTTCTTCCAAACAACAGTCAAACACGGGAGGGTCTTCAAATTTAGGGTATTGTCATCTTCTAATTTATTTGAAGCCCCCTCAACATCCTTCTTAGTAACAAGTGGATACACAGACGCCACCTTCTTGCTCTCAATGTCAAACTCATGGCAGAATCCTTCTTCAAGCGACTGCAAAGTCCACTTTCTCCCATCCTTATAGAATGAATATGTGTTAGCTTTAGTAGAATGCATCATGTCTTTGTCAAACAACCATGGTCTTCCCAATAAGATATGACATGCGTCTGTGGGAACAACATCACACCAAGCTTCATCCTCAATGGTATTACCAATAGTAAATTTAACCAAACACCTTGAAGTGATTGGTACTTCGCTTCCCTTTCGAAACCATGCAACCTTGTAGGGATTAGGATGCTTTTCAATTGGTAACTTCAATTTTTCTACCGCCTCCTTTGAAATAATGTTTTCACTACTTCCTCCATCAAAAATCACGTTGCACACCTTTTCCCCACAAAGGACTCGTGTTCGGAATATATTATGTCGACGCCAATCCTCTTCCTCAACTTTGGGAGTTGTCATCACTCGTCTTACCAACAAACATTCTCCTTCAACTGGTAAGAGATCAATAACTTCCTCTTCGTTGCCATAAACATCATACGATGGCTTTGGAAAGTTGATCTTATCACCTACCAAATTTATTCTTCTTTGTGGACAAGCGTAAGATTTATGCCCCGCCTCTCCGCAATTGAAACATCGAGCTTGTGAAGTACTTCCAGCCTTGGAATTCTTGACATTAGCGCCGTTTGGAGGATGAAATTGTGTTGTTTCCTTCCCCTTTTCACTCTTATTAGCACCCGAGTTCCTACCACCTATTCGGGTACTTGGATTGGCTTCTTCATCGCTTTGCGAACCCGTGTCTGGGTGGCTGGAAACTGCTCTCTTTCCACCACGACGCGATAGTCTTCGCTCTGCCATTAAAGCATATTGTCTAGCATCTTCAAGGTTGAACAAACGAACCACCCCCCATCTCATCTCGAATTGTCTGATTCAAACCAGAAAGATAACGAGATGTCATCTGTTCATTAGTCTCATTCAAACCAACTCGAATTGAGAGATTATTAAACTCTGATGTATATTCTTCAACAGACATGTCTCGTTGCTTTAAGTTATGAAACTGCTCATATAACTCCATGGTATAATCAGCAGGTAAAAACTGCTTTCGTAACTTGGATTTCATACGATCCCATGTGTTGATCTTCTGCTTCCCCTGCCGAGCACGCTGCTCTTCAACTCTCTTCCACCATTGAAGCGCGGTACTCTTCAATTTAAGCTTTACAAACAACACCTTGCGATCTTCTGCCATAGGCTTCCATTCAAAATAATTCTCTAGACTTGCCTCCCAATCCAAATAATCTTCAACATGCATCTTTCCATAGAAATCAACAACTTCAATTTTAATTCCTCCACCATTCAAATCCAACGCACGAACCAACCGCTCTTCCAATCCACCTCGATGACCACCACCATGGTTTCCAGCTTCATGAAAAAGGTTGTCGACGTCCGTTTCGTCTTCATATTCATCCTCACCACCACCTTCCGGTATGTGTAAGGGTCCGCGGTTGCGTTCCGGAATCTCCATATAGGCATCCGCGCGTTCCTGTCGTTGGAGGGCTTGCACCGCTCTCGACAAGTCTTCCATCATACGCCGCATCTCAGCCATCTCTGTGTGTTGGGCTTGGTTCCCTCGTCCACGACCTCTAGCACGTCCAACCATGGTGTGGAGCAAGGATTAACCTAGGCTCTAATACCAATTTGATGCAGGGCAGCGGCTATAAGCTGCTGTCCAGCGACCCAAACATACCCAAAATACAGAGAATAGAAGGATAAAGCAGTAGAATCGAAGTTGGAACGAAGATAATTGAGTTCTAGGGCAAAATCCCAACAGAAACTCTATAGACTAACGTCTGAAATTATATTCATCAACAAAACTAAATACAAGAGTCTCTAAATAGCCTATTTATACTAGAATACACCAGCCTAGAATTCCTATTCCTAGTTTAATAAGAAATCCTAATTGACAAAGGAAATTAAAACCTAAACAGGAAAATAAACCAAATCCTAGTAAGAATAGGAAAACAAGTAATAAAATAACCTATTAATTTAATATAACTAAAACTTAGCCTTATTGGCTGATGCCCACTTAGATTAGGAAAATCTAATAGATGCTCCTGCATCAACTCCACCGGGTTGGGAAGAATTCTTCCTCGAATTCCAATCGTTTGGTGAAAACCGCCTAGACATAACCTCCTTTTAGATAAGTTGTCCATAGAACTTTGGCCTTGATATTGAACCTTCCCCACACCAAAGAAATAGATATTTAGAATATTTGATCCTTCTGGAACAGTACCAGATATCTTCTGCAGCCAAACTCTCAGCCCAAAAACTCTTCACGCTAAAAACCAGTAGTCTAACAAGGTCAATGACGTTCTTGGTAGTTTGAAAATTAAAAGAATCCACCCCAAGAAAATCAGCATACTCATAAGTATCAACTTTGAAGGAATTCAGCTCATCTCCAACAATTCCCCCAAGAATTTCTTGAATTACCTTTCCTTCAAATGTGGGTTGATTGTGTTGCTTCAAAAGTACAAACCCAGCTTCTTCTTGATTCACTGCCTTCAAGATTACACTAGATTCAGCTTGTTTACTCTCACCAAATACCTTGTCAGAAGCTTTCTCAATTCCCAAACAAACTTCACAATCTTCTTCCAAACAACAGTCAAACACGGGAGGGTCTTCTAAATTTAGGGTATTGTCATTTTCTAATTTATTTGAAGCCCCCACAACATCCTTCTTAGTAACAAGTGGATACACAGACGCCACCTTCTTGCTCTCAATGTCAAACTCATGGCAGAATCCTTCTTCAAGCGACTGCAAAGTCCACTTTCTCCCATCCTTATAGAATGAATAGGTGTTAGCTTTAGTAGAATGCATCATGTCTTTGTCAAACAACCATGGTCTTCCCAATAAGATATGACATGCGTTTGTGGGAACAACATCACACCAAGCTTCATCCTCAATGGTATTACCAATAGTAAATTTAACCAAACACCTTGAAGTGATTGGTACTTCGCTTCCCTTTCGAAACCATGCAACCTTGTAGGGATTAGGATGCTTCTCAATTGGTAACTTCAATTTTTCTACCGCCTCCTTTGAAATAATGTTTTCACTACTTCCTCCATCAAAAATCACGTTGCACACCTTTTCCTCACAAAGGACTCGTGTTCGGAATATATTATGTCGACGCCAATCCTCTTCCTCAACTTTGGGAGTTGTGATCACTCGTCTTACCAACAAACATTCTCCTTCAACTGGTAAGAGATCAATAACTTCCTCTTCGTTGCCATAAACATCATACGATGGCTCTGGAAAGTTGATCTTATCACCTACCAAATTTATTCTTCTTTGTGGACAAGCGTAAGATTTATGCCCCGCCTCTCCGCAATTGAAACATCGAGCTTGTGAAGTACTTCCAGCCTTGGAATTCTTGACATTAGCGTCGTTTGGAGGATGAAATTGTGTTGTTTCCTTCCCCTTTTCACTCTTATTAGCACTCGAGTTCCTACCACCTATTCGGGTACTTGGATTGGCTTCTTCATCGCTTTGCGAACCCGTGTCTGGGTGGCTGGAAACTGCTCTCTCCACCACGACGCGATAGTCTTCGCTCTGCCATTAAAGCATATTGTCTAGCATCTTCAAGGTTGAACAAACGAACCACCCCCATCTTATCTCGAATTGTCTGATTCAAACCAGAAAGATAACGAGATGTCATCTGTTCATTAGTCTCATTCAAACCAACTCGAATTGAGAGATTATTAAACTCTGATGTATATTCTTCAACAGACATGTCTCGTTGCTTTAAGTTATGAAACTGCTCATATAACTCCATGGTATAATCAGCAGGTAAAAACTGCTTTCGTAACTTGGATTTCATACGATCCCATGTGTTGATCTTCTGCTTCCCCTGCCGAGCACGCTGCTCTTCAACTCTCTTCCACCATTGAAGCGCGGTACTCTTCAATTTAAGCTTTACAAACAACACCTTGCGATCTTCTGCCATAGGCTTCCATTCAAAATAATTCTCTAGACTTGCCTCCCAATCCAAATAATCTTCAACATGCATCTTTCCATAGAAATCAACAACTTCAATTTTAATTCCTCCACCATTCAAATCCAACGCACGAACCAACCGCTCTTCCAATCCACCTCGATGACCACCACCATGGTTTCCAGCTTCATGGAAAAGGTTGTCGACGTCCGTTTCGTCTTCATATTCATCCTCACCACCACCTTCCGGTATGTGTAAGGGTCCGCGGTTGCGTTCCGGAATCTCCATATAGGCATCCGCGCGTTCCTGTCGTTGGAGGGCTTGCACCGCTCTCGACAAGTCTTCCATCATACGCCGCATCTCAGCCATCTCCGTGTGTTGGGCTTGGTTCCCTCGTCCACGACCTCTAGCACGTCCAACCATGGTGTGGAGCAAGGATTAACCTAGGCTCTAATACCAATTTGATGCAGGGAAGCGGCTATAAGCTGCTGTCCAGCGACCCAAACATACCCAAAATACAGAGAATAGAAGGATAAAGCAGTAGAATCGAAGTTGGAACGAAGATAATTGAGTTCTAGGGCAAAATCCCAACAGAAACTCTATAGACTAACGTCTGAAATTATATTCATCAACAAAACTAAATACAAGAGTCTCTAAATAGCCTATTTATACTAGAATACACCAGCCTAGAATTCCTATTCCTAGTTTAATAAGAAATCCTAATTGACAAAGGAAATTAAAACCTAAACAGGAAAATAAACCAAATCCTAGTAAGAATAGGAAAACAAGTAATAAAATAACCTATTAATTAATATAACTAAAACTTAGCCTTATTGGCTGATGCCCACTTAGATTAGGAAAATCTAATAGATGCTCCTGCAGGGCAGCGGCTAAAGGCAGCTGTCCAGCGATCCAAACGTACCCAAAATACAGAGAATAGAAGGATAAAGCTGTAGAATTGAAGCTGGAACGAAGATAATTGAGTTCTAGGGCTAAATTCCCAAGAAAACTCTTTAGACTAAAGTCTGAAATTGTATTGATTAAAAACTGAATACAAAAGTCTCTTAACAGCCTATTTATACTAGAATACACCAGCCTAGAATTCCTATTCCTAGTTTACTAAGGAAACCTAATTGATAAAGGAATTTAGAAACAAAACAAGAAACTTAAACCAAATCCTAATGAAGAGGGGAAAACAATTAATTTAATAAAGTAAAATATCTAAAACTTAGCCCTTTTTGACTAGGATTGATGCTCCTGCATCAACTCCACCGGGTTGGAAAGAACTCGACTCTGGTGAGAAAGCTTTAACAACTTCAGCATATATTTCTGGATCAATCCTCTTTAATTCTTCTTCAGGAACCCACGTGCTCTCAGTAGCGTTCTTACCCAACCATTTCACTAAGAACCGCCTATACTGGTTACCTCTCCTTGACTTTACCTCTTTGATATCCAACACATCTTCAACAATTTCAGGGTGAGCCTTTGGAAGTTGTTGGATTTGTGCCTCTGTTGAAACTGGTTCCTCATCAAATCCTTCAAATAAATACAAGTCAGACACATTGAAAATTGGGCTAATCTGGAGATCAGGGGGCAGCTCTAACATGTAGGCGTTTGAACTAATTTTCTTCAACACCTTGCATGGCCCAAACTTTTTAGACTTCAATTTATGGTATGTGCCTTTCGGGAATCTGTCTCGTCTTAAATGCACCAAAACCATATCACCTTCTTCAAAATCTTTGAGTCTCCGATGTTGATTTGCAGCGGCTGCATATGACTCATTACTAGCCTTTATAGCTGTCTTTACTTCCTCATGCACTCTTTTCACGTGATCTGCAAAACCCTCTCCTTCATCACTCACCCTCATCTCTTGTGGAAGTGGAACTAGGTCAATAATATGTTGAGGTTTAAGTCCATAAGCAGCTTCAAATGGTGTCTTCTTTGTTGATCGATTCACAGAATTGTTGTATGCAAATTCAGCTTGTGGAATGATCAAATCCCATGTCTTGACATTGCTTCCAACAAGGCACCTTAGCATATTACCCAGACTTCTATTTACTACTTCAGTTTGACCATCCGTCTGCGGATGACAAGTGCTAGAATACTTTAGATCAGTTCCAAACTTCCTCCAAAGAGTCCTCCAAAAATGCCCAGTAAACTTAACATCCCTATCTGAAACGATAGATGTTGGCACACCATGTAGTCTCACCACTTCTTTAAAGAATAAATCAGCTATATGTGTAGCATCTGCTGTTCTAGCACATGGAATGAAATGTGCCATCTTGGAAAAGCGATCTACCACGACAAAAAGACTATCATGTCCTCTGGCTGTTTTCGGAAGTCCTAACACAAAGTCCATACTAATATGAACCCAAGGGGCTTCTGCAACTGGTAAGGGCGTGTATAAACCCGTATTTTGTGAACTTCCTTTGCCAAACTGACAGATTTGACACTTACGGACAAGTCTATCAACGTCCTTGTACATCCCAGGCCAATAATAACGATCAGTCACCATAGCCAATGTTTTATCCCTTCCAAAATGTCCTCCTAATCCATTGCCATGAAGCTCCCTAATGATTTGTTCACGTAATGATCCCTCGGGAATACACAACAAATTTCTTTTGAATAAATACCCATCATGCATTCGAAATGGTAACATCTTCCAACCTGTTGGACCTTGGAGTTCAGAAACTATAGAGCTGAAATATGAATCCGTAGCATATTGTTCTTTTAACTCCTCAAAGCCAATAACTTGGGTACTCATCGTTGTTAATAATAGATTCCTTCGGCTCAAGGCATCCGCAACTTTGTTAGATTCACCCGTCTTGTAGTTGAGAGAAAAATTGAATTCTTGAAGATATGAACTCCATTTGACATGCCGAGCATTCAACTTCTTTTGAGAGTTCAAGTACCTTAAAGCTTGATGATCAGAATAAACCACGAATTCTTTATAAGCGAGGTAGTGCTCCCAATGTTGAATTGCCCGAACCAAAGCGTAAAATTCTAAGTCATAGGTAGAATAGCGACATTTAGCACCAGACAACTTCTCACTAAAGAACTCCACGGGTCTGCCTTCTTGACTCAAAACAACCCCAATTCCAACATGGGATGCATCGCATTCAATAGTGAATAACTTCTCAAAATCTGGTAAAGTAAGTACTGGAGCTTCTGTCATCAATACCTTTATTTGTTCAAAAGCTCTTTGTGCTGACTTTGACCATTCAAAGCTGTTTTGTTTCAAGCATTCAGTGATCGGATTCATAATAGAGCTGAAACCACGGATGAACCTCCTATAAAACGAGACCAATCCATGAAAACTCCGAACATCACCCACAGATTGTGGCACTGGCCACTCCATAATAGCTCTTATCTTCTCAGGATCTGCTTGCAAGCCATTAGTTGAAACAACAAAGCCTAGGAATACAACTTTGTCGCTCAAGAAGGAACACTTTTTAAGATTTATATAAAGTTGTTCCTTCCGAAGGGCCTCCAGAACTTGCCGCAAATGGATTAAGTGCTCTTCAGAAGTTTGACTATATATTAATATGTCATCAAAATAAACCACCACAAATAAACCTAAGAAAGGTTTTAATACCTCAGTCATGACTCGCATAAATGTGCTTGGAGCATTGGAGAGTCCAAATGGCATCACTAACCACTCGTAAAGGCCATTAGGAGTTTTGAAAGCTGTTTTCCATTCGTCACCGCTCCTCATGCGAATTTGATGGTACCCACTTCTCAAATCAATTTTGGAGAACACCTTAGATCCTGCCAGCATGTCAAGCATATCTTCTAATCGAGGGATAGGGAACCGGTATTTCACTGTAATCTTGTTAATGGCACGACTGTCCACACACATCCTCCATGTTTGATCTTTCTTTGGTGTTAACAATGCTGGAACTGCGCATGGACTTTTGCTTTCACGCACTAACCCTTTAGCAATTAGATCTTCTACTTGCCTCTGAATTTCAGCTCGTTGGGTGGGTGGCATCCGATATGCAGGAAGGTTAGGTAATGCTGCTCCAGGCACCAAATCAATAGCATGTTGAATACTCCTCATTGGTGGTAAACCTTGTGGTAATTCATCACCAACTAGCTCTTGGAATTCCATTAATATGTGCTGAATTTCTTTCGGAAACTCATTAAATTTCAGCAGTTGATCAGCTCCTATCTCTTTAGCAACAAGCGCATACATATTCCCATTTCTTTGCTCTCTTGTTCAAAATTATGGCCTGTTAAAACCCACTGACTTTGGTTACCTTAGGATTGTTGTTCACTTCTTTGAGTGGTTGCAAGCTCAATTTCTTCCCATCTTGATGGAATACATAGGTGTTGGCTTTAGTGTAGTGAATCATGTCTTTGTCAAACAACCAAGGTCTTCCTAATAAGATATGACATGCATCCATGGGAACGACGTCGCACCACACTTCATCATCAATAGTATTACCAATAGTGAATTTAACCAAACACCTTGAAGTAACTGGTACTTCGTTCCCCTTTCGAAACCATGCAACCTTGTAGGGATTAGGATGCTTCTCAATCGGTAACTTAAGTTTTTCCACTGCCTCCTTTGAGATGATGTTCTCACTACTTCCTCCATCAAGGATCACGTTACACACCTTTCCCCCACATTGGACTCGTGTTCGAAATATATTATGACGCCGCCAATCTTCTTCCTCAACTTTGGGAGTTGTCATCACTCGTCTGACCACCAAAGATTCTCCTTCAACTGGTAATAGATCAATAACTTCCTCCTCATTACCAAAATTGTCATAGGTTGGTTCAGGAAAATCAGTTATCTCATCTTCATACTCTGCCAAATTCACCCTTTTTTGTGGACAACCGTAAGACGTGTGCCCCTTCTCACCACATGTGTAACAACGCACTTGTGATGTACTGTCACCCCTAGGATTGCGTGGAACAGCAGTGTTTTGAGACCCAAATTTTGCAACTTCCTTCCCTTTTTCACTCCTATCAACGCCCATCATGTTCCTACCACCAGTTCGGCCTCCTTGTTCGCTTCGAACCCCACGAACAGCTGTTGTATTTCTCTGCCAATAATTATCTATGCGTCCAGAAACAACTCTCCTTCCTCCACGTCGCACTTGTCGACGTTCGGCCATTAAGGCATATTGTCGAGCATCTTCAAGGTTGAACAAGCGAACCACCCCCAGCTCATCTATAATGGTTTGATTCAAACCAGAAAGGTAACGAGAAGTCATCTGTTCATTAGTCTCATTCAAACCAACGCGAAGCGAAAGATTATCAAACTCAGACGTATATTCTTCAACAGACATGTCGCGTTGTTTTAGGTTATGAAACCGTTCATATAATTCCATAGTGTAATCAGCTGGTAGAAACTGCTTGCGTAACTTGGCTTTCATATGATCCCATGTGTTGATCTTCTGTTTTCCTTGTCGAACACGCTGCTCTTCAACTCTCTTCCACCATTGAAGCGCGATGCTCTTCAATTTAAGCTTTACAAACAACACTTTACGATCATCTGTCATAGGCTTCCATTCAAAATAATTCTCTAGGCTTGCTTCCCAATCCAAATAATCTTCGGCATGCATCTTTCCATAGAAATCAGCAACTTCAATTTTAATTCCTCCACCATTCAAATCCAACGCACGAACCAACCGCTCTTCCAATCCACCTCTATCACCATCACCATGGTTTCCAGCGTTATGAAAAGGGTTGTCGACGTCCGTCTCGTCTTCATATTCATCCTCATCACCACCTTCCGGTATGTGTAAGGGTCCGCGGTTGCGTTCCGGAATCTCCATATAGGCATCCGCGCGTTCCTGTCGTTGGAGGGCTTGCACCGCTCTCGACAAGTCTTCCATCATACGCCGCATCTCAGCCATCTCTGTGTGTTGGGCTTGGTTCCCTCGTCCACGACCTCTAGCACGTCCAACCATGGTGTGGAGCAAGGATTAACCTAGGCTCTAATACCAATTTGATGCAGGGCAGCGGCTAAAGGCAGCTGTCCAGCGATCCAAACGTACCCAAAATACAGAGAATAGAAGGATAAAGCTGTAGAATTGAAGCTGGAACGAAGATAATTGAGTTCTAGGGCTAAATTCCCAAGAAAACTCTTTAGACTAAAGTCTGAAATTGTATTGATTAAAAACTGAATACAAAAGTCTCTTAACAGCCTATTTATACTAGAATACACCAGCCTAGAATTCCTATTCCTAGTTTACTAAGGAAACCTAATTGATAAAGGAATTTAGAAACAAAACAAGAAACTTAAACCAAATCCTAATGAAGAGGGGAAAACAATTAATTTAATAAAGTAAAATATCTAAAACTTAGCCCTTTTTGACTAGGATTGATGCTCCTGCATCACTCTTGTTACATAAGTAGTTTACATTTTCGTTTGCATGAACTGAAACTTAAGAATTTGTTTTCTTGGTAAGAAAAAGAAATCCGACCATGACCCATTTATTATTATCTTTTTATACAAACGATAATCTACGTTAATCTAATATAAACTATAGAGAGGGAGATTCAAACTCGAGTGCAGAGTGGGAGAACATCTACTTGGCTAAGTTCATGTCTGCTAACCGATTCTTCATTGGTTCAGATCTGACATAGTATGTGTTGTAGGCTAGGGCTAAGACAAGAGATAATATTTTTGGGCAGATACGGTTAATTCTCGAAATTCTTTTGATCCACTTATACATGACTCAGATAAAACGACCGACCCATTTTTCACTTTTGAAGTCCTCGTGAAATGAAACCATGGCTTAGAATCACGTTTTATTGGGTCAGCAGCTAAAACGTAATAAAGAAAACGAAGGTTTTATTGAAGGAGACAATAGCTTTACTTGCAGTGAGTTGCTCTCTCTTTTCTGCCCCTGTCATAACCTTAGTGAGCAGTAAGAGTCAGTAAAGGCATAAAAGAATGGCGGAAGCAGAAGGAGATTAGAGGGAAAAGAGAAGCTTCAAGCTCCAAAGGTCACTTTGGCCTCCTTGGACAATCGGGGGTCTTTTTATTTTTTCAATAAATAATATAATCGCGCGGCTATATTGGATTCCTTTTTTTTAAATAAATAGGCTATACTCGAAAAAGGGCTATTTTGAAAAAATAAGCGAGAGTATAGCCACTCGGCTATACTATAAAGGGAAGCGCCGAGTCACAACAAGTATAGCCCTGCGGCTATACTATTTTTTAAAAAATAAAAAATACCCGATTATAGGCCCGGGGCTATACGATTTAATTTTGAAAATGGACCAATGTGTCAAAAATAGTATAGCCGAGCGGCTATACGATTTTTAATAAAAGAAATACCGTCGTATAGAAGAATTACCGTAAAAAAATATGTATGTATATCTATCAGTTCAACAAGAATTATATATATATTCCTTAGAAAGCGTTCTTTCGATCAATTCAATCTAGTTAATTGCATGGTCGAAACAAAAGTAATTATAATTGGCGTTGGTGGTGTGTTGACGTTTTATTAGTTTTGACAGCAACAAGTGGGCAAAAACAACATGCATGGAAATAATTCCTTAATTCTTCCTCAAGTTTAAGTGTTTATAATTACACTCTCCAAATCATTAGAGCAAAGCAATTTAAGCAAATACCATGGAATGTCATCTTTTTCTCTCATTGTTCAGCTCAAGAGGAGAGAGATATGGGATCAAGCACACCAAGAACAACGTTCTAGCCTCTTATCTGTTGGATCAAGTTGAAAAAAGCCTGCTTTGAGGCCCAAATAAAAGGCCTTGTAGTGATTTAATTTGTATTTGCGATAGGTGTGTCACTGTTGGAGCTTTGGCTAAGCCCAACAAAAATAGATTAATTTGCCCTTGTAATGTGACTTCTAATCAAGTCATTGTGCTCTTAGTGGGGAACTGGCTCAAATTTAACTAAAAGATACAATATAAGAATGAAGACTTCTTGATTCAATCCATTTTAATTGGAAATTTAATGGAATACATCTAGTAAACCTATAATCTGATAAGTAAATGCAAAGAGGAATGAACCAGCCTAGCAATTAGGACTCGATACCAAGTGTTGGCAGAGTAATAATTTAAAAAGATAACTCAAGAGTAGTCGTCTGGATATCTTGGAAAAAGGAAAGTTGATTGATTTCAGCGAGATCAAGTATTAATCAAGTGTGAAGTCAGTTTACGAGAGAAAGCTGTGTTGATTGTTCATCCTTTGAGCTTTGGGTTTGCCTTTATTTATAGGCTCCTTAGTTCTTCAAATTGCATGCTTTGGTGAAGAGATGGTTGATTTGATTATGTGTTAGTCTTTTCTTTGTGGTTTAAACTGGTAAACCAGTACATTGATTTCTGCACTGTTGATAGTGGCTTGTCCAGACATGGCCTTTTCTTCAACGAGTTGGCGTAGTATAGCTTCATGGTTCTGTCCAAAATTTGTAGGAAGCAAACAATGATTGAAAGTCCAAATCCAAACACAAAGCTATACCCCAATATGTGCCATAATTAACCACCTCAACCTACAATTTTATTGCTATGTCTGGTTGCAAGTTAGCAAAAAATAAGATCATACTTGTATTAGTATATCATTTTCTAATCAATTGTTAGAAAACTAAGATAAAATAAAGGAAAGAGATGGAAAGACAGCAGCACTCAGAGGAGTTAGAATGTAACAGTACTAAACTCATTTTATTGAATCTATCAACTATAAATAATAAAAATTAAAAATTAAAAATAAAATAAAAAACTAGCTCAGGAACCTCAGCCTTATCTCAAATATGAAATGACTTTAAATGAATGAGGAGAAGTGGAGTAGAATTGGGCTGAAGATGAAATTTGAAATCGCATATTGCTAAAGCATTTTGCTTAAGAATTTAAAGGTCACAATTATAAATTCATGGAGAGAGTTGTGAGTATTGAACGCTTAACCCTAAATATGTGTTCGGATTTTGAACCCTAAATCCGAATCTAAAACTCTACACTTAAATTATGGATCATGAATACAAACTTCATATTTAAATTCGACTTGGACTAGACTCTAGACCCTAAATTCTAAACTCTCGTTACACAAGTAGCTAGGCCCGGCCCACAAAGTGTGTGGGCTGGGCAACGACATAGGGCCCTAAAAAAATGGGGCTTCTTATAAAACCCTATAACCAAAGAGTTATAGTAGCAAAAAAGACCTTTTATATGTGTAACTGATGCTTTTTGGACTTTATTCTAAAAAAATTTGGGTCTTTTTCTTTACTTTTCATATAGTGAGTCTCTTTTACATAAACTAACAAACTTAGCACTTAAGCATGAAACTTTTAATTTTAATTTTGTTCAAAATGAGGTAAATGTTGATTAAAATCTCAATTTTTATTTTTGCCCAAAACCATCCAAATCAATGGACTAGCCATGTAAGAGCATCCAAAGTGGGGGGGTGTAAATTCGGGGGTGTAAAGCCACTTTTACATCCCCTTTACACCTCCGGGGGATGTAAATATGTTTTTCGCTCCAGTAGGGAGTGTAAATTCGGGGGTGTAGCCGTGAGTCCCAGCCTTTTATGTTGACTTTTCTTCATTTTTCTTCTCTTTTCTAGGGTGGGTCCCGCCTGCAAGGGATGTAAAAATAGATGTAAATATAAATTTTATTTTACATCCCCATGGTGGTGATGTATATTTACATTCATTTACATCTCCCCATAGGAGACAATTCTGGTGACTTGGGGTGTATATTTAACATACACCCCCCCACTGTGGATGCTCTAAGTAGGGTAAAATTTCCTTTGCATGAACTGAAACTTGGTAAGAAGGAGGAATCGGATCCTGACCCATTCTTTATTTGTTCAGATCGTTGGCTGGGCTTAAGACTGGAAATAATATGTTTGGGCCTATACGTTTAATTCTCAGAATCCTGTCCATCCAATTAGCATAAACCGGATAAAACGGTCCGACCCATATTTCACTTTTGAAGTCCTGATGAAACGAAACCAATCACGTTTTCTTGGGTCAGCAGCACAAAAACTTATCGAAGGAACCGGAGGTTTTATTGAAGGAGACAGGAACTTTACTGGCAGTGAGTTGCTCTCTCTCTTTCTGTCCCTCTGATAAACCCTATTGAGCTGTAAGAGTCAGTAAAAGCATAAAAGAATGGCGGAAGCAGGAGGATCAGATAAGGCGGGCGCATCGGCAGGAGGGGGAGTTGAGTCGCTGAAAGATAAAGGAAATGAGCATTTCAAAGCAGGGAACTATCTCAAGGCCGCTGCACTCTACACTCAGGCCATCAAGCAAGACCCTAACAACTCCACTCTTTATAGGTACATATATTTACCGCCTCAAAATTTATTTTTGTTTTATTTGTTGGTTTTCTAGTTTTAAATTTGACATGGGATCAAAATGCCATTTTGATTGGTTGGCCACACAGTTTACTTGACTTATTCACCTGGGTTCTTATTGAATTTGAATTATTTTGTTAATTATTTCGGTATGGACATGTTTTGTCATGAATTTAAAGTTGTGTGCTTTCGTTTATGTAGAAAAACAGATGAACTTTTTCTGTTGTTCACTTTGTTTATGTGTGTCCTTTTGAACGCTCCCAGGAAAAAGTTGGCATCTTCATTTCATAATTTGCACATTGCTTATTATGATGCCTAGGCTGCATGAGTATTCTTTTATCCTATTTTCCGCTCCACGGCTACGGCAGCATTTTGTAGCTTGTATGAACTTCGAAGTTACATGAGGTTCAGAGCTGATATACAAGCTTGTTTGTAATTTAGATTTAACCATGGTTATGGTATTCAGTTGCAAAAAAAATTCCCTTTCCACCTTACCAGAAGAAATTCAGGCACTTTGGTACTTAAGATTTATATTCTTTCTTTTCTTTTTTTTTGGTATAAATTTTTTAAGTGAACTAAGATGAGATGATGGTGGCTTCAACAGGCTGGAATAGATGCCCTTTTTTGCCTGCACTTCGGTGGCATAAAAATTCTACATTCTGGAATATTTGAGCTAAGAATGGTACTGTTTCCTTATAGAAGGTTAGATTTTGGCTTATTTGTGTGGAAAAGTATTCTGAGATCTTATGTAATTTGAAGTTTATAGAAGAAAGTAAGGCCATCAGGAATAAAAAGGGATATAACTGTATTAAAAAAAACTTGTTGGGGCAAGAATATCTACTTTGGTACCACATTCGGGCTGTCTAAGTCGGATTATGGCCTTTTTATTTCCAAGTAATGGATTTGGATAAAACCTGTCCATTATGTCAAATCCTATAGTTGGTGTCAGGGTCTGCAATGTACAATTCTTGCTTCAATTGCTACCGCATTCATATTCTTTTTAGCATTAGTTAAAACAAAGGGCTGCTCTGTGAAAAAATGTAGAGAAAGCGTATGGTAGCTAGGATTGATTTGTGAATGGGTTGGTGCGCCTGCTGCTTTCCCAATTGCAGAATGATAATCAGTCAACTTTCTTTATGTATATTCTTCATTATTTTGTTTATATGCTAATATTGTTTCTCTTGCTCACTGGTATGTAAGGATGTTCATGCAAACATGGAAGGTTGTTCATAAACAGTAGATAGTAGTAATAAACAATTACAATTTTCAAGGAACAAGCTGTCTTGGCTGAACTTTCCCATGTAACATTGTATGCATGCTGTACTGATGCATTTCCTTTCATTTTAATGTTCCATTGTTGGCCAGCAACCGCGCTGCGGCATTTTTGCAATTGGTTAAGCTTAGCAAAGCCCTTGCTGATGCAGAGACCACAATTAAATTGAACCCCCAGTGGGAAAAGGTAATGCTGTTTTATTTTTCTTAAAAAAATTCCTTTTCTTCTCAACAAACTTTTACTTTTAGAAAGCAAAATATCTTGATTTTCATTATTTCTTCCTTTAAAAGAACCTTTTTGATGCATCTACAGGGATATTTCAGGAAAGGATGCATATTAGAGGCCATGGAACAATATGATGATGTATGTCTAGAAGTTCTTTCACTCTTCCCATTGTTGTTGAAGGCCTTTTGGACAAGACCACATGATTTTAGTTTTCTGCTACTGATATTCATACTGTTCATCACATGTTGTAGGCTTTAGCTGCTTTCCAAACAGCTTTGCAATATAACTCACAAAGCACAGAAGTATCAAGAAAGATAAAAAGGATTTCTCAGTTGGCGAGAGATAAAAAACGTGCTCAGGAGGTGGAGAAAATGAGATCCAATGTTGATATGGCAAGACAATTGGATAAACTGAAATCTGAAATGGTGAGTGCATTGGCCAATCAAGGATTCATGATTCTCTATGACTTTTGTTCCATATTATTCTGCATTTTATATGACATATATTATCTTTGTGCTTGAGTGAGAAATATTATCTCTCAGTCATTTTTCTACGTTATTCTTTGTTTGTATCTGCTTTTTCTTTCTTTGCCTGAATGGTGTGACTTGCAACTTTCATATATCAAGTTTCCTTAATTCCCTGAACTGTGTATGCGGGTAAGATATTACTCATTAATTTCTCAGCAGCTTATATAGAGACTTTAATGGATCACCTGCGCGTGAATTGTTTCAAATTTCAATCAGTCCTAATAAGAAGGATTAAGTCACTCTTTCTCTTTTGCAGTCTGGGAAGCGTGGATCTGAAGAATGTTGGGAAGACATGTTTGCTTTCCTTGTTGAGACAATGGAGACAGCTATAAAATCATGGCACGAAACTTCTAAAGTGGAGGCTAGAGTTTACTTTCTCCTAGATAAGGAAAAAACAGACACCGAGAAATATGCTCCAGCTGTGAATATTGATAAGGTATTGAATTTAGATCTTTCACTTTTCAAAATATCCCTTTTCTGATTGATTGAAAAATAATTTCAATGTATTTGGTTATATGACCCCTTCTTTGCTGTTGAGATAAAACGAGTTATTGCAACCTCATCAGATTATTACCTCATATTAAGTATATGTTTTTTGAGCCATAAACCATTATTCTGAAATTGTTTTTACCTAATCAATGCTTACCTGTTATTCCAGGCCTTTGAATCACCCCATACGCACAGCAGTTGTTTTTCATTTCTTAGGCAGTATGCTGAGGATTCTTTCTCCAGGGCAGCTTGTTTGGTCACTCCCAAAAGTATCATGTCTTATCCACAGGTACGTTTAACTTCAAGTTGTGTCTCACATGCCTAAGTCTCTGTATCCCTGCGTGCATTGTATTTGTTTGTGTTCAAGATTTGAGTTAATATTTGGAGGTTTGACCTCTGGTGTGGGTTCAAGACTTCAAGTTGTGCTTTGTGTGCTTAAAAGGCTTTTGCATGGTGATTTGCATGGTGCTTTTGGGCAGTTTAAGTAGTTATTATTGGTCTCTCTCAGAAAAAAAAAGAAGGAAAATAGTCGATTGATCTGTTTCAGATTTCACTAGCTGTTACTGGTCCTCCATGTGATAAATTCAACTTAAATTCGCAGATGATTTAAATTCGGGGGAGAGTGATGACTTATTGAATAAAAGGAATTTTTAGTTAACAAAGAGGTTTTAATCATCAAATACTTTTTGCAGGTTTGGAAAGGCCAGGGATCAAGGAAATGGAAACATGGGCAACATGATGGTTTCTTTGTTCAATTTGAGACCCCTTTCCTGCGAAAGCTGTGGTTTATTCCTAGTTCTAGTGAACTAGGCCAGACATTGTGCAGGTCTCTCTCTCTCTCTCTCTCTCTCTCTCTCTCTCTCTTCTCTCTCTCAGTGTCAATTTGTAACTATGGATGACTTTTTTAACTTGATTTTTAAAAGTACCAAGAATGCTTCATCAGTACTTAGGTTATATGTGATGGTTACATTTCTTACCACCTTGAAGCTTTAGTTCTAATGTTGTGTTCTCTCTTTAAAGTGCAAAGCCGTAGAAATATGGTCCCTTTTTCTTTTAAGAGAATGAAGAAATGGAAACTTTGAAAGCATATGGATGTGGAAATACCAGTAGGAAGTGGGTTTTTATATGTTTTAATGTTTGTAAGATGCTGGAAGGAAAATTTCAGGGAAGCAGGCTCAGTGGGCTTGCTCACTTAATATTGTCTAAATAACCTATTATACAAGACCTTGCTGTCGGAACATATGATCACAGCAACAATAGAATTTTTATATTTGGTATTATATTTCCTTTAGGAGCTAGGTAATCTAAATGTTTGTGCCTCATTCAGGGATCCGGAGGATTTAGACATCGGTGCCCACGAATTGATTCCACGCCTATTCAAACAGTACAATTCATAGATGCCTGTATTTGCATTTTGGAGGAAAATCTCAGGCCCATTTTAGCGAGAGATACAGCCTTGGTGACAGTCTTTTGCCTCATTTTGCAAGGTTTTCTTTCACCCTGGTAATTTGCAGGATGGTGCTTTCCATAATCATAACATGCATTTACTCGAGGTTCTGTTTCTTTCTAAAAAAATTCAAGCCTTTTTGTTTTGAGTGGTTGAATTTTACCGAGAGATTCCTTAGTGTGAGGTTGTTTATCCTGTTTTTCCGATGTAACGAGTAGTTTGGCCCTTGAATTAAGTTGGGTTGTTTCCAATAACTACTCTGTGTCTGTTGCTTATACAGTGAAAACTTGAAATTAGGTGCCAGTTTATTTTGTAAAATTCTAAACAGCAATGTAACTGTTGAATAGGTCATCTATTTTGTTATTAATGCATGAAAGTTATATCTTTGCTGCCCATTATGCTATATGCATGGCTGGAATTTTAGTATTCTAATGTGAGTTACACAATTGTTCAAATTTTGTTGATGGATGCATAATCCATGTTATGACATTTCTTTATGCAAAAATCATTATGAAGATCTGAAACCCAGGATATGGACAAAAAGGGATACTTGCTTCAAACGAAATCACTTTCCAGTTATAATTCCAAAGCAACTAGCATCTGTGGTGCTTCTTGTTTCTAGTATTTTATGGTGTGTTATGTTTGTAATATGTTATACTTCTATGTCAGGATTTGTTCCTTTTACTTGCCATGCAAATACCCAATTATTTTATTTAGAAGTATCTGCCATGCCTGATTTGAGACATGAGAAGGATTAGGAAGAGCAGTTGGAGCATTAGAGAGAAGCAGTTGATTCTAATTAGAGACATTACAGGAGGGGCTGGGGACAGAGGAAAACCAAGCCACTAAAATCTCTACAAACCACATGCCTCGAATATCATCTACATTTTTCATAATCTCAATTTAGTGTATAATAATAATAATAATAATAATACATAAGCTTAATTCTTATTATCTCCCTAGCTATGCCTTCATCTGCAAGGAAACCCTCCTTTCTCCCACCTGTGGATCAATCAATCAAGTTAGATATATAGCGGTTCTCTTTCTGTCAAAGGCGGCTGCCACACGTATTATTGAGGTCAGACCCATTTTTAGAATCAAAAACTTTCACCCCTTGATTGATCATCACAGATTAGACATTGTCATCTTTTCTGTTTACTTCAATTTCTCCTGGATTGGGTTTGCAGGTGTGCAGCATGAAGTTACATGCTGATACAGCCTCTCCCACTGTAACATAGATCCATTCCTGACCAATTTTCTCGATGAACTTGGATTTCTCAAGCTTCTTAATCACCTCGCTTCGAGGGTTTGCTAATACAAGCTGATAGATCAAAAGAAAGGAGAAGAACATAAATATAAGCACATGATCAAACACATATATGAACCAAACTGCCCAAGAACACTAGTCAACCATAGTCCATTATAAAAGCTTGAAAGAGTTCGAAGTGAAAGGCAGTTTCATACCTTGAGACCCTTTATGTCAACATTTTTCTTGACCTCTTCAAGCATGCTGATCCCACTGGTATCAATGCTGCCTACAGCTGTAATTTGACTTTAATTTTAGCAAGAGAGTAACTATAAAGGACAGTGCAGGAGATAAATTTCAATTTGTGACTGCTGCAGAATGATCACTTACTGCTAAGGTCTAGTATAACGTAGTGTAAGCTTGTTTCTCCAGAAGATTTTAGCTTGTCTTCCTCCTCATATATCCATCTTGAGATCCTGAGAACCGAGATTTTAAGTAAAGGTTAATACTCTACAATGCTTGACGACAATATGTTTTTCGTAAATTTCTTTTCTTAATTGTGCACTTCAAGTTTACCTTTCCCGTAAATAGTTTGCATTGGCAAAATAGATGGGTGCATCAATTTGAAGAATGAGAATTCCTGGAATGTTGTTTGCATCTGGGTATTGATCAATGCTTCTGTAAATCGATGAGTTTGGAATGTTGCCTAAAGTAAAAGTCCTTGGCCTAGCTACAAATAGCAGCACCCTCAGCATGGAAACTGTAACCTGTACATCCAATATATCAATCAGAAATGTCTACGCAACACTTTTTTCTTATGACAAAGAAAATAAAAGAAAATATGTGTATACTTACTGCAATGACTAGGCCAATCTCAACACTGCCAAAGACAACACCAACATATGCACCTAGGCACACAATGCAGTCCACCTTGTCTACTTTCCAGAGGTGGATTACAGCTTCATAATCAATGAGGCCTAGCATGGCAGCCATTATAATGGCGGAGAGCACCACAAGTGGAGTGTAGTGGAACAATGGCGTCAAGAACAACAGTGTGAACATCACTGCAGTTGCCATTACAATATTCGACATGGCAGTCTTGCATCCTGCATTGAAGTTCACAGCACTTCTCGAAAATGGTCCTGCAAGTGAAAATCAGTCATGAATATGGATTAGTGGTTCAGGTGACAACACAATCACAGTCTAACAAGAGAACATTTCCTATTATCTACATTTCAGAGCTGTATGTACCGGCAGTCAAGTAGCAAGAAGTGCAAGAGCCTGCAATGTTCATCATCCCGAAAGCGATCATTTCTTTGTTACCATCAATGTGGTAGTTCTTGAATGCCGCGAAACTTCTTCCAACAGCTACTCCTTCCTGAAAATTCACCACCAAAACCCTAGCAATGTTAGCCTAAACCCTCCCTCATTGTGTTGATGGTTTGGGATGCAGTTAGTGAGTTATGAGTGAGATTTGAGGAGTTTGGGGGACTTACAGCAAGGCCTATGACACCAGTGATTATCCCAGTTTTAATGGCTGTTGTAAGATATGGTGACCCAAAGGCCAGCTCAGAAACAGATGGTGGGTTCAACCCTTTCTTAAGGTGCCCAATCTGCAAAAACAAAGCAAGCCTGTCATTATAAAAATAAAAAATAAAAAATACAATATAGTGTGCCTCTAATTAGCCTCAAGTGCGTTATAAATATCAATATACTATTTGCATCACATTTACAAATAATCATCAATATGTTCAGTAAATATGGTACAAATAGCAACACCGCACATATATGTTAGATGGAGAGTGAGATACTTACTACTTGAACGCCATGTTTTTCAGCATGGGTTACAAAAAACCAAAATGCTTCCCAGGATCACAGAGCACAGTGGGGCCATTGCGTTTATCCAAAAGAAGGCTGGTCTTTTCTTGCTCTACTTGTCATCAACATAAATTCATCACCATAAGTACAAAAACTAATATTTTACTGGAAATATAGCAATGTTAATCTCAACACAAAAAAAATTGTCATTTCTAAGTCCACAAAATAAATAAAATAAACGGGTATGAGGATGAGAATGGTAATATGGGTTTGGGAATGGGAATTGGCATTCCGCCCATCCCACCTATTTGATATTTTTATCATAATAATTTTTTTTTTGAGTTTTTATGTTTTGTTTTTTATTTATTTTTTTTTTTTTTTTTTTTTTTTTTAAAAAGGCCAACTGGGTATATCATAGTTTAAAAGAATTGAACTTCATCAAAATTTTAATTATTTCACTAATGTCTTTCGTTGAAAAAAAGTTACGCAAGGGAAGGTAAAGATAAGGACAACTCACTATAAATTTCTTGAATATTTTACTTTCTCTATGGCTCCAACTTTTGTTTAAAAAAAATCTATACCATTTATAAATGCTAAATTCACTAAAATTGTGAAGCATCGAAATTTAAGTCGTAACAGTTGTGTTTTTTTTCTTCTAATTTTGTATCATTATGTTATTAGACTATAAATTTGAATCATTGATTCAGTTGCTTATTGTCTAATACGTGACATACATATTCAAACTGTCTCGCATAATCATTTGCAACTTTTATTGTGTCCGAAGAGGTCACAAATATAATCCCTTATATTGGGGAAACAAAGTAATTCAACAAGAATCATATATATTTCCTTAGAAAGCGTTCTTTCGATGAATTCAACAAACTTTTTTTTGACTCAAGAGATCGAGTTAATTGCATGGTTGAAACAAAAGTAATTATATATTGGCGTTGGTGGTGTGTTGACGTTTTATTAGTTTTGACAGCAACAAGTGGGTAAAAACGACATGCATGAAAATAATGCCTTAATTCTTCCTCAAGTTTAAGATATTATAATTACACTCTCCAAATCATTAGAGCAAAGCAATTTAAGCAAACACCATGGAGTGCCATCTACTTACAAAGTATCTTGTGAGCAGGAGAAAGAAGAGGAAACAGCATCCCAGCACAGCACTTTCCCACCTCCACTGCATCATAAACCAGCCATGATATAATATTTTAATGTTCATAAAGGCAAACATATATAAAAAGGTGACAAATTTTTAGATTAGATTAGATTGAAAAGAGAATATATATACCTGGTGCTCTTGGGAAAAGATAGATTTCATGACAGATACAATATCAGTCTCATGAGTGAAGTGAACCAACCCAAGTACCCCTTTAAGCTGCTGAAGACAGACAACAGTGGCTGCTCCACCCATGAAACCCACTATTGTTGCATGAGACAGAAAGTCCACGACAAACCCAAGTCTGCAAATATACATACAAAACATCATTTCAGAAATTAAAGAGAGGGTGCTTCTTGCTTGGTCTTTTTTTATCAAAACTTAATGTATACCTTAAGAGGCCAAGAGAAGCCTGAAAAGCTCCAGCAAAGAAGGTTGATGTGAGAGCCAGCTGAACATAGAGCTTAGGGTTCTCAGTAGGGCTAACCACCTTCCCCAACATAGAAGATATGAGAAGCGATGCAACCGCCACGGTACCAACTGCCAAATCCTTTGAGCTTCCCAGCATGGCATACACCAATGGAGGCACAAAACTCGAATCTGCATTTATTTTCGAAAAAAATAATTTCACATTTGTCTTTTGCAAACAAGAGAGTTGGGCAATATAAGATACTTATGATGTTAAACTGTGAATCCGAATCATCATTCAGATTGATTCTTACCTGAATGTATAACTCAGATTCAGAGTTGAACAACGTAAGTATTTGTATGACAAGAAAACATTGCCCTATAATATATGCATATAATAGCATATGATATTTGATTTCACATAGATCTGGATACTTACATAGGCCAATAATTGCGGGCAGGTTGGCCAAGTTTGCATAGCTTATCCCTTGAGGAACTGCAAGACTGGCAATGGTGATTCCGGCAATGAGATCAGATTTGAAGAAGTCAAAGGTGTAGCGAGGAGCCCATTCGAGGATGGGCACAAAGTGCTGCAAACCCAGCACAAGTTTTCTAGACGTGGGCTGGTTCTTAAATTGCCTGAAAGGGTCATCAGGAAAGAAAGTCTCTTTTAGAGATGATTTCAGGGCCTTCAAAAATGGTTTGGCCGGAGGAATTTCAACGCGGTGTGGGCATTCGTAATCTGCGTTACCCATTTCACCTCAGAAAAACACTAGAGCTAACCAGAGGGAGCTGATTAAGCAGCTAGATGATCAAGGTTTGGCTTATATATATTGGTGCTTGTGTGCTAAAATATATATAAATAGCAATGGTATGTATAAATATGTATAGCTTTTTGTTCTGAGGTTTATGGTATGCCAGAGAGGGATTGGAAGCAATTGGTGGTTAAAATGCTTAATTAGCTCTAGCAATGAAACTCTTGGCGAGCTTGGGGTATTATATAAGGTGGCGAATGTGTGACTTAGAGAGGGAAATATGGAGGGAAGGATCTCTGAGTGCGTAGCGGGACCCACATGTGGACTCAATATTTTCCCAATGACTAAGTTTAATATGCATTTTAAATGAAATGGTGCAGTTAGGAGGGATCACGTCCACTTCGGGCTGAAGTGTGGCTCCTCCTTTGTTTGCCAAGACAGTGCTCACTTTTTACTCTTTGAGGTAAATAAGAAAAACACGTTGAAAATCTAAATTTAATGTATTATTCTTTGTAATTGAATTTCAGAATTCTTTCCTTGATAATATTTACCTAATATATTGATAAAATACAATTTAATCAATCAAAAATAAAGACCCACATATTATACAATTAGATCATACAAGCACCTACATGAAATTATGTACCTGACATACAGGTAAATAGTGTTATTATTAGCAACGAACAAAATGCAAGAATTAAACCCAACTTTTATTCTAAATTTTGGACTTATCCCAAATTTTCTAATAACAAAACAAATAACATGTGTCGAGATATGATGAACAACTTTTATGTGTCTTACACATTTGATTTTAGCTAAATTATGCTATTTTACACTGTCACGCGACTCGAACAACTCCATAGAATTTTTTTCTCTAACTACCACCAACAACTTGTTGCTTATTAGGCTCTTGGTCAGCGGCTCCCGACATCGATCACAAATTGCAGCAGCTCACCACTAGGAACGTGGCACAAGTAGTACACGCGGTGCATTGTCATTGGGTTGGAGAGTCGTCAAGCTCTACACATGTGTTAGGTCACTGCTTTGAGGGATCAGAGTTGGAGGTTTAGATTTAGAGAAGATCTGCAAAAAATAATATAAAATTAGCACTTTTGGAAGTTGAGGATACAATAATTCTTGAACCCCATTATCATATGATTATTAGTCACTATTATTAAGATGAGTATAATACGAAATCTAGTTGCTTGCAGCTGTGCTTAATCTTTAATTAGTCGGCTAAACAAGTAGTGCTTGTGCCAAACAACGGCCGCCAAATTTGATACTTACAGAATGTTTTAGATATTTTGGAATGACCATACCACCTTCCCAATATTAATTAGAGTATTTTCCACGTAGCAGTGCTACCTTGGAAGGGAACATTAAGAAAAGGAATTTGGATTTGGATTTCAATGTGTCAGCAAATACTCTTGCTTTATGTTTAATAATCTAAATTATACAAATTAAACGCAACTCAGATTAAATGTTAAGCAATATAGTTAAGAGGTTTTTTTAGCAATGCCCACTAGACGTTGTGTCACTTTGTCCTATGAACTTTCAATTTGGTTTTGAGCACCCTAATCTTTCAAAACGTGTTAATGTGCCCCCTTTTGTTAAATTTAGGCATTTTCATCCATTCAAGTTAATTAATATTTAGTTTGACCAACTTAAAGCTTAATTGACTTGACCAATTATTCCCTTCAAATCATACTTTGAATGGGAATTTCATAGATGAAAATGGGTGAAAATGGTGATTTCATGGGTGAAAATGGTGTCTGAGGGGAAGAATGGGTCGAATCAATTAGGGCTTAAGGGAGTAAAACCAAATCCTAACTTGAATGGACAAAAAAGTCCTTGAATTTGACAGAGGAATTAACAAACTTAACAGAATGGGGCACATTGACACGTTTTGAAAGATTAGGAGGACTCAAAATCAAATTGAAAGTTCATGGGGCAAAGCAGAATAAGGTCTATAATTTAGGGGGCATTGCTAAAATTGTCTCTTGTTTAAGACAAAGACAAGACGAGAATCTCGTTTCATAATTTATTATCTCCATATTGTCATATATATACATATATATTAAATTAATTAGCAGAAAAAGATGTAGAGTCCATGTTATTTCAACATCCTTCACCAAAGTCAGGTGGCCATCGCAATCGGCATTATTACATTTACATATAGGAGGGTTCTAGCTGTCATGAAGATTCCTAGTAAACGTTAAACCGATAATATTTTACTGAATCACAAAAAAAAAGAAAAAAAAAGAGAGGGGATAAGATTTTGCTTTAGGCTTTCAAAATTTTAAGATTTATACAAATAATATTATGAAGAAAGGAAAAAAAAATTAGAAAAAACACATTGATTTATATAGTTGACTTGTGGTCCAACTCAAGTTGTTCCTCCTCCTAAAATTAGAAAAGTTGACCACAGTCGTACAAGATTAGGGTAGGGGTCAGACTCTCAGAGACACTTGTCAACAAGATAATTGTGAGGCTGTTTTTTTAGGTGCATACCTACCCTTTTTCTTACATACCAACCTTTCTCCTTTGTTTGTTTCCTCTTTCCGAATCAAGGTGAATCAAATTTGCTTTTTCTTTTTGTTGTTGCTATTTTTCTTTTTAACTTTCGTGCACTTCTTATAACTACAACTAGTTATTTGTACCATATATTATATATGTGTACCATATCTCTAATAATATAATACGAATATACGAATATGAATAAAATGGTCGGCTTAATTTATGATATTGTGATTATGTTACTTTTCTGGGTCTTTTCAAGCTTAATTAGATGTGATACATTTAACATTATTCATGTTTGCTCAAAAGTTGGTTGGACTTCAATGAGAATTTTGTAACATAGACAAGTCATTTTCTTTTCTTCATTTTTTTTTCAAAGAGAACACTCAGTACAGAGAATAAAAGGATGAGCATGTGTTTATGTGGAGAACCGTTGTCACTAGATATAAGAAGGTTCCTCTGGATTGTTCCATGGAAACTTTAAGAATGTGCTAAACTTAACTTAATGTGTTTCATGTGGGAGGTAATGATAGCCGAATAGATTTTAAGGCGGCCACAGTCTACAATAGAAACTTTCTCCTTTTTCTTCTTTTTCTTCTTTTTTTCCACAACCCTTAATCATGGCAAGAGAAGAATGATGGTGATATATCAACAGGTCCACCCGCGGAAGGGTCAGTCTCATTAGACGTCACATATCCATCTATTTTCAGAGAAGATGCTAAAAACTTATCCATAACCCTAATTTCTTTTTGGGATAAAAATGTCAGTGTGCATGTCCATCGTATACTCCAAAATGTCAGTGTGCATATCCATTATAATTAATATCGATCTTTTTTTGTTTATCTAAATTAAGTGTTTAATGGATATGTTGTATAAGTCTTTTTTAAGAATCATCGCATCATACGAGCAACATATGATGGGTACGTATACGTGGACGTTGCAAATCACCTCACCGGAAAGGTTTTCTTTTTGGGGTGGGAGTTCTACAAGTCTTACTCTTGGTCTCTGTCAATAATACAAGCTAAATAAGTTTTTCCAAGCCTTGTATTGAAGTCAAGAATATTAATTTCTTCCTAAAGCACAGCAGCATCATCTCACAGACCTTGAAAACAAAGAGATAAGAGAGCTGTTGTTAGTTAATTATTTTAAATCCAGAATCAGAATGATTACTCCGCGTGCATGAATCCAGAAGCAACATATGATGAGTCCGATGAACAAAATTTGACCTTAATTAAGCATATATATCAAATGGCCACATAAGAGTTTCACAAGTTGATGACACAACGGATGCAACAAAGTCTCCTTAATAATTGATCCGATTTCATGATGATTATTTTCTATTTCCAGAGAGCTGCAGTTAAGCTTAATGCATTATAAAAGTAAGCGAATTGCAACATGATTGAAAACATGCTCATCACATGATTGAAAAAAAATACAAAAAGTAGGGTGGAAAAATGTAGAATAGAGGACAACTTACTTTTGAGTACTTATTCATTGGAACGGGATTGAAATTAGGTCACACTAATCATGATCAGATAGCTTTTTATGGGTTCTCGACTCCCAAATTAAGACATTACAAGTTAAGAACCTCCCCAGAAGAAACCTACTATTTCCCATCTCTCTCTCTCTCTCTCTCTCTCTCTCTCTCTCTCTCTCCCCAGAAGAAACCTACTATTTCCCAACTCTCTCTCCCTCTCTCTCCCCAGAAGAAACCTACTCTCTCTCTCTCTCTCTCTCTCTCTCTCTCCAGAAGAAACCTACTATTTCCCAACTCTCTCTCCCTCTCTCTCCCCAGAAGAAACCTACTCTCTCTCTCTCTCTCTCTCTGTATCATTTGCCACTAACAAAAATCACTGCTCTACGTCATTCAACGATAGGCTCTTTACTTTGGAGATCGACCTCAAGGATGATGTGTGCAATTTGTGGGATTGAAGAAAACTCTATTAAACTAATCATGTCTGGTGCTAATGCTAATTAAGACCATCTTCAACTATGTCGAGGCTAAACTCAAATTTTCATCTTTCAAAATATAACTATTCATGTATTGCTCGGACTCAAACTGTTTTTTCCTCCACCCATGTAGACTCATAATTTGAGTCCGCAATTTTATTAAATTGTTTAAGAATAGTTAATCGTAATTTTAGTTTGTCGTTAATTTTTTCTTGACATTATTTTTGTTTAAACATTCATGATTTAATTTTCTGGGTGTGTTTATAAATGAGTTTTGAGTGTATGTAATGATGGGTTTTTGGTGTGTTTATATGTTTAAATAGTGCTTGAGTTTTTTTTATAATTTCAACCCCCATTTTGAGTGTTTTAGTGAAACTCCCTAGATTTTATATAGGGATTTGGGCTTTTCACATGTAAGCCCATAAATAGGGTCCAAAATATAGAAAAACCCTACAACACTCAAACCTTAAATAAAAAAAATACAAAAACCATTTGACTTTCAAATGAACCAAATATAGCATACAAGCCTTGAAAAACTGGAAAAATTACAAGACTTCCATATGTTGTAAATGCATGAGTTGGTGGATGACCACAATGCCTTTTAGCATTCCACCCTTTCTAATTCTATGTAACTTATGCCTTAAATATTTGTAGTTAGTGCTTGTAACTTATTCATATGTTGTCAATGTAGTGCTTAATCTCCTATCTTGTAAGCCTATAAATATGTAGCTCTACCATAAATGAAAGGATGAGATATAGAAGCTGATTGATACAAATTCGATTGTCTTTCTCTACTTTCCAATTATCTCTACAATTTTCCCTTAATTATATAACACTATTTTTTTTTCTTTCTAAAAATCATAATGTAAGGATAATAATGGTATTTCACACATCATTCAAAATAAAAAAATAGTACCGTTGGTCCTTTTGGGGTTTTTTAGTTCAATTTATAATGGGTTCTATTATAAATTTCTCATTCATTTAGGGCAAATCTTCTGTTTTCTAGTGGATTCTAATTTACATTATCGGATCTGAACGCTTGGCGATTCACTTACTTGTTTTTCACTACATCACATTATTGGGAGAGAATATATCAGAGAAATTAGACTTATCAACATCACACTTTGGTTCCAACTAAATTTTTTGTTGGATTAGACTATACAGAATCTTTGTTATAGATAGTTATTTGGGATTACTACTAACTAGTTATTAGAGGAACCTACTGGAGAGACACAAACAGTCATGTAAAAGGGGATTGTGGAAAGCACATCAAGAGCTGAGCACATCAATAAATGAGCACAAACAGATATGTATGGCTTAAGTTATTAAGAGATCATGAGAACATCAATAACTGAGTTGCTTCCCATTCAATTACTTGTGGGAAGCACTGTTTTGAGCATCACCATGAGATTATTGCATTAAAAAGATGATAAAGAAGGGCCCTAGCTATGCAATAATATCCTGTTGAATTTTATTTATATCATGAGCAGCCCAACAGGCAATAGCCATTTAATTTTATTGATAACTACCATACAGATTGATGTGGAGCTGCAAATGAAAGAGAACCATGTGTTAAATTGAGGCGCAATATCGACCACATTGTAGGAACTTTCAACATTTTAGAGTTGCTTTATGATTAGTCGGATCGCAATATTGCAAAAGATGATGAATTTTTGTGGATCAGCTGGTTTCTTGCTGCAGAAGTACTTACAATTAGTCCTTATTTGATTCCTGGGGCCAATTAATACGGCTCATATTGTGTTTGCAGCCTGTACTATATTCCTTCTGTAAGGTTCATTTTGTGCCACAAACTTAAAAGATATATGATTCTAATCTAATCAATGTGGCTGATGGTTTGTGTCTAATTTATGAATACAATTATCGCTTTTCTCTCAAAAAACTCAGAAGAGAAAAATTAATTGGACCTGGTCGACCAAAAAAAAAGAACAGATTTTGGAGATGGAAAGTTCTGCAAATTAAATACCCAATATAGATCTCCATTAATTCTTCACATTGGTTCACTAATGGCTCTCCTCACCAAATAATGCAAACTAGCAGGAACCCGCATATTCCTCCCAAGTGCTTTGAATAATTGGCGTAATTTAGTATATTAATTACTATCTGGTAGGCTCTATTGTTTAAACATGGTTTTGTTGTTGAGGAATATTAATAGTAGAGGACCAAAATAAAGCCACAGAAAGGGTCCAAGAAGAATGGTGAGTGGAGCAAACTGCGATGTGCTAAAAGAGAAGACAAAAGTTAGTGATGGGCACAAAGCATGACAAATTATTCACCCACATGCTGCTGCTGCCTACCATGCCATCCCTTTCATTTGTTCTTGTCAACTGCCGCCATTAATTCATCACCTCCCACACAGGAGAAAAATTTACTAGGATATCATTGTGGCGTTATTCCAAATCAATCACTTATTGTTATGTGTTTTAATTTTTTCGACATGGAAATACGTGATAGACTTGGAATACGGTTACATGTATGTTCACTCCTCACTTGCCTGAAATGAAGTCAGCCTTCTGACCTTCTTATATATATGTGTCAAATTTCTGCTGGTATCTTGCTCCCCCCATCACGTATAATCTCTGGCTATAATTGGTATTACAAGTGATGCTGGGAAAGCCAATTGCATTTTGAGCAAGGGGTTGGCTAGATAGACAGATATGTATAATAGTCCATGACCAGTCTGCACTAGGCTTCAACTTAGCACAAAATGAGATTGGTGCGTTTGTGATTTGGGACCATTACAGGTATTTAAGCAATGACATATGTCGCCGACCATATGAATAAACAAGGTATAATGCATGGTTCTATAGTGAGAAAAGATGTTCAATTCTCCTTGTAACTTTTGGCAGAGGAAAATGATGGTCACCATACATGAATCTCTTCGCTTCTCTTCTATTTTTTTGGGTCTCTAGAAATTTTGATGAAGATAATCATAGATGTTTTAAGCAAACCAGTCGGGGATTATAAGAGTATTTTCATAACAATACAACATCATCCATATATTTGTGAGCAATTAAGAATAAGTAAAAGACCTTGAATCCACAGGAGGAAACATAAAGGAAATACACGACTGAACCACAGGAAGTTAACAAAAAGGACAAAAGGAAGCAGAAAAGGAAGCGAGAGAAAAAGGGAAAGATCTTACTACACCTTTTAGATATTGACAGAAGAAGTGACCTCCATGTTAGCTGGTATATGGTCTTTCTGGTTCTCTATGTATAAAGGACAGTGTATATATGACACGTTTGACAAGATATTAGCAGCAGCAATCAAATCGAAGAAAGAAGGGTTTCAAAGTTATTTGAAGAAATTGTGAGGAGTACACAAGCATTTGGTGGACTTTTTCTGAATTATTGAAGAGAAGGTTGGACTTTGTAAAGGATATTCTCAGTGCAGGGCATAGTAACCAAACCAAGTGCCTCTTTTCTTCTTTCTTAAGAAACGATAAAAAGACAATTTTAATTATTACGTCTGTTGTGGTGAGTTGAGTTGGGAATCTCTGGTCTCTCAGACCCATGAATAGCACTGCTTATGGAGATATTGGCAAATTGCTTGCTTTGAGGTTGATTTCCATTATTTTACTCCAAGTGTGAGACTTCTAGTGATGCTTATCATGTGACACTCTTATTCACCAAATATATATCTACATACATACATATATATATACACACATTTCACTTACATTTGGGGTGTGTTTCAATTAAATATTCTTTGGTATTACTTAAAGAATAATATGCAATGCCAAAATTTGATGTTGGTGTAATATTTTAATTACTTAAAAACATATAGCTTTTATCAATTGGGAGTGCGGGAATTTAAACTTAGGAACTCTTCTAACATTAAAAATATGTATTCAAAATATATCTAATGAAAACAGCATTAGTTTAGAGTACAAATAAAGGCTATAGTAAATGCAGACTTTCATCCCATTTCACGTGCATCATGTGTTAGAATTGCTGCAAAGTGAGGATTGTGGAAGAGAAAGTTTTGAGGTAAATAGTTATTTAATTTCTATATTACCCTTAAAAGTTGAAATTAGATGTGTAAAGCACCCACATAACATCAGTAAGTTGGGGTTGACTTACATAAAACATTCGCGTTCATCAGTGGAAACAAAACAAAGCAAAGAACGACAAAAACTAATTAATTGTTGTTGCCAGTCAGAATAAAAATAAGCAGTGTCTAAAAGTAAATAAATAAGTAATGCTATAATAATAAAACAGAAAAAATTTCTTGTAACGGCCATAAATGCAATGACATTATAAAGTTATTTCGTGTGTCATTGCGCTATTGGTCGAGGATAGCAAACAGTGTTATTCTTGTTGCATAAAAGTCTTTCTCCGAATAGACAAGACGAGGACCATATCAAATCAAGTTTTCTTATCCAAAGCCTCGACATATGTATGAATTGGAGTTGACATTAAATAAAGAAGGTAAAAAATCACTTTTGGTCCATGTAGTTTACCACTTTTATCATAAAGGTCCCTATAGTTTCAATTTGATCAATTTTGTCCCTATATAGTTTCAATTCCAAGCAATTTAAGCATAATCCGCAAAAAATTTGTCAAATTACTCTAAAATGGAGGGGCATTTCAGTCCAATCTTACAGCCCCTCTCCAACCACATGACAACCACCTCCTCCCCCATCCCTCCTCCCCCTCCCAACCAACCTCCTCCTAACTCAACCCGCTCCCCACCCTATAGCCACGACCCAACCACCCCCACAACCACCTTATCCCCTCCCCTTCCTGACCCAACATTATGCGACCCTCCCTCCACAAGCACCTTTTCCCCTCTATCTCTCTATTATCAAAATCAAAACTTAATTTCATGCATTGCCCAAAGCCTCTCATCATGAACCCAAGGTAAGGGACTTTGGGACGTGAAAGCATACGAAAAGTAACAGTAGGGGCTGTTGGGGTGTTTGAGGAGGGGCTACAAGATTGGACCGAAATGACACTCCATATTAAAGTAGTTTGACAAAAAATTGGGGGTTGTCCTTGAATTGCTTGGAATTGAAACCACATTAACAAAATTGATCAAATTGAACCTACATGGACCATAATGGTAAAAGTAATAAACTACAGGGACCAAAAATGAATTTTTGCCATAAAAGAATGTATATAAAAATATTGTTCAGCTACCAACAGTATCTAGCCCAATGGAAAAAAGGCTTTGACTTGCAAACCAGAGGTCTTAAGTTCGAATCCTCACGGCATCATAGTTGTGTGTGTGCGTGAGAAATCCTCCACATTTGTAGTTTAAATTACCATTTATACTAAATTAGCCTCTTCACACGTGCTTCCGCGCTTGTGAGAGGCTTTTTAAAAAAAAAATTAAAATTTATTTTAGAATTAAAAAAGATAATGGGCAATTGTGTTCCATAAAAATAGGATCCATTATCTTATTTTTCTTTTAATTTTTAATTTTTTTTAATATGAAAAGCTGTGAATTTACCATATTATCCTCATTTAATTAATAATTTCAATTCTTAATGTTTTCATTAACCAAGAGCATTTCCTGGTATTTTGAATGTTTTACCATTCTCTATCTTTTGCTTTATATATATAGATAAATAATTAATTAATTGAATATTGTTCAGCTATACCTTCCACGCCAAGTTCCAGGGAACGCTTGGGCTTCAGCTTTGCAGAGAAAAAAATAATAATTCTACATTTTTAATGTCAGTTTATATATAAATTATAAAATGCCGAATGCTTCACCCCAAAGTTTTCTCCTATACCATGAGTGAATTAAGAACAGATTAAGGCCCATTGCATTCCAACAGCAAGCCCCCTCAAGTTAGAAACTGGGCACTTGAATCTTTGACCGAAAAGACAGTGGCCCCAAGAGTCCATAGTTAGCTATGTGATAGTTGGGCCTTGACCCCAACCTAACTTGAAAATATAAATAAGTGCCGGTGAGCGTTTACATCGTAAAAGCCCATTCCAAGTAAAATGTCGTAAGGAGGAGTAATTATAGTGTTGTACTTGAGTATTTTTCATAAACCAATTATGATTGAGTTTTTCTATTTAAACCATGCACTCCTCTTTGTTCACCCCATATTCTAAGTTCTCTCCAACTTCTATTTCATATTTTTACATTTTCTAAGAAAACCTCACTATCTTCCTAAACTACCTCCAAATACACACCTAGTAGAAAAAAATAAAAATAAAAAATCATCAACCTCACACCCCACACCCCGCTATCTTGTCTCTCACCACTCTAAGTTCACATCAACCTCACATTACTTAAAAAGATAAAAACACTGTTGTCAAATGTGTAGCAACATTCTTTTATTATTATTTTAAAAAAAATTATTTTCTTGTTCAACAAAGCAAACCCATGTGGCAATTTTAAGATTATATATCAATCAAAGGCTTAAGCAGGCACTGTTTCTTTGCTTTGCAGTCAAGGTCTGGTTTTTTTTTCCCCTCCAGTTTTGTTTGTTTGATTATGATTATGATTATTATTATTTCTGATTTGTTTGTTTGATTATGATTTGCTGTATTTACTATTTAGGGTTTGTGAAGAGAAGATGAGAGTGTAGTAGATTTCTTGGATTGAAATAGAAAAGTAATTTGGCAATAGAATGTAGAGGAGTTTGTGTTTTTTCTAAAACTTATATGAAGAGTGGTGGGGTGTGTGTGTATAGATGTATTAGGGTTAAGTATTAAGTTGGATGACCTTTTTTGTCTTTTTACATAATAATAAAACTTAAGAGTTTATTTATTTAAGTATTGGAATGAACAATAAAAAGTGTGGAGTTTAAATAGAAAAACTCTTATGATTGTATATGTCTTTTTTTTATTATTATTATAAATTTTATTATCAAATTTTGATTTGATATGTGTTAGACTTATAAGAAGATTATAAAAAAGTAAAATAAAATAAAATAAAAAGGACGCATGTTAAATTTTGATTGACTTAAGAAGGAGAATGATTTCTCTATCCCAAATTTAATACACTGTTATAATTTTTTGAATTTAAAGCAACAATACACGTTATATTACCGTCACATACAATACAACTGCTTTCAAAAGAACTAAGCATTTTAACAATAGCAAGGGGAAGATGGATTTTGACACTTTGTTGATATCACGACTTGTCGTCTGTATATCAACAAGTAACATGTCTGGCAAAAAATAACAATTAACATGTCATTTTGCATTGAAAATGAGAGGTAGACAAGTCGTGCAATACTCTCTGATCTCATGGCCTCATATTCTCATGGAAGGCGACATGTCGGTTGTCATATATTTGACAAGAGACCAGACTTATGCGAGGACCAACGTGTCATTTGGATGACTCCGTTCCATAGTCTTTCTTTCTAGTCCAAACTTGTTCTACTCTATTCCACTGTTGATCAGTCAATTTGCTGGACACCACAGGAGGCCCATGCTTCTTTTATTATTAGGTAGGTTTATTTTGCTCTGTTTTCTCTGTTTTTTTTTTTTTTTTTTTTTTTTTTTTTTTTTTTTTTTTTTTATACAAAAGATATTTTTTATGCCTGGATGTCTGAATAATGTAGAGAGCCATCAAACTCAAATAAGAAGTTTTCCATAATAGAGAGTCGGATAAGAAGTCTGTTGGAGCTGCGTTTTGCCCTCATTCTAGTGAAATGGCTGAGGGGAGATGCTCTTATGCATGCAATGCAACTATTTGAAGTCTCTCAAATATTTCAAGTCATATGGGCTTAAATCTCAAAAAATAAGCAGCAGTCTTTGAAAAAAATCATGCACAATGAATTCTCTATAAACAGATTACAATCCAATTACATTGTGCTCCTGATAAGTTTATCTGAGAATTAGCCTCAGGAACACATATTTAGCCAAAATGTCTACATACAAACATCAGATGCAAAGTGGGACACTACACAAGCAAATCAAGGAACTTAATAAAACACAGAATCTTGCTGCAATGACACAAGAATAAGAATCAAAATCCCAAGAAAAAAAAACAAGAGGTCAGCAATATTGAATTGCAGCTTGCATTCTCTAATTACACTATTGCATGTTTCTTATGCTTTGGGGCAGGCATAATTTTGGGAAGGGATGCGCTGTTAGTACCTACTTCCATGTGCCTGCAAACCCAACACAAATATTTAAAATCTGATCAATTCAACTATCTATAGTAAAATCACATGTCTACTTATTTTCTTCTTTTTTTTCTTTTTTAAAATCATGTTTGTTCATAATCAATTAGTATGAGATTTTAGGTTGAGCAATACTCACATCAAATGCAACAAGAGATCTGCAGTAGTTGGTGTTTGTGAGCACTGTACTGCTGGAGCCACATTCACTTTCTTTGAGTGAAACGGTGGACCTGTCAAGCTTGATATACCAAGGATACTGGTAATTCTGAGCAGTTGAACTCACATGAGAAGATGACCTCTGCATCTTCACAGCCCTTGGGATGTTCCTTCCTTCCATGGACACCCTCCGCGACCGGCTTGGCTGCCTCTCAATTGAATCTGCAGGCCTTTGCTTTGGTGCACTCTGCGACCGGGCTTTTGCCTTTGAGGATTGTGTGTTTGCCATGTAATTTGGGAACAAAGGGTAGTCATAGGACAGAGGCTCTCCATAATCTGGCCTAGGAAAAGCAAAGGGTGCTCTTGATGGGTCAAGTTTGGACATGGCAGAATAGCACTGAGGGCTGCTTTGTGCTGTGCCGAAAGAATAGTCCTCAATATGTGCGCTGCAGGCTCCAGGGCTCAAGTCAGTGAGAGCTGATGGAGCTGGGGAGAGCTGGTTGTAGCTGTCTTGGTTTGAGTAGGCTTGATTTGGTGCATGCTGAGTGGAAAATCTGTGTTCTGTTCTCTCTGTTTGTGAGAGGTTTGAATAGCTGCTATTTCTGCTCTTCAAAATTCCCTTTGACTCTCCAAGATCCATCTCCACAATCTTAATGTTCTCCTCCATGCCTCTGTCCATTTCCTACATGTACATAACCACAATGTGCTGATTTTTAATGGGAAATTCATGGCATAAAGAGAAAGAACATTGCAATTCAAAATAAAGCAAAACAAAGAGAATGTTAATTAATAAATGTGGTTCTATACTTCTCTTCCTATGAAACTTACATTATATGTATGCCAGAACCGGTTTTCCTGCAAAGATCTTCTGGGGGTGGAATGTCTAGGAGGAATAACAGTATTTTCATCTTCAGCCATCCGGATCCTCTGAGCCCGAGCTCGAGCCTGTGCTGTCACCAATGCCTGCATGCACCTTAGTGTAGCTTTGGCCTGTTTTCTCACCAGGTGACCCCTTACCAACGCCTGCAACTTCACTAATCCTTTCAAGGCACACAGTGCTTTTCTTGCCTACAACAAAAAACAATACAATAGTTCTCATATCATTTCGTGACATTTGATCATTTACATAACAGTGAAGTCAGAGCATCAAACGCAAAATCAATTGACAATTAGCGGGGAGATATTAATAGGGAATTCCAGAGTTACATACCAAATATGAACGGAAGACAGATTGAATTTTGACAGCTGCTGCCTCTTCAGATGCACTGGCTTTCTCATTGGCAGCTGCTGTAAGCCGGATCACAGCGGCTGCAGCTTGCGATGCAGCCACAGCTGCATCAGCGACTGCAGCTGTGGCCGCAGCCATAGCCAGGGCATGTTTTTTCTGCTCATAATTCTGAGAGTCCAATGTGGTGTGCATAGGCGGTGGAGTGGTGGGCATTGCATCTATAAAACTGGAGTCTCTTGGAGCTGCTGCTGCTGCTGTGGCTGATGATCTTCTGAAACTCCATCTCCTCTTCTCTTTCGGTGTTGTCTGTGAATTGGAAATTGGAGTTGTTGGATTCTCATGACTTGCAACAGAATAACTCTGGTTTGTGGGACATTTTTCCTTGTCCTTGTCCTTGTCCTTCTCCTTGTCCTTCTTTCCTGTCAAGAAGCTTCTAAGCCATTTGCCTGTCTTCCCCATCTGAGTTAGATATGTGTGCTTCTAAGCTGCCATTGCACCATCAACAACAACAACATAGAGAGAAGAAAGCAACAAGATAGATCGTTTGTTCTTGATAGGTAGCTTTCAAAATTATAATGCTCCTGCTTTGTTACAAGTCACAGCTTCTTCTTTTTTTTCCTTTAACAGCCTGGTCCTTTTGTTCCATTCTTCTCTGTTTTACTGTTACATTAACTTTACAAATTGTAACTTCAGATTAGATATTGGTTGATTCAATTTTTTTTTTTTTTTTTTTTTTTTTTTTTTTTTTTTGCTTCTTGAGGATTAAGCTGCCCAATAATAAGCTAGTAGCAGCCAACCTCATGGAATATATATAATTTTGGCAGAGATTCCTTGCCTCCGCTAAATATATGCTAGTACCCCTTTTTGTCCTTGAGGTAATTCAGATTTTGATATAGTCATCAAGGTTGTTTTGGTAATAAAAGGGAATATAGAGGATCAGAAACCATGTGGAAATGGGTCGAGAAGGGGCAGCATCCTTGTAAAATACTCATTTTTAAGGGGTCCATTAGTGGGTTTTTGTCATTTTATGTTTAATTAATTAATTAATTGATTGGCCTTATGGGGGTGTTGTGGGTTCCACAGAGAAGTGTTGTGAGTTAAGGAGGTGGCTCTGATTCTTCACGTGCTCATCCAATCCCAGCTGTTGGAGTTGAGCCTACGTTTTTTCATGATCCCAAGTGAAGCTGTGAAGGTTATCTTTTGATACCAATACCCTCCACCAAGCATGGTCCAAGAGCCTTTACTCTTCGTTCTGGAGAGTAGGTTCTCGGATCTGTGACAAAGAAATTAATAATGAATGGTATTAGGGTACTGCTACGTGGTCGGATGAAACTGTATAACGAGTTTATATTTACAATATTGTTACGATCAATGTAATAAAGATGAATAACAAATTTATAATCAACATCACATGACGATATTACGGTGAACTCTCACACAAGATAAAAGTGTGAAGAGAGGTTATAAGGGGGAGGGAATTAGTTAATGTGAATCACAATTACATGCATGTGACATTCTGCCATACACGTTGCTGATAGCAGGGCCTCAGGGGTCCGGGCAGAAGAGACAAGTGTGATTATTATTAGGGTGTGTTTATTTGGAGCCACATGTCATGTGACAGAAAAAAAGAAAAAAAAATGTTACATCTAGGAAATGGTGGTCACCAATTGGTCTCTCTCTAGCCACACGAACAAAATTCATACAGATACGGCTAAGCATGGCATTCAATTACCGGATGACCTTACGTACGTTTTTAGGGTTCGTGATAAGAATGATGCTACATGCACTACATTTTCTCGTCACATTATGTTGAAAGTGATGCATTCTAATTGTTGTTAAGTCAATTGTTAATTTTACGCATCAACCGTCACATAATGTGATAAAAAATATTCTCAAACATTAAACATAGTCGTCCACAAAATATACAAATTCAATTATCAAATCTATTATATATGCATGAATTATTTATACATAATATAAAAATATTTAAGTAAATCATCAAAAATTAACAGGGAAACTCGAGCTTCTTGAAAGAGTTGGGGGTTCGTACATGAACATCAAATTGATGGTGTTTGTCCCCAACTAACACATCAAACATATAGTTGAAGCATGAGTAAACTGTATTATTATTCTACTAATTAATATATCCATATAATAAATCAAATTAGTTGGCAGTCACATGCTGTGTGTTTATATGCTTCCCCTTTGACTAGGTGTTTGCTTGCTTCATGGAAACATCCTTCACTGTTAATCTCTTCATTTCTTAATTAAAATACTAATTAGGTTATCCATGAATTCACATGAATTGGAAATTTGGAATTATGACAAAAGTTCCACATATTTTTAATAAATAAAATAAACTAAAATAATAATAAATAACATAAAAGTGTTCCCATCCAAACCATTATAACCTCGTGGAAGATGACAACAAATACATTTGAAAGGGATATTATTGGAGTGAAGTATTTATGAACATCATATATATTTTATTTTATTTTATAAATATATTTTAGCTCTGATTCGCAAGATATATCAGGTGGGGTCAGCACTGACATCTTTGTTTTTTAAGCAATATTAATAATTATAGTTAAGACAGATTAAAGGGCTGATTTATACTCAGGGTGCAATTGTTACAATGTCTGTTTAAGGGATCACCACATGGGGGCCAAATCAAAAAGCTGCAGCTTGAAGATGCATGTGAAATGTGAATATGCTTTGTTAATGAAAAGATTTCTCATCTTTTATCTTTTCTGTTTGTATGTGCATAAGCTTCTTCTGTGCACATGACGACACATTTTTCGATCTCTAATGAAATGAGAAACTAGTTAGCATATCATCTTGTGAGTTTCTTGCCCCAAAAAAAAAATCTTGTGAGATTCTAGGTAACCTCAAGTTTGTGAATAATTAATTTTGTGTTTTGTCGATTGTCTGATCAATGCATATTAATTGACCGATCAACCGGCTGTAAAAAATTTGATTATCCGCAAATGCGATAAACCCTATGATGAAAAAAAAGTTGTTTAATGCATTAACAAGGTGACTGAAAGTTATGTCGAGGAGGGAATGGTAACCAAATGGCAACAAAATTCGACATCTTTCATTGCTTGTGGATCATGTCGGGTTTGCACTTCTAGTGGCATGTATATTTTTTGGAATGTTCAACTTACGAGGCAGGCGACAACCACATATTATTATTATCACATTCCCAAAATAAGAACTGCTTTCCTTCAACTTGGTCACCAGATTTTTCTTCCATTAAATTATCAAGCATAGGTGTAAAAAAATTGCTGCTTGGTATCACTAATCTGGAACACAATTTTATTAGTGAAGCAACTACATTGTTTTTATGGGAGTTGTAATTTCTAATGATTAACATCGTCTGAAGTTTTGAGTTCACATCTCCTTCTTTTAGTATAATTTTATAAAATAACTTACATAAAAAATATAACAGGAAGATTGAGCAATAATTTATACGTTTGGAGTTGTCGCATGAATTGTACAAATATTATCCTCAATTTAATCGACAAGTCCAATACATGGTTGGATCCATGTGAACCTGTTATATATCTCATAAGATCTCAATGCAATTTAAAACGAGCTTTCACTTACATATACCCTTTTACAAATAATCACTTGTTTGATGTTGGACAATTGATCTACAATCGTTACAACCTTTTTACAGTGTATAATTAAACAACTAGCTTTAGATTTACAAGAGGAAAGTCTTAAACTCTAGTTACCTTCTCGCATAACGGGGTTCCTAAAACCTTCACTCTCTTCCATGGTTTCTCTGTACTAACATGTCATTTTCATTGCAAACAAACTTCTGCAGTGACAATTAATGAGCACCAAACCAAATAATAAATTGTTTGGCCAAAATACGTATCTAACTTGTAAAGATGATGGTGTACGAAACCCGTACTGTAGCAATTATAGGGCAACTCAATTGTCATTGATTGGTTTGGTTTCATTATCTAGTAGTAGCTTCTAGCTGAATCTGAAGTGAACCCATACGTGACAATTCAACCAGGGCCAGTGGTCCTCCCACAAAAACCCAACCCTTTCATTTTCTTGGTAGCTCTAATTTAAGTCCATCTATTTGCCATCACATATATTTACAATCAAGCTACATGGCACTTTTCTTTTTCTTTTTTGTTGTCTATCTAATTTCTAACACAATTAAAATGTTGTGGGGCCTCTTAATTTACTTCTGGGCCTAATGCCAACGAAGGGTTATTTCTTATATCGTGAGGTTGTACTTGGATTCTTGTTGTAATTCTTTATTCAACAATTGTCGTTCATAAGATTTAAATTCATCACTCTTTTATGAATAAATAAAAAGAATTAATGATGCATTTATACAATTCATTGTTGGCTTTCTACATGACTATCATATCATCCAAATAAATAGTTATGGTAATGTGTGAGACTTGTTAGTGGACTTTACAATTTTGAAGTGTGATAAACACCCTTAAACGCGAGACATTACAAATTCAATCCAGTCCAATATAATTTAATATTGGAAATTCCGATATAAAACCCACCAAACCAAAGGAGACTCCAAATAACTTAGATTATTAGGCTGTCGTGTTTTTTTATTTTTTTATTTTTATAGTCGTTCATCTTATAAATGAATTTATACGATGATGAATCCAAGGGGAAAAAAAGTTCACCAAGACAAAAGTACATTTTTCATGGTACACAGAAGAGGTTAAGAAACTTCCATATCTCAATACATGTGAAAGTAACTTCCCTATCTCCGTTTCATTGTCTCATTCTTTCTATTATTTTCCTCATGTCATCTGTGAGAGGAAGAATGAGATAGAGCAAGAGAGGGGCAATGAAGTGTTTCTCTATGCTTAGGCCGGCCAGAAAGTAACAACCAAAGTAGTGTTTGCATAGGCATTCTAAGAAGTCTCCTCTTTCGCTTTCTTAGATATTAGTTACGTGCCCACCAAGTCCCTGACGTGCCCAAATTGACTTGAATTAATGCTTTTGGTTTTCCTTTCAGAGTGTATAATTGAGGAAGATGATTATGTACTGCTCAAAAAGACGATATAGCTCTTCTTGTTTTTGTCACAATAGAAGTAAATAAAAAAGATGGCTGGGCTTGGGAGGTTTCCTGGGGTAGATCTGCCTCCAAGAAGAAGAAAACACACCCACCGTCAAGAAAGTTATGCCAAGTATAGAGAAGCACCACCGCTGAGGGAATGGCTGGAGCCATCCGTGAACCAAGTGACCTCCATGGATTTGGATGAAGCAACTCACAAAGCTCGCAGGAGGCTAGAGAAGAGGCTTGGCTATTGCAGACCCTCCTCAAGGTTCTGCCTCTTCTCTTTGTTTTTCTCCTTACTCAGCTAGTCTCTATTTGCTTAGAAAGTTTTGAGGCAGGAGAGCAGGCCATGGACCTCAGTTGTGCCCATAAGTTCCACTCCAATTGTCTTCTGCCATGGCTTCATGCCCATCCAGATTGCCCTTATTGTAGGACCCCTGTTTCTTAATATTCAATCAAGCAGAAACAGCCATCCAGTTCCAGATTCCAGAGCTACCTGCAGGGCATGGCTGCATCATGCATGACCATTTTGAAAAGATGGTTTCACATTCTTGGTTGTATCAGCAATCTTGTTTGGTGTGTTAAATAATGTGCAGTACTTGTAAGATTTATAGTTGGCTGAAAGATGTTATTTTACTAGGAATATATTGCACATTTGCCTTAGACATATAGACTATATACAGTCCATCTACTAGCCATTTTCTTGAAGATGGCACAAATGGTCTTTATAGTATGACTATGACAAAATTGGAATTCAGTCCAAGCCAATTCTTGAGAGTCTCGTCCCTCTAGAGAGTACTTGTAAGATACAATATATTAAATTATTGTCCAATTTATTCGGCTTCAGTATTTTTAAGTTTATCAAGCAATGGTCATTCTTTCAACTCTTGGGCCCAAAAAAATAAAATAACAATGATCATAATATTAGTTTAATTTAATTGGAATAGTCCAATTTAGGTTGAGAGACCTAGGGATGGCAAAAATCACCCAATATCAATAATGGTTCTGTGAAGTAATAGTCGATGCTTGTGGAAATTGAACTTTGAATGTAGTTGTGGCTGGATTAGTTCATTATTGTTCAAGCTATAATTTTGTATGAAGCTGAAATTTTGCACTTGTAGACCAAGAAAAAGCCAAACCCAACTCAACGAGGATATCCCTATAAAAAGAAATAGAAAATCAATGTAGACAATAAGGGAAATGACGTATTGCATATACAGAGTCACAAATAGCAATTGATGAAAGCACAGGGAAGAGATGGTGTTGTGGTGGAAGAAAGAAACAGAGGTTACTGAATTGGAGGTGTAAGCGCGGGAAATTTTGGCTATGATGAAAATATTGAAAAGCTTTGATATTTAGCACGATGTAAAAACGAGTTCTCTCAGTCATGTTTTAAATTTAGAGTTTAGGGCAATTTTGGCTCTGATGAAAATGCTGAAAAGCTTTGTACCGGAGAAAGTCCGTATGTATCTAATGCGTATAGCCGCGCGGCTATACTATTTAAAACATAATAAAAAAACCCAGTCTAGCCGTGCGGCTATTTCTTTTTTAAAAAATTTTAGAAAAACCGAGTATAGCCGAGCGACTATACTATTTCTTTTTAAAACAAAACTAAAAACCGAGTTTAACCCCGCAGCAGTACTATTTCTTTAAAAAAAAACTACCAAAACGGGTATAGCCACATGGCTATACTATTTCGTTTTAAAATATTAAAAACCGAGTATCGCCGAGCGGCTATACCATTTTTTTTATTAAAACCCGTAGTAGACCCGTGCGGCTATACAATTTAATTTATTTTTTTTAAATGACCCTCCTAATTGCATTAGTTTATACTTTATAGATACTAGCCTCTTGGCACATGCTCACGCATGTGCCAATTGGTTTTATTTTTTATTTTTATTTTATTTTTAGAATTAAAAAAAAATAACATGGGTAGTTATGTTCCTTAAAAGTAGGACCTATTATCTGATTTTATTTTTAATTTTAATTTTAATTTTTTTAATATGAAACAATATGAATTTATCATATTATCCTCACTTAATTAATAATTTCAATTCTTAATGATTGAATTAAGCAAGGGCATTTACTGGTATTTTGAATGTTTCACCATTCTCCGCCTTTTGCTTTATATATTGTAGATTAATTTGATATAGCCGCGTGGCTATACGAATAAAATATGTACCTGTTTTATTTGGCAAATTTTTGGCAAATTACAACTTAAAAGTTTGGCCACTATATAATATTTTAATATTATTTATTTTAATATATTTATTTATTTTTATTCAATAATATGTGAGATTTATGCGTATAATACGTGAAAAATCAAAAGGGGACAATACAAACTCGGGTAATGGCCTAATAATAATATATAATACTATAAATTACTCTAATCGATGAACAAAAATTGAGGAAACAATATAAAAGAAAAAGAGGATCCTAGTATATATATAGAATTAAGAGTATAGTCGCTTGGCGATACTATTCATTAAAAAAATAAAAATATAGAGATGCGTAAAGCCGCACGGCTATACTGTTTTAAAAAAAATTTAAAAAAAACCAAGTATAGCCGCACGGCTATACTATTTCTTTACCGAGTATAGCCGATCGGCTGTACTATTTCTGTTAATATAGCTGCGCGGTTATACTGTTTCTTCTAAAAAATTAGGGAAAAACCGAGTATAGCCGCCGGCTAGACTATTTATTTATTATCCCTAAACCCTAGACCGATAAGTGATAAATTTATTTTTAATTAAAATAAATATATAATATAATATAGCAATTAACTTATTTTCAATTTCTTTCCTATAATATACATGATGTATTAAGGCTTGAACGGATAATCAATTGAAAATCTGCTATTCTAAAAGAAAATGTGTTTTCTTTGTGATTAATACCAAATTGAAATGTTGGACCTGACTGACTTTTAAGTTTTAACTTGGGCGAGGATACATTGATAACAAGGTTGTTTTTGGTTTTCTTTACTTTCGCACGGGGACTTTTCTTCAAGTTCAATAAAAATCATACATTTTTGTACCTTGGATATGACTTGATTAAAATTGATTTTGCCTAAATGGGATTATAGTATTATAGGGTCAGATTCTTTCTTTCTTGTATATGGCATTCAATTTAATTTCATGCCCATCTCTTGCTTTCAAAATAAAAATTGCAAGTTGCATGGGATACCTTAATATCACAATAATGATCGACATTCAACCAGTTTGTTAGGCCGCATTTTATTTTGTATCGATAGAGGTTTCTAATTACTGGACTAGGATGGGTTTGGAAGACTCTTCCTCAACAGGGATGGGGATGGAAATTCCCAAAATTTCTTATCAGGGATAGGGGCGGGGATGAGGATGGGGACGGGGATGATATTGTCATACCCCATCCCAAACCGGCCCATTATCATCCCTAGAGAGACCGAACGGTAAACTCAAAATTTACAATGATATAAGAAGGGCATCAGACCAGACGATATAGACTATTTTGTTGGACGTGGGTGTATAACAAAGACTGGCCCCCTTTAAACAAGGCCAACCCAAATTAACTTTCTTTCTACCCCTGGAATGGGCTTGGAGGCCCAAGCAAATACAGAAGGGAATCAGACGAACATTGGGCTTGAATTTCGACCTGCCATACTTACTTATTTTATTCTGCTGGACCTCATCAAGTATGCGTTAACATGCACAGTTGTTCATAATATATCATAAATGATTAAATATGTTCTGTCACAAAAGAAAATACAGTTTTGTGAAAAATAAAGCTCCATAAACATAACACACGCCGTTTCATTAAAAAGAAAACATAAACAATTTCAATGGCGAACTAGTTGTTTAATAACATACCACTCCTGCACTCATCTAATAACAAATTATCACAGAATAATTTGTGCGTGGGTATATCTAGACATTGTAGTCCACTAGCGACATTGTTTGCTAGCATGTTTGAAGGTACAACCACATCCTAAACCTAATTATATGAAAACTATACCATTCAGTTAGGTGTTCAAATTTCTTTGTATTAGTTGAGGAGTTGAAGATATCACAATTCATAGTATCATCATCATCATCATTATTTGGCTTCCACCGAATGCTTCTGCTTCTGCGGTTTGACAAGTTTGGACGGTACACGCTAAGAAATTCGGTGGTCCGTGACCCCTTGAGCATTGCTCAACCTATGACTAGCATATAGCTCGTTAATGGCGGGGTGTATATTTCAAAGATGAATGCGCATTTCCAACGGTCCCCTCCCTTCCCTCATCAGGTTTGAAATTTCCAACGGCTTTAAACTTTCCTTGCCAACTGCCAATTAGGTCGGCTATTGCTTAAACTTCACGTATAATTCATATTTCTTCTAAATTTTGCTTTTTCCAAGTAAAGCTTAACATTTCTTCAAAGTTGAGAAAGGCTAAAGCCAAGTGGAGCAGAGGAAGTTAATATTTCATGTTATTCAAGACTCATCTGATTGAATTGTGACTTGTATTAAGACAATTGATCAAGACAGTGTACTAGCATATTGCACCCGAATTATTTCCTTTGCCGTACGTTATAGAGTAACTTAAGATATCGTTTTGTAGAAAATAGAAAATAAAATTTAATATGAATAGTACATGTGAATATATTGAGGAAGAATTTATTGCAACTTCCAACAACCCACACTTTTCCATGTAAAGTCTATAAACCTCTTTACATCTCAGCCGCGTTGACGCGATGTCGTATCTTAACTGCTGAAGCTGCCAATTTAAAGACATCTCCTCTTAAATACGTTCAAAGTCCATCAACAAGTCAATTTAATCACCGGTATTTTCCTGACTGCCCTCCGCTTATCTCTCCTTCCATTTCAGCTTAACCTTAGCTTAGCTTGTGTGCATGTTTCAGACTTGAGATATGGCTTCCACCTATCTCTGTGCTCTGCTTGCCATCTTTCTTGCTATTCAGTCTGTCTCTGCTGATCCATTGGGCAGCTTACTTGCTCCTATCTTCTCTCCAATCTTGGGTTTGTTTCATTTCACTCTTCTTATATCATCTTCAGTATTTTTTTGTTTTGGGTTTTGTTACTTTATTCATTTATTTCTTGGGTTTTCTTTGATTTTCATAATTTTTTTTGGGGATGTTGATTTCTGATCACAGATGTGTGCAAACAAGTAGAATGTGGAAAAGGGACTTGCAAGCCTTCTAGCAACAGCACTTTCCTTTTTGAATGTGAATGTGAACCTGGGTGGAAGCAGACTTCTTCTAATCACACTGATCACCTCAAGTTTCTCCCTTGCGTGATTCCCCAATGTAAGGCCTCCATCTTTCAATCTCCCAAATGAGCATTCAAATAGATCATGGATTATATCTTGTAAAAGCAGTCATTTGCTGTTTCTAAGTCAAATAAATTTGTTATGGGAGTGTTTGCTTTTCTGTATAGCTCGTGCAGATGGAGAAAATCTTAATACTGAGTTATTGATTTTGTAGTATTAGCTTGTTTGGTTTTGGAAATCTAGTTTAGATTTAGAGACCAAGAGAGATATGACCTTCCAATTGTAGGGAAGAAAGACAGAGCAAGTTACAACATAAAGATTGATAAACCAAAACATAAGTACTTTTTGGGGTACAATGAAGTCAAAGTGTGTGTCCATGACAGGAAGCTCAGCCCGAAAATCGTTAATAAAAAATGCCCATTTAATTTAATTTGGTAGTGCATGTTCTTCACAGACTAACCTTGTCTTGGACTCCAGTCATGTTGAAATTTTTTTGGCTAGGCTTAATGGAGATAAGCGTACACGTGTAAAGATAATATTTTGCTATCCTACCTATAAGTCAAAGATTGGGATCATAATTCTTCTTTCCTTTTAATTGGTGGATATACATCCTTGGTTTTAGATATTTACTTCCTTTTGTTATTTGGATACTTTCTTGCTAATATCATGGCTTTGATGATGCTGATGGTTTTGGATGTTTATAGGTAATCTGAATTACTCTTGCACCAAAGCGCCAGCCCCTGAACCGACCAAAGCCAATGAGTCATCAATCTTTGATCGTATTAACTATTAACCCCTGTACTTTTAAATATATTTATCTATTAAACTATCACCAGCCCTACACACTGCATAATGTTGTTTGGTTTTCTTTCCTAGCACACGTTCACGCATTTTATAATTTTGGTCTTATAGCTTGCTTTTGGAGTTATTGTGGAGGTGGATCATGCAACAAGACATCAAAATTCACATACAACTGCGAATGTGCAGAAGGTTATTATAATCTTCTAAATGTCACTGCCCTCCCTTGCTTTGAAGAATGTAAGTGCATATACCTAGAAGCTTTTAAATAATGATGCGCTGATGAATAGTTATGCAACAATTGTATATCAGTAGACAGTGTCTGACTTGAGTTTCATTGCATTCATTAAGGTGCAATCGGGATGGATTGTGCAAACCTTGGGATTTCAGTGTCAAATAAATCTGCTGCTTCAGCACCACCATTCGCTGACAATGCAGAGAATCAAGGTGAGGCTAGCAACTCAAGCAAGATAATTCTACATTACTTTTGTTTTTTACCGTCTGATAGTAGTTCCAGCTACGGTTCAATACATAAAGCTCAAATTTGGAGATCCAAGAAATTTAGATAAACAATTATCTTACTCAAAACAGCATGTTCGACTCCCATTTTGTGTTAATGATGTACTCTGGAAGACATTAACAACCCTGCTTTTTAAAATCATTTGATTAAAAAGATTGACCAACAACAGGATGATTCATACTTGACTTTGACACTTTTAGGAGCTAATTTACTCATCAATTTTTTAGTTGAATGGCCTCCAACAGCTACATCAAATTGAGTATTATAGTTTTTTTACCTTCGTATTGATGTCACGCGTTCACTCCGTTTTGTCCTCGTGTTTTCTCATTTACAGCTAGCTCAATGGTACAAGTAAACTCTCCTACATTGCTGATCCTGATGCTGTTTGCTGCTATGCTTCATTGGAAATAGAGAATTAGTTGGCTGTTTTTTCGCACCACACCTTTGAACCCGTGGTTGATTGCTGCGGTATTTATTTGATATCTGCTGACAGATTTAGTTAGCTCTCATGTTTGGATATAGATTTTCCGGTCAGATGAATAAGTTAGTAGATGTATTCAGGGAGGTGCTGATCTCATTCCTAAACTCATTTTTCACACATAGATAGAGTGAAGAAGATTTTTGTTTGTTTTGTACATAATTGATAACCCTGCTGTTGCTGACTACTGGAATAAGAGACATAAGTTCGTGTTTACACTTGGGTATTTGAACTTCCTTTCATGATATTTGTTTTGGTGGGGAAAGAGACTTCTCTCCTCATATTTGCCTCTGCAGTTGATTGAACCTGATTGCAGGGTCAGATGCCAACCTTGAGCAATTCTAAGGGTAGACTGCAATTTTGAGCTCAGAAGGGAAAGCTATTCATGATTATGTGACCAAGTATTCTAAAGAGGCCCGGACTCTCTTCTACAATGTGGGGGATTTTGGTGAGGAGGTTGAATGAAGGGTTCAATCCAACCATTCAATCATTAAAAAAGTTCAAGTCCAATATTTTCTCTCTCTTGTTGGATAGTGGGGATTGAACCCCTCCCACAACCCCCTCATTATAGCATTTCTGGGGACTCTTATATCAACTCTTTAACCTTATATTTCAGAATGTGTTTGGGTTCAAGTTCACCGTGCATGTTCTAATTTGTTTAGGTTCAGTCCACTTTTTCTCTTACATCAGTCCCAGTCATTAAGACCAAGGCCGTTGCATACTTGACTTAGGCCCAAACAATTTTTAAAGGCCTCTCAGTCATTACAAAGGACAGTTTTGTTTTGTTTTCTTATGGCCAACATACATTCATTACAAAGGAAGTTGGCTTGGGATTATAAACAGAAAAAAGATATGACTTTTGCATGAATTTTCAACATCATCTTTGGTTGGTTATTTTTGGAATGGAAGGAAAAGATTCTCCCTTTCTTTGTGAAAATTTGGAGGGAAATGGAAGAGAATTGGATGGACCCAAAACCATGAATCTCACATTTTCCAATCTTTAAATTGAAGGGATGGGGAAGAAAATTTTCTCAAATATGCCCTCTTCACAATATTCAAGTTAGGAAGAATAATATTTTTTGTGTATTCAGAATTGAGAGATCTACAACTTTTACTTTTTCACATACTTTGATCTACTTTCCTTCCAAATTGTAAAGTTGAAGATACATGAAAACCAAGTAAATACTGCCTCAAAGTTCACCAATCAATCCCTCATCAAACCCTTTGAAAAAGCAAACAAGAAACAACCAATAAACTAAAGCCTAAAGGCAAGCTACCCTTGTCCCTTGCCTGTTGTGACCCCCCAAATCCCATCACATTAAATCTTAAACCCCATATGACCTTTGCTCAGCTCACACCTCTCAATCGGCGGCGTACGGCCCACCATTACAATTTACAGGCATCATCACACAGCTCTGTAGGGTTTAGGGGCTGCCAAAGGCAGAGGATCCTTGAATTTTTATGTCATTTTAAAGGAACCCAATTACACTTTTCCTAGCATTTGAACTACAAGTGAGCCTAGCAAAGTGACAGTGTAGAGTGCCAGTCAGTGCCACCATCCCTCTCTTATTTTTCTCTTCGAATGTCGTGTGAATTATTAACGTCCTCTGCTTTTTTCTACTTCTTGGTTTTTGTTCCTCTCTCTCACTAGTCACAGTAGCTTTCCTTTTCTTGCTCCAAGTTCAATTCACGCCCCTTATGCATCTGCTCATTTTTGGCAACCTCTTTGAAATTTCAAGGAGAAGGGGGCCCCTACCAACCCTTGTTTTAATGTTGTTGCTTTGCCACGTTTGTGTGTGTGTGTAAAATTTCATCTCTCGGTAGACTGTAGCAGTAAAAATTGTTTGAAGTCTCCTGTGGCAGGCTGGCCTTTGGAAATTGGATCTACAACGACTCTACATGTCATTTCCAACAGTCCATGTCTCCGCTATAAACCTTGTCAATCATGTCTGTCTAATCTTTCATCATCAAATGGGAAATAAATAGTGGGTTGCTCTCTGCTTTTTAATTATGATTCAAAAAAAATCACAATTTTCATCCCATAATCCAAAAACAAAACAAAAAAAGAATTTATGATATTTATTTCACGAATCAATATCGTGAGTGTTGTTGACCTGAGTCCCCACCATCTCTTCGCTTGCATGTCATCAGATCAGGGCAAGTTAGTCTTATCCATGTGGCAAATATCATGATTGCAAAGTTGGATTAATATTGTGTAGTAGTTGTAATGCTATTGGAATCTTGGAGAACCTAGGATTTGCATACAACTTGTCCCCCCGCCCCACAGTGGGTTTTTGGGGCGTGAGAGGCTGTAACCCACTACTACTCTTCGGTGTTCTTGTTGAGAAAAAAATTAATAATAATGGAATAATAGCAAAGCTATAAAATTTAAGAACATTTACCATCGGAATTCCTAGTTTCGATTCCCTCCAATATCTTTTGTATCAAAAGAGAAAACAATTTCTAAAAAGAAGTAAAAGTTGTATATATGTGAATATTCAATAAATTATCAAGAAAATAAAGAGTTTGTGTGGTGTGGATGTTGGCCTCTTACTCAATCAAATCCATTCGTTTTATGGACCAAGATGCCCATGATTACATAATTAGACGTTACCAAGTTGGATAGGCAATTGGTAGGACAACTAGTAATTGACAAGTCATCTCATAAGTCACATTAGGGCTCTCACAAATCACACAATATAATATATGCAACTATATAATTAAGACATCGAGGAAGCTTTGTTGACTTGTTAGTATCACAAGGTGCTTTGCTTTGGTGGAGATAATCAAAGATTCTAATGAAGCTCAAGTTGAAAGTTTATAGGCAGGGATGCAGCAGAGATGTTGGTTTCTTCACTATCTTTGTAGGATGCCTTGTCATCCGCACAAACAGGGTGTAAGTTGGTGGTGGGTTTTAATGCTCCATAAAATCATCTCCTTCTTTCCCTTGAGTTTATAGGTCTGTCCCATCTACTCATCACACATCATGCCATGTCGACTCTTTAACGTATCTTGAGCTACCTGCAAAAGATCAAAATCCTAGCAATTGGCCCTCCATTGCAGATTTTTTTTTCTTCCAAGCATGGAAATTGCATTTCGTTAATGGTTATGAATAAAGAACAAAACTGGTGAGGCCATTTAATGGGTGGGTCATAAGTTAGTACAACCTTTCATCTGATTACTTTACTCTAAACAAAAAACCTTGCAGCTGGTTAAGAAATAAGACCAAAATGGCAAAAGCGGTCAATATTTACTGATCGGATTTATATTGTCAAATTATGAATCAAGACGAGCATTGTAGCTACTGCATGAGGTCATCGAGAAACACGTATTATATGAATTTTAATGATGGAAAATGAAATCCTTCTGTCTGTCCCCAGTTCCATGCACCACAACGGTTTAAATCTCTTTATGTTATTATTATTTTGGAAGATAAGCTGCGTGGCTCTTTTAAACAAAGAAAAGATGGCTCCTAGATCTCAATCAGGGAATGCATCAGTATAGATGACTGAATTAGAAAGGATGAAAGCAACACAATCTCTCTTTCAAGTATCAATTTTTGCTGTTTGCTTTGACTATTAGCTAAATGCCCAAGATGTATGATTTTCAAGCATTAAATGTAGCTACTGGCCTGAGACATAGTAAACCAAGATAAGGACAGTCGTTTGCTAAGCCTTCATGAGGACATAGGGGAAGGAAGGTGTTGTTGTCGTAAATGTGTGGAGGTGGGTGACTACTGGAGCTATTATGTCTCAGAATTTACCATGAATATTAACAAGGGAATTCAATACATATTCCAAATTCATCGTGGTGGTAGTCTAATGATGTTGTGGGAACTCACACACCAAATATGTCGGTATGGTCTTCAATTACGCAGTTTAACTAAAGTCTCCATATCAGTATGTGAAGGTTAATTCTTTATATACTAATTGATGGCTCCTACAAAACTTTGGTAGGATTTCTTCGTAATTCTAATATGAATCAATTTTTGAACAAATTAATTAACAGTTTGTGTTTAATATTGTGCTCAGAACGCCACACACAGATGCTCGCTCTCTCCCTAGTTTGGTTTGGATTCATCAAGGTGTTATTATACAAAAGCATCGAAATTGGTAGCTAATTATTATCCCACCAACGCTGCCTGCATTACCATGTTAAATAATTACAACTGCTAGGGATGCCATTACCAATGCACCCACAAAAAGCCAAAGCAAGTTGTTCTTCCTCTCCCTGCCACAACCCATTTCACACCCAAAAACTTTGTACCGGAGATAACACTGTCAATAACACAATGATAAGTGAAAAAGTTATTTTATGTGTCATTGCATTATTGATCGGGAATAGCAAAAAGTGATATTCCTGTTCCATGAAAGTCTTTCTCATTGCCCACCAACCTACCACTCCATCAACCTACAGTAAATTAATGCCAGTATAGCTCTCAACTCTCAACTCTGTAACCAAATTGTGTAAATTAACTGCTGTCCAGACCCTTTTGGAAAGAAAACTTTATGAAAATTACCGATAAGAAAGTCAAGAAGAAAAAAAAAACTTCTGGTTTGAACTCTCATCCTTGAACACTTGGTATGTAAAAGGAAAAATATTCTCTTGAGAAATGAAGTTTTGCCAACTTTTTTGTCCATCCATAAAAATTAGGGATTGAAGAGTCGAATTTCAATAGTAGATCATGTGAAGAAAAATATTATTGAAATCATATCGATTGAGCATAAGATTTAGGCTGCACAAACTTCCATAAACTTGTTTGTGTCTTTCTCATTAGTCTTTTAAGTGGTTACTTAGCAGTAAAGTGTTGGCATAATGGCATCCAGAATCCCACTATTCACACACAGATAGCCCATATATTTGACCACAGTAAGACACTTTTCCACATTAAAGTACAAGATAGCACAACAAGGTGAAGAAGAAGGAGAAAAGTTGACAAGGGTAATATTGGAATTTGAAAAAGTTCAATCCATAGGGAAGCATAAAATGGAGCCGCTGCTTGGTTGGTTTCTGTTTCATTCATTCACGAAGAAGAAACCAAAAAGCATAAATAAAAGAGAAAAAGGGGAAAAAGGCTGCAAACCCTACTGTTTTTTCTTTAAGCTTTTTGGTCTGAAAGGAAGAAGATGAAATCAAAAGAGGGAGATGATGACGTTGGCCAGGCACGCCAACACAACACGCCCCGTTTTAGCCCAAGCTGAGGTGAGGACCCAACGAGCAACAAAATCCCAGAGAGACACTGCCAAAACAAACTATACCAATAGAATCAATAACAGTTTTCCAATTTTTTTTCCCTGTCAGAGGCTCTCTTACATATTTGTCTCTCTCTAGTGAGCCATGGCCTGAGGGCTTTGTTGGGAATGAATTCTTCAAAGCATTTTCTGGCCCTACGTGGCAGTCATCGGTGAGGTCCCACGTGAGCTGGATGGATCGTGTATGTTTATTTGATGTTTGAAATCTTTATGGACTGACAAAATATTAAGGAATGTTACTATTGAAACCAAGAAAATTGAAGAACCAAACATCTAATCGAATGAAAGAAAATTGGAGAATTCATGGTTTTGGGGTCAACTCGTGAGTACGATTCAATGAAGGCATGGTTTCTTCTTTTCTTTTTTCTTTTATTTTTTTACTGAAATTAAGACATTTGAAAAGTCTTCTAAATGTGGCATGGGTTTTTTTTCATTAGAGAAAATTTATGTATTAAATCTTTGTAATTAAGTTAGAGCGAATCCAATGATTTAACAGTTATGACTAAGTTCACACTAAATCATGAATCCGTACTATTGAAAATCCAACTAGATGCATCCTTTTGCATAATTAACTAATGACATGTTTACTTACTAGCAATGGGTATGGGAAGAAAGAAAATGATTCTAATTCTCAACTTCCCCAAGTTTACTAATACATAATGAATAAAAAAACATGTGGATCCCACTTTAAAATCCATAATCACATACTTTCAAAATTAGGAATTAGATTAACTAGCACGGTTATTCTCATTCATGTGTTAATTTCATATGGTTAGTAAACAACTTAATGAGAATGACTTATTCTCATACCAATTCTTTACTTCTCATATTCCTAAATTCCATGATTTATTACTTTACTCATTCATGATAAGTAAACATGCTGTTAAAAACGTCTCGAATGTGAATTGACTAATAATTTATATGAAGTCGAATGACACATCATATAGACTCGTCATCAAAGCTCTATCAAAACTGAAATCCTGAAAAACAAATTCTCTCCCAAGCTTAGTCCATGGTAATATACCATTGACATCTTCGCAAGCATCCAAAATTTATGAAACAAAAATGAAAGGTAATGCAAACGAGATACAAAAACGAAGTCTCGAATATTTGAGAGATGGATAGGCAAATTAAGGGAAAGTAAGCTCAATAAAAATCTTTTTTTTTTTCTTTCTTTCTGTTAGTTATTCGGAAAATTAAAGAAAGTTGGAAGAATGAAAAACAAACAGAAAGGCAAAGAGGCAAAGGACGTTGAATTCAAAGAGGCCCTACTTTTGGTAGTGGCATTGAAATTCCTTGTGTTCATGCAGCAAGCACGAGCAGAACAGGAGGAGACTGATCATCAGAAACCATGGGACCCAAGATTACTGGAAGAATATCATTCTTTGCAGGAAGGCTGAACCCAACCAAACCCCTAAAATCACCCACCATATATACCATCTGATCATTCTTCGAGTCCCTTTTCTTTTCTTTTTTATTTAGTTTTTTAATGTATGGAATGAGCTGATTCAATTCAATCATGGATTGTTGGACGTGGCAATATTTTTACTGTAAAGTTATATACAACCATGCTTCTTCTTTTTTTTTAATAATGAGATAGGAGGATAAAACCCGAAAAAAACGACAACTAACTAATATAGATACAATCATGATTCTTTGAGGTTTATATCCATTGTGCAAATTAAGCCATAAACAAAGTCTCTTTTATTTTCCTTCGAAGAGTCATTTGTCACATTATTTTTTTTAGTATAACAAATTTTCGTTCATAAAATTTGAACTCCCGATTATCTATCTCCCAACAAAGTAAAGACAAAAAAAAATACCATGCTGATCAAGTTGTGGATTTTGTGTGTGTCTGTTTCCCCTTGGTGGGGTTTTTTTTCACTGTAAAAGTGTTGAACAGAAGCACAAAACTGAAATCTGAAATCTGACATCTGAAATCTGAATCTGATCAGATTATAATTGAGTAATACAGAAACACGAGGGCAATGGTCCATATAAATTATATATATATATATGGTCCATATAGTAGATGTGGAAGGTCCGACTGCCCATGATTGATCATCTTCACCATTCATTCACTGATAGCAGCAGCTTAATTATGCATCTAATCGCAGGTTCCTCCTCATCACCTCAGTATCTCTATCTCCTTGCATTGCAATTTGCATGCATTTTGTTAATGGCCCATCTCATTTAATTCTCCAGATGGATACAGTTCACTGGCTCTACCTTGGGTCCTCTATGCTCCAAATGCCAGCCCACCCCTCTTTGTTCAATTGTTCTCACACTTATTATGCAATTATTTATTTTTTAACACAACTTCTTTTTCTTATTATTGATATACATAATGATATGTTTTCACTTTTGCAACTGTTCAATTGTTCATGCCTGTGCAATTTGAACTAGTAATAACAAATTATTTAGCTGCGAATGAAGTTGAGTCTAGTGGAAAAAAAGCATTGATTTACAGACTCATGATTTTAGGCTCGAATCCTCATGACCTATGAATCTTTTTATGTCTTATCATAAATAAATAAAATGTCTTTCCCAATTATTTTTGCATTTCGTCCACTTTTTTTATTTTTTATACAAGCAATATCAAACAAAGAGAGAATGATTCTAACGCATAATCTCGGATGCACGGATAAATACTCCTAACTTCTTGAGCTACAAATCCCTTACTTTTGTTTTTAAATTTATAAGTTGTCAATCTACAACTCGCATAGGAGTTTTAATGTCTACAATATTTCTCTTAATTGTTTTCATAAAATAGCACCACACTATCAAGAGTTTCAAGGAATGTTCGAATTATGATTAAACTCTTAAAGAAAATAAAATTCCACTTTTAAGTTTTCTTGTTTTTAATAACAAGACGTGAACATTTATTTATTTCTTAGATAAAACAGAAACCTGCCATTTCCCAAGTTCCCAACGACAATGAAATATTAAAGTCTGTCTTCCAATTCATTTTTTACCCCCAACCGACCCAAAAAATAAAAGAAAAACAAATTGTGTCTTCCGCTCGGGTCGGAGAGAGAAACATTGTACAATGTACAAACAAATCGAGCCGTATGATTTTGATTTTAATCAATGTCGTACCGGAAAATGGTCAACACGCTGATTTGCAGCGCGTGTTTCGTAGCTCTCTCTGCACCTAGTCACACGATACATACTTGAGCCAAATCACAGAATGTTATTTATCAAATGTATTCTTGAAAAGCCTCAGACTTAGGAAGACTCTGTGTTATCGAGTAAATGAGATATTGAAATGCCCTTGCCAAACCAGGAAGCGAGGCCTCGCTTGTCAAAGATGGGGATGACGATAAGAATATCAAACCCGATATCGCCTTGATTTGCAAGTGATTAAGATAAGTTATTCCTGCACTTGGAGTCATATGTTCAAATCCCCTCCACTATCGCTTCTATGATTTAAAAAAAAAAAAACTTTCATTTCACTATTGCCACCCATAGTTCAATTTAATTTAAGTTTTATTTTAAAAAAAAGTTAAAGATTGTGACATTTTTAGTAACCCATTAAAGTTCATGCATCAAGATACTCGCTATCCTAAGTACACTTGGCACATGTTTAGATCATCCCACAAACATTTTTAATGTTATAGAATATTTGGATCCTTACACCTAAAATTCTTCCAAATTTGTAATTTTTCACATAAAAATATTCGTCTCTGCGTCTCTTACCTCTCTCATTTTCTTTTTTCATACTAAAATTCTACTGTCCATTATTTTAATTTTATTCCACTAAAATCCAATCCTTAATACGGCCGCTTGCTTTGTGTGTCTTTCTCTCTATAAAGCTGGCAACCTTCCCATTCACCTAAAAGAACTCTCTCCCTCTCTCTTACTCTCAACACTGAGAACCTCTTTGTAAACTGGTTCACTTACCGCCGTTTCATTTACCACCCGCTCAAATGGACCCGGTTCAGGCCGCCATGTTCCGGCCACCGGAAACTCCTCGTGAGCCCATGGAGTTTCTCTCGCGCTCCTGGAGCGTCTCAGCCCAAGAAGTATCCAAAGCCTTATCTCCTTCCCCTGGCCAAGGCCAAGGCCCACTCGCAAAGCTCAACCTCAGCTCTGCTGTTAATGGCGGTGGTGGGCCCATACCTGAGGACTTGGCCGGAGAGTTAGACGAGAGTGCTAGTTTTTCTGGGAACCCTTTTTCGTTTGCTTCCTCTGAGACCTCTCAGCTTGTAATGGAGCGTATTATGTCACAATCTGTAAGTTGGGTTGAGCAGAGCTGGGATTGTTGGCTTGGCATGTGTGGACAAATTGTGGGATTTTTTTTTGTTTGGTCTTGTTTTCTTGAAATCGATTGTGATTTTTAGTCTTCTTTTTTCTCTTTTTTGTTGTGTTTCTGGTATTGTTTTTTAGCTCCCTCTGTCCATGTTTTGTTTGGCTCTTTCTTCTGTCATTGTATTTGGGTTCGGTGGGTGGATGCTTTATGCCTCATTCGTCTGTGCCTCTCTTTTCTTGTTTTGGTGGCAAATTGACATTTTGTTTTGGGTTAAACTTTCCATTTCCGGGTCTTCTTCTTCTTCTTCTTCATCTTACTCTTCTAAAATAGAAACCAACCCACATTAATTCACTATTTTATGTTACTGTTTTTACAGCAAGAGGTATCTCCACGCACCTCAGGTCGGCTCTCACACAGCAGCGGCCCTCTCAACGGTTCCTTAACCGACAGCCCACCTGTCTCTCCCTCTGAAATTGACGATGTCAAGGTTTGTAGGCTCTGTTTGCTATTTATTTACTCTCTTTTTTAATATTTGCCGGCGACCACCGTACACGGTTGCCGGAATATGTTAACAACCACATGACAAGTACACAAGTATGATATCTGGGTTTAAAGCACGAGTACTGTGTCGTTCCTGACTCACTCTGACCCGGTCGAACATAGTCCCCAGCTTTCCCACTAACCAACGCCCCTTTAATTATAAACCTACCAAATCCATGTTGTTTCGCTCTTTTCAATGCAAAAGTTAAAAGCTTTGGCCCTCTGCTTCAGCTAATTAGAAAACCCATTTCATAAACCTGCGAATTTTTAGTGTTCTTCACCCAAAGTAATTGGATTTGTTCTAACTTCGACATTTACAGAAACAGTCTTGGTTTTCTGTCTATTTACAGAGCTAACCAGGCATCATGATTCATTTTGGTCCCCCACAAATGAATTGGTTTACTTTGCCCACGCGGTGGTTGTGACCCAAAATCTGTCTCTGTATTTAATTTAAGAACCGACAGTGCCACTTTCTCGAGATCCAGTGTGAAGAAACCTATGGCTTCTTCTCACTCAGCTTTCGTTAGATGAGTTATGGACCCCAAGAAGCTGAAGTGGGTGTGTGATTGGTGCCGTACACTCGTTACTTCTGTATTTGGGTGGTTTAACATTACAGTCATACATATCCAATTGAGGATTTTCCCTCAATGAACCAAAAATCACATTTTTGACATTCCCTTTTATCTCCGTGCAGTATGGCCGCTCAAACAACCACCACAATACCGGGTTTAGAGCCACCGGTGCTGGCGGCACCGCCACGTCCGGTGGTGGAAAGACGGTGGGTAGGTGGCTTAAGGATAGGAGGGAGAAGAAGAAAGAGGAGACCAGGGCGCACAATGCCCAGCTCCATGCTGCTGTTTCTGTTGCTGGGGTGGCTTCTGCCATAGCCGCCATTGCTGCTGCCACTGCCGCCTCATCTGGGTCCGGTAAAGATGAGCATATGGCCAAGACTGACATGGCCGTGGCCTCTGCTGCCACATTGGTTGCTGCACAGTGTGTGGAGGCGGCTGAGGCCATGGGGGCTGAGCGAGAACACCTTGCTACAGTAGTCAGCTCTGCCGTGAATGTCCGATCTGCTGGCGATATCATGACATTAACGGCTGCCGCAGCAACAGGTATATAATGTAGATTTGGTTTACTGTTATGGGTATATTTGGAATTGAAGTTTTCGGTTTTTTATATTTGTTTTATGGACTCTAATGCCCTTGAGGTTTGTGGTGTGGATTGCAGCTTTACGTGGTGCAGCAACATTGAAGGCAAGGGCATTGAAGGAAGTGTGGAATATAGCAGCAGTTATTCCTGTCGAGAAAGGGGTAGGAGTAGGTGGTAATGGTAATGGTAGCAACGGTAATTCCAACAGTAGTTTCAGTGGAGAACTTGTTCCTGAAGAGAATTTTCTGGGCGTCTGCAGTAGAGAATTACTTGCTAAGGGTTGTGAGATCCTCAAGCGCACCCGCAAAGGTAAACTTTTGTTCGTTTGATTTGAAATCATTGCAATTATTTACCTTTCTCTATTGGAATTGTGCTTAAATTACTTTATGGGGAGCTAGCGAGGGAAAAATTACTGTATGGGGTCATGGTTATGTGGGTGGAAGATGGAAAAATTGCTTCCATCTTCGATGAGCTAGGATGAAATCATTACAATTATTTATGTTTGACGATACTTTTGTCCCTTTTTCACTTTGGATTGTGCTTAAATTACTGTATGGGGAGCTAGCGAGGGAAATTTGAATTTACTTGGAGGTTTTGATTGATGATTTCTGGTTGTTACATCCAATTCTTAACTGTTATAACTTTGTTCTGCTGAATGCCAGGTGATCTTCATTGGAAAATTGTCTCTGTTTATATCAATAGGACGGGTCAGGTAAAGTTCCTAGCTTATCTATTGATTTATTTTATTTTTCTTTAACGTAGGGCCAATAATTTGGGCATCAGTAGAACTTTTGGTCATGAATGTGAACTTCATGGAAAAAAGGTACTCACAGCAAAAGAGACTGCTATGATGAAAGAATTGGATCTGCCTTCTCTTTTCTCTTTTTATGCTTTCTTTATTTAGTCTGGAACTTCTTTTTGTGCAGGTTATGCTGAAGATGAAGAGCAGGCATGTTGCTGGGACCATCACAAAAAAGAAAAAGAGTAAGTCACTACTTTTGTCTTTCACTAATAATTTGATCAGAATGGAGGTGGCGGGGTCTTCTTCCATCTGGGGATTTGCAAAAGCTAGCAGTCTAGTGGGAAAAGATCAAAAGGATTCTTCTTTAATTCCATCTTCTTTTGAATTTACAGATGTGGTGCTGGAGGTTATTAAAGATATGCCGGCTTGGCCTGGTCGCCACCTGCTCGAGGGCGGTGAGCACCGGCGTTACTTTGGACTGAAAACAGTTATGCGCGGAGTTGTAGAATTCGAATGCCGGAGCCAGAGAGAGTATGATATTTGGACTCTCGGCGTCTCAAGGCTCCTCTCCATTGCTGCAGAAAGGCACAATAGACATAGGGTTTGAATTGTGTTCTCCAACAATATCAGAGGGAAAACATTTGGCAGATGGGGGAATTGGCAATAGGATATATGGCCAGCTGAAAATTTACATGATGGTTGGGTATTTTGGTACTTGGCTGTGCTGTTAGTTTGTCTTGCTATTGTAAAAAGGATAAATTAAAGGTTATAACTTATCCCAATTGGCCCCTTTAGTATTGTGGAATATATATATATATATATATATATATTTTGGACCTTTGTCTTTCAATTTTAATGGAAAGGAAAAGAGATTGGAATGAGAGGTAGCAAGACCATGTGTTCCTAGCTAGTCCCTGTTTTTGCACTGTTTAGGAAAGAAAAGGAGGATCTTGGACTGAGGCAGTCAAAAAAGAATAGAAAAGAATCTCGATTGAGTAGAGAACAAGATACAAGATGCCCTCTTGATTTTTAGTTTTTGTTTATTCATGTGGGTTTTGCTTTTGACCTTTGTTGTTGAGTTTTTGGATTTAGTTTAAGGTTTTCAAGGTTGTGAATTGTCTTGCTCTTGGTCTGTAATCTTCCCACTTGATAAATTAGATTTTTGTTTTGTTTAAGAGAATGGTGGGAGGAGGGCTTAAGAAATATTTAATTAGCTGGGAGGAGAATAAGAGGCTGTTTGTCGGAAAATGTGCCAAATAAATTAGTGGTAAAAATGATTGCCTCCTTGCAAACTTGGGTCTAGAAGAAGTAAACAACTTCTCATGACCCACTACAGGTTTAGATTTCAAAATCATCTGAGGGAGAGTGATTTTTTTGTCCTAAGAGAACCTCGAGGGCACGATGGATCTGAGGGAGAATTTCTATGGTGGGATTATTCAAGCAATAATATAATATAAAATTAAATTAAATAAAAAAAGAGAAAAGAAGAATGAGCATGTGGTTTTCTATGACAGCAACAGAATAATTGAAAACAAAATAAATTCACAATTTTGGAGTTATTTTGTAGTCGAAGTTAGAGTCCCTTGTGCTAGTTTGTAGATGCTGCTTAAATTGAACTGGATTGAATATGACAAAAGAAAGCAAACGTTATGAACAAGGCAAATGGGCCTTGCAGAGAAAGATGATTGAGAATACACTAAGCACCCAAATTCCCAGTTCAAGCATGTTCCTCTCCAAGTTATAAAATTGATTGAGAAACAAGAAAGAAAAAAAACGTGATATAGAATGGAATGGGACACCAAAAGAAAACAGGTCACATTGATATTGGGCTTGTTTACGTGCTCCAATGAAACAATGGCAAAACTAAGTGAAGGCAGGACATGTCATACCAACTCTTATCAATTCTCAAGCATCCCCTAATTTTGGTTCATGAATAAACCTTCTGCGTGTCTTACGAATCAGCCACTCTGGCACCAACTATCTCTTTCTCAGCTAGTTTAGTGGTACTTTCTTTTTCAATATTAGAAGATGTTGCGAGTTCAAAAATAAATATTGGAATGTCTTTCTTGAAAAGCAAGTAATAGAAACAAGCTGAATACAATTAATCTAGTTGTACATGAAGCTATAGTTGCGAAAATGGGGGTGAATATACAGTTCATACAAGAAACCATCATAGAAATTTTTTAATCTTCATAATAGTGGTGAGATGAGAAAATGGGGTCTCTGCTCTTAATCTCTAGGGGTTAGCGAGTGTTGGTTAATTTACCTACCGCCGCTAATTAAAGAGAGAAGGAAGAGGAAGAGTTGGACAACATCAATATATATGGAGAGAGCACCGAATATGTACTCATCGTAGCTCAGCCGCTTTATCAGATTGTCTGTGTCGTACACAATATAAGCACAACATATAAGAGCCCCCAATGCAGAATATACCATCCTTGACAAAGGCCCCAAGGGAAAAAATATCTGCATGTTCATTCCAAAATGCACAACAAAGTTAAGACAAATGGATTGGCGGAAAGGAGAAATTCTTGAGTACAACTGTTGTACGTGGACATCAAGTCGGGCTAGTAAGTATTTTTTTTTGTCTCTTTCTTATAAAAAACTAGGCATCATGACCTGTGACTAGTTTATGTAAGAGTGATTTTGTATAACCGTTGTATGCATCATGACCTGTGACTTGTGATTTAGCAATGGCACAAAGAAAATGGAAATTAAGTAGAGTTGGGTTACCTGGATGAGGCCAAACATCATAAGCATGAGGGTTGCAGCAAACAAAAACGGGCCAAGGAAGCTGAAATCCTGGCCCCTCTTGACTGCCCAGAATGTGTATATGGTTAGGCTCACAACCACCGTAGCCGTCAAAATCACAGCTAGAAGAATACTTTTCCCTGTAGGCACCAAATTATGCATATTCCAAATTACTATACAACTCAAAAGAAGACCGAGAATTCTATTGAGTGGGGTGGCTAGTTAGATTTCCATTACGAGAAAAATGCAAGGGAAAAAGTATAGTCAAATTGTGCCCGTCAACTCATGAAGTGAATTCTTGTTTGTGCCAAGTGAATTCTCGTTTGTGCATATGGCACGACGGATTAATAGTATAACAATATAACATGTTACATAAAAATTATTTTCAGCATAACATGTATATAAATAAGTACCTGGTCTAAAGGAACAGCAGAATCCCACCGTAATCGAAAGTAAAATCGTAAACAGAATAAGAAGCACATAATTCACCGGATGCTTCTTGTGGTAATAGTACAAGGCAATCGTAACTGCACAAATTAAAATTAAAGAAAGTGATAAAAAGGAGATAGAAAATTGATTAGATCAAAAGTAATTTGGATTACCAGCTATGGCAGCGACAAAAATGCAAATGAAAGTGATGGTGCCGGCCAAGGATCTGACGAAGTTGGGAATGGCGGGGATCGAAACGACGGCGTAGGAAATGCCAATGGTGAGAAGCAACTGAAAGGCGACGATCATGTAGACCTTGCGGATGAAAGCCCATCGGAGCTGAGGGGTCTCCATCTGGTTCGGGTACAATTGTTGCTCCCCATTTTGACCTCTGCCTGCCTCCAAGTCACGACCCTTCATGAACTTTAGCGCCATTGCTAAATCACACTTCACAGAAAAAGAATTTCAAAAAAAATAAGGTGAGACAGACAAGATGATTTAGAAAATTTTGAAGAATATCAAATCGAAAAGGTTTCTTCGATCACGAAAGATGCAATGTGATTTTTTTTTCCTTTTTGTGGGTTTTGTTTGAAAGGGGAGAAAGCGTGGGAACGTGAGGAAAAGTAGGAGGGGGGTTTGGAGAGTCTTCAAAACAGGGTGTACGGTTTAGGCTTTAAAGATGGTTATTTATAGGATGGGTTTATAAGAATTTAAAATTTTAAAAAAATTTAAGTGGTGCATCCAACCCAAGAAAGTAATATCCCACCTTAACCCCACAATAGATTTGAGCCCGACGGACCAAATTCATGGGGCCTATATTGACTGTGAGGAAGCTTCTACAATGAGGAGTTTCGAGTGAGGAGATTATTTGAGGAGTTAAATCTCACCATCAAACTGTTGAGGCCCAAAAATCCAAGGGGCTAAGCCCAAATTAATCCTTAGCCCAATATGGGTGATTGGATGCAAAATAAGCTCAATCGGGATAAAAGAAAATTTATAAGAGCCGCCAACACAAGCTACAAGCTACAAATCATGCTAAACAAGCACGTGCAGAAGGAGCCGAGAACATACCGATATTACTAAATCACGCTCACATGCTCATTCAGTGCTACTTGGCCCAACTATAGCCTATCACGGCATAATAAAACCCCAAGCACGAGCATAGAAATCATGCGCATTCTAATACCGAGCTACGTCACGAGCTTAAATGAACCCAAGCCACGAAATTAACCGGGGCTTACTGAGAAGGTTGTGGTATGGAAGGAAACAAGCAATCACGGGGCCCATTGAGGGTTCAAGGAACATAGGTTTCAAAGCCACTTGGGGGGGCTTTGGAACTCAAGCCCGTTCCTAGAACCCAAGCATATGGGTTAGCATGAGAGAGAGGAGAAAAATTGACCCATGCTCTAGGAAGACACCAAAAAAACCTACCAAGATATTTAGCCCAGCCCACATCAATAGAATTAAAAAAAGGAAAACCTTTCTAGCAGCTTGACGAAAGCATGTCAAACGATAGAAGCAACAAAGCCAGAGGACCCAATACCATATGTACAAGCCCAAGCCCAGCAACTTGCAAAAATCTGGCGTCAAGTCCTATTCCCGTTTGAACTCCAAACAATGGTCACAAGGGAGCCATGGCAAGACCAGAGGAAATCCATGGGGGTGAGAGAAGTGTCCATCGGACAAAAGGCTTCATCTCTCCCCTTTTCCTCTGTAAGCTCTGCCTTGGAGAAAACATAAGGAAAGCAGGTGGCGCCTTCCCCTCTATAGGAAAGCCCAGCTGCGTCAAACCATTGGAACCATAAAGGGTTCCTTACCCATGCTCCTTGGATGGAGAAATTTATCAAAATAGGGCTAAGTAGGAGCTGCCAAGGAAAAAGGGAAGAGGAAAACCAGACAAAATTAGAGCTCCTAACGCCTATAAAAGGAGACTTTTGCTACCCAGAAAACACATCCACAAGTCAACGATCCAGAGCCTGACCAAGCTTTGTCAAGCAACCTGGAATTTACTCAAGTCACCCAATCCTCTTTCTCCGTTGTTTTCTTCTTTCCCTGAGATAAAGCCTTGCTAAGTTTTCCTTCGTTCCTAGTTTAGATTTTATCCTCTGTAAGAAATTCATGCTTCTCTCTCTCTCTCTCTCTCTCAAACTGCTAAACTCGTGAAAACTTAGCTCCCATGCTACATGCTCCTCAGGCTAAGTCATTAGTGAAATCGTCATGCTAATTTGGGTGTTAGTAAAGTGATCCTGAGAGTGTTCTTTTAAAATCTCATCAGATTTTCTAAAAACTCTCTTGGGAGCTTGGTTTCGAACTCAGGCATTTGAGGGATTTTACTCGTTGTCTTCTTATAGCAGCCCAGGCCCATTCGTCAGGCTGCTGGAACAAAAACCCCCTACACAAACCATTTAAAATTTTTAAGTCTATTGATTTCCTCACATTTGTTGAAGGTGAGATTGAACCCCTCAACTAAGCTCCTCACTCTAAACTCCTTATTATAACCTTTCTGTGAGCTTCGTCAAATGTAAGATGAGGCTATAAATTATTGCCCTCCATTTTTTGGAATACTAAAAAAAAAATTTATAATATTCTTGGTACTTAAACTAATTTAATATATTTGAATATTTACTCTTAAGTATATTTGAAAATATTTAAAGCGTATAGCCGCGCGGCTATACTTTAAAAACGTATAGCCGCGCAACTATACCCTTTTAATATTTACGAATATTTTAACGGTAAAGCCGCGCGGCTATATGTGTGAAATATATTCGAATATTTAAACGGTATAGCCGAGCGGCTATACTGTTAAAATATATTAATATTTCAATAGTGTATCCGAGCGTCTATACTCTTCAAAAATATACAAATATTTTAAGAGTATAGCCGCCCAGCTATACCTTTAAAATTAAAATATATTTAAGAGTAAATATTCAAATATATTAAATTAGTTTAAGTACCAAAAATATTTTAAATTTTTTTTGTCTAAAAATATTTAGTGCAACTAAACTATTGTTTTGTCAAAAAAACACAAAATACCTTCAGTCGATTTTACAATGCATAAAACATGTCGTTTTGTCCACTGATCCTTACGACATGTTAAAATGGGACAAATAGTGTCGCTGGATTTCCTCAAGTGATTTGTTCTAATCTTCGCCGTCGGTTGGAACTTGAATCCAACGGTCAAGATGCCCAACAGAGAAACCCCACCTGTTTATAAACCTCTGGCTCTGAGTTCAGGCGCCAAACCAGAACCATTAACAAACTCTAAACAGTCGATTTTCCCCATTACACCGCAGAGTTCTATCTCCACCTTCTGAGAATCTAAAATCCAGTTTCTTACTGATCTTTTTCTAGGGTTTATAGTTTTCTTGGTAAGAATTATCATGGAAAACGAGAACATTTCTGATCTGAGAGAAGAAAGTGGAGTCACGAATCAAGATTCTCAAAGTCTTGATCTTGAAGCTGTTCAAGCGACATCAGAAATGAACAAATCCACAATGGAAGATAAGCATAAGGGCAGTGGATCGATCTTGACTGAAGAAATTATGGGTCATGACCAGCGTACTGGTTTGGTGGTTGAGAAAGAAGAAAGCCCAAAAATGAGTGGGGTTTTGCTGGGTAAGACTGAAGGGTTGAAAAGCGAAGAAGAAGAAGAGGCTGTGAAAGCGAAGTTCTTGAATGAAAAATTGGTGGGTTGCGATGAGATTGTGGGTTTGAGAACTGGGTCAGTGTGTGGACAAAAGAACAGGACTGAAGATGGGAATGGGGTAGTTGCTGATCAGCAAGGCCTCAATCTTCCTCTTGATTCTGAAATTACTGATTCAGAATTGAGGCATTCTTGTAGTTCTGAAGGAGATGGGAAAAATATTGTGGGTTCGGATGAGATTGCGAAAGAAGAGGTTGTGAAATCAGTGTTCTTGAATGAAAAAGTGGTGGGTTCGGATGAGATTGTGGGTTCAGCAAAGACTGAAAATGGGAAAGGGGTAGTTATTGATCAGCAAGACCTCAATAATCTTGTTCCTGAAATTGCTGAGAAAGAACAGATTGGTTCTGGTTCAGGGTCGAGTTTATGTTGTAGTGAAGGAGTTACAGATCAATATTTGAAGTTTGTAATGAGAGCAGATGACGTGACATTAGGAGAGGCTGATGAATCCAATCAAGAATGGAGGAATTTCAAAGAGGCTATCATGAGAGCAGATCAGCTGGACCTAGAGTCTATTGGCCTAAAGATTGAACGTCGGGTGCAAGCTTCGGTTGAGGACGTGGTGAAAAGATATCCCCAGATGAATTCAATGACAATGTCTCTCTCTATAGGTGACGGCAAGAAAATTCTGGAGAGGAGAGATGTTTCTGGATTGGAAGCTGATCGAGCAGCTATGCTGAGAGAATCTGGAGAGCAAAGAAAGATGCAGGCATTAAAGGCCTATTCTGAATCTCAACTTTCTGATATGGAAGGTAAACTTGGTGCTATTAAGGAAGCAGAAGTTGATAATGGGAAGACTATTGCTGAACTTGAAGAAGAAACAAAAACTGAAGTTGAGAAGGAAAACAGTGCGATTCATGAATTGCAGGAACTAGTTATCGTGGAAGAATCAAAAGAGACTGAGTTGAAAATGGAGATGCCATCAAAGGCCCCAGGCTGCTGATGTCTGCCGGTGTCGTAATAACTGCTATACTTTACACAGCATTGAAGATGAAGCGAAGGTAGAGGAGGAATATATGACAAAACTGCTCAGCAGTCCTCTTGTATTGTGTAGCCATAGGCCATGTAGGGTTTTTCTGTTTGTTATCCTCGAAGCTTTTGAGAGTACAGAAGTATACAGAGAGAATTTGCAGAGATGTGGTCATAGTTTGGATCATGTTTTAGTATCTGTTGTGTTTGGAATTGGTAAGCTCACTATGTCTTTACCACAAAAATAGTGAGAAAGTGTATAGAACCCTAGATTCAATGTGAAGATTTGAAACAAATAAAAATCGTGTCTTTCTTTTTTGGGGAGTTTTGTATGTTTTGATAGTATTTCGCTAGTTGTTTTTCCTTTTTCTTTGATTAGTGGTGATGGGGAATTCGGACTTGAGATGTCTTCCAACTAATTACTAGTTAGTACGTTTGCTACTTCTTCTAAGCAAACAAATTGTATCTCTAAATGTATGGTCATTGTGTGCTGGTTCTGTTTATATGCCTAAAAATGTTTGGTAGCCCTTCGTTATGTCAATCTCCTTGCATGTTTAGGAGCTTTCCAATTCAAACGAGGTTTTGACATACCAACTTAGCTGTACTCATCTCATGTTCATGCCACTTTGGGCATGAAAGTAATACATAGAGGCACAACAACCAAAGTGACACAGCACCTAACCCACGAAAGTAATAGCCCAGCTTAACCCACAATAGATTTAAGCCCAATGGACCAAATTCATGGGGCCTAAACCCTTGGACTTATTGACTTTGAAACCAATATGAAGTAGTAGTCATATGCTTTGCCAAATGTGATGTGAGGCTATAAATTAATGCCAGAAAAGATCAATGTAACTTATCCTATGTAGCCTGCAAAAAGAAACGAAAAAAAAAGAAGTTTGATGCTCATGACAGTCATGTCCTCCTCCACTTCCTCTTCTTCAGTTGCTAGCACTGCTGCTACAAATGTCGTTTTTGAGATTGGAAAATACAAGGTGGTGCTCCAAAGAGCTGAACCAGAGACTACATGCAGCACCAAGTCCTCAAATATTCCAGTTCCACCTCCAAAGCCTCTTCTGATTGGCATGCCTTGTGAAGCTGGAGAATTCCCTCTCTTGCTGCTCCTCCATGGTTACCTTCTCTCCAACTCTTTCTACTCTCAGCTTATCCAACACATCGCTTCTCATGGCTTCATTGTCGTTGCCCCTCAGGCTAGGCTCTCTCTCTTTCACTTAGATGCACATTTATAAATTGTAATTATACATATATGACTCAGAATTTTTCATATCTCTCTTTGATAATCAATTAAACAGTATGGTGATGGTGGTCTTATTATTGTTTTTATGTTCAAATCAATGACTTTCAATTTTGGTTTATCTCTTGTTAGCATATATACTAACTTTCCATGGTTTCCAATTATCTTTTTGGGTTTGGATATGAATTATTGTGACTTATCATTTGAAGAGATACTTCACATATTGATATTCATGATCAAACATTATGTGAGTTCATGTTGCTTGTGTATTCCTTGAGGCTATCATCTGCAAGTTTTGCTTTAAGTTATTTTCAGTGATTGCCTTAGTCTGCAAGGTTAATGGTGTATATGTCCACATCTAACAGAGGCTTGTGCTGTCTTGTTGGGCACCAACCAAGTTTTCAAGTAACAAAAGCAAAATATGTGAGTCACTGAGCTTTCATTTTCAGTGCTTGACAAAATGGCATGTTTTGATTGGCATTGTATGAACTGAAAATACCCAAGTGGCTCAGTCCTTATCAGATATGCCTGGGGTCTAAATACTGACCCTTCTTGTTTTTTGCCAGTGAGTCTATTTCAAGTCTGAGATTCCTTGTCCTTAACAATATACTAGAAGTGGCTGAGTTGAGAGAACAAATCTCATTCACATTGAGATGGTGTACATAGAACATGAAAGACTAAAATTTCCAGTTTGGCTTGTAATTTTGTGCTGATATTGTGCTTCTTAACTACAGAGATTGGAGCAGACATTAATATTACTGTACCTTAATAAAAAGCTAGATGTATAAATAAAATTGCCTCTAACTCTGCCTTATTGATAAGCAAATGTTCTATGTGTTCAACAGTTATATACAATAGCTGGACCAGATTCAACAGGTGAGATCAAGTCTACAGCGGCAATAACAAATTGGTTATCTGAAGGACTTCAGTTCTTGCTTCCACCCCATGTTCAGGCAAATCTAAGCAAGCTAGCACTTGCCGGCCACAGCCGTGGAGGCAAAGTCTCTTTTGCACTAGCATTAGGGAAAGAAGGAAACACTAATCGAAAGTTTTCAGCCTTAATAGGCATTGACCCAGTTGATGGAATGGACAAAGGGAAACAAACCCCTCCGCCAGTACTAACCTATGTTCCTCATTCATTTGATCTTGATATGGCAGTGATGGTGATTGGTTCTGGTTTGGGTGAGGTGAAAAGGAACCCTCTGTTCCCTCCTTGTGCTCCAAAAGGTGTTAACCATGAGGACTTCTTCAACGAATGCCAAAAACCAGCATGTTATTTTGTGGCAAAGGATTATGGTCATCTTGATATGCTGGATGATGAAACCAAGGGGATCAGAGGGAAATCTACATACTGTGTGTGCAAAAATGGGAAGTCAAGGGAACCCATGAGGAAGTTTGTTGGAGGGGTTGTGGTTGCATTCCTTCAAGCTTATTTAGAAGGTGATAGTAGCCACTTAATGGCTATAAGAGATGGGCTTGATGAGACTGTGCCAGTAGAGCTTCAAATTGTTAAATTTAATTTGTGAAGTTTAGGAGCTGTGTTCAAAAAGCAATAGAAAAAGATTAAGCTGCAGTTTCCCAAAACAAACTTAATTTCTTTATATATGTTACTTGCTCAGTTTGCTCCATTATAAATCTCACACGGAAGCTTCAATTAAGTAATTATATTTAGCTTTCTGAATTTGAAAGTAATGCAAAGACCATTGTAAAATCTTTGATTTTTTTAGTACAAGCCATAGTTTAAACTACAAGGGATGAGGATTTCTCACACACACACACACAACTATAATGTCATGAGGATTCGTACCTGAGTTTCCGGTCTGCAAGTCAAGACCCTTTTTTACTGTGCTAGATCCTGTTGGCCACTGTAAAATCTTATGATGCACCAGAAACTATTTGCTCTGCAAATGAGTTTGTTGGATTTTCACAAAAAACTAATGGATTATTTTGTTAAGCCCAAAAACTAAAAGTTCCTTAGAAACATGGTGAAGGCCTGGCCCAATATCATTATATTTATGGGGCTTGAATTTTAAAATGAGAAAACTTTAAATAAAAAATAAAAAACCCAACGCACGCACCCTCCTCCTCCCTTTCTCTCAGCTCGCCGCCTCTCTCACCTCCACCTAGCAGCCATTCTCCCTGCCCACCCCATCGTCTTTTTCGATTCTTTTAGAAATTATAGTTGAGAAAATACTGAGTTGGTTGCAGCCTGCAGGGATACAAAGGCCTTCGATTTCATAGCAGTTGTTGTTGGCATTCTGGCTCTGAAAATACTGAAACACAGTTGTTTTAGTGTTATAGAAGTTGGGTTTTTCTGGTGTTTAATGATTGTCTTCTCTGAATCGGTGAGTCCCGCTATTATCCAAGTTTACTAAGAAAATTTCTTTACTTTTTGTTTAAATAACTTTGGCTTATTACTTCCTGTATCTGCTGGGGGTTGATTTTGGGTCCTGTTTGGTAGCTGAGAAATCTCGGGAAAACGAAAAATTAAGTGGGAATTTTGATGGACTTGGTTTTGAAAAGGCTGTTATAAAATTCCATTTCGTCTTTAGTTTTTCTCAGCAACCAAAAGTCTGCAATGGTTCAGTCGCTTCATTCTTGTTACTTCTTATTTTTCTGGTGGTCTTTCAATAGCTTTCTAATTTCTTATTTCTGTTTGAAATTATATAAACTTTGTTTGAGCATTGCAACTTGGATAATTTGTGCTTACTCATGTACACGTCGAGTGGTAATTTCTCTTGGAACTTTGGGGTGCGTTTATAGTCTGTTCATCGTGGAGCTTTTGAATTTCTCTTGGTCCAAGTTAGAATGGGTTTTAAAAGTTTTTTTTTCTTTAAGCGTAATTAATGGTCCTTATTATTTTCTTTTGAGCAGTATCTACTGTTTGCTTGCTGTCAGTATATTTTTGCAAGTTTGAATTTTTACATGGCAAATATTGTTTGCTTTGCTTGCAAGGTCCCTTTACCCCAGTAGAGCATCAAACCAGACAGATATGTATTGTTTGCTTACTGTCCTTAGGAACATGGATCCCCTTTGCTAATGTTGCTCTTTGAATGGAAAGTTCTCTCATGTTTTTTGTAATCCAACTTTTCCCCTTGAAAAAAGATGTTTTGGTTTCTTTACAGAATATAGAAATTCATTGGGTAGGATGTAAAATATCAGACTTTAAAAGCACAATAATCTGCACCCGGATAGTACTTTGATATTGGGCTACAATACTATAGTCATGCTATCAAACTAGGCGTTCGTATTCTCTTTCATGGATATAGTACACTTATGAATCATAATCTTTTTGGTAGCACACAAATGTGCTTAATCCATCTTCTCTATATGAATTTTTTTTTCTAATAACTTTATTGATTACTTAATTTTTATTTGTTCTATGTTATAGGTCTTCTGCTGAAATATATTAAAACAGAAAACCGTCTGACTCGTTGTGGGTATCAAAACACTCTGTTATTAAACAGTTTTTTATCGTTCTGAAGCTCTGATTTTTAGTGGGATGAAGATGTATGTCTTAAACTTTTTTTTTTGCTATTCATTCCTATTGCTTTTAGTTATTTCTGATGAGGTAATTTTATATAAATGTCTGTTTTCAGTCTTTCTAGACAATTCTTCTTTATTTATTTTTCTAATGTTGGGGATGTTATAAATTCCAATTTCTTTGCAGAGTACAGGCTAATTCCGGTGTGCTTACTAATTTCGACGTGCTTAAATTTCTAGAATCTCGAGGGGCTTCTGAAGATTCAGCACGGGTTTTTTCTGACGTAAAGCCATCAGAAAATAAGGTTGTAGTGGTGTTTATGTTTCCACCACCCGCATTTTGTTTTTAATTCAACCTTGTTGTGAAGATTGATGTATTGTTTATTTTCCTTGTTTAGGTTTATGGTTATTTGTTTGGGACTCCTGCTCGTGGTCAAACAACGGAGAATATCAATGAGTTCAAGGAAAAGTGTAAGAAGTATGACCTTGCGGAAGCTGAGGTGCTCAATATCATCAACACTAGGCCATCTAGCATTGTTGGAATCTACCCGGTTTGTTATAGCTTCTTTTTATTGTTAGTCTGTTTCTGTTGTGGCTTATTGATTTTATTAATGACTGTGATGCTTGTGTCTTTATAGTTTCAGTTTCTTTTAAATTTATGATTGTGTACGTTACCGTGTTTGCTGGTGATGTTTTGTGTATTGGGTTTATGGGATCATGCAGTTTATGCAACAAATTTGTTTGTGTTTGTACCCTGCATTGTGGTGGGTTTGGAACCATATTAAATTGGGATAGGAAAAAAGAACTATGGGTACTATATTTTGCGTAGAGAATAATGATGAGTGACGAGGAGCATAATGCTGTATTTTTAGTACTTGACCGTGGATTTACTATTCACATTACTCTCTAGTATGGTAGAACATTGGCGTAGTACCATGTTTTCTTTCCCTTCTCTGTAGCCAACATATTTCTTTGTTTTTCTGTAACTTGTGATATCAGAAAATGATCAACTCTGCCTGATATTCCCCTAATTATCATTGTTAACATGACATTGGCAATTAAGGTTGAACCTGTCAGAAGTCGGGATCATAAACAAAGTTACCTTATTCTGTGACTTAATAATTGACAAGGTTTATGGACTGCCTAAATTTCTAATGTCTGTCTATAAGGAATCGTTTTTCTTCCCAAATGGTAGAATGGTCTTGTGTCTTTTTGTTTTATATGCTGAGAGAGTCAGATGGCAGCTCTCGCTGGATTAACATGTGGTTGGTGCATACACAATATCTTCGTTCATGTAAACGTAATAATATAATAATCCTCAAGAATATGATTGCATTAAGATTTTGCGTCTGGATGGAGGTATTTTATCTTGATCTTACTATGTGAAATGACCAAGGGTCACATTGTCTCTATACCAAGGCTCCTAATATGATTTTCCTACTTGTAAACGGAGAGAAAATATTGTAACGTTCCTGGTTTGTTCTAATTTCTAGAACATGTCAACTCATTTGCAGATTTGCTCTGTTATTTAATTTTTTTGTCTTTGATGTATCACAGCTTATCGAGAATTGCGACTTGCGTTTTGGAGATACTGTTGAAGAGCTGGTAGAATTGGTAGTAGAGGTGTTTCCACCTCATCCTCCAGCAAAGACTGTTGAAAATGATGCAAAAACCACAAATGTGGAAAAAATTGAAGACCAGAATGATAACGATGAAGGGAAACCAGAAAATGAGGAAGAAATGGAGACAATCGATGGGTCTTAGGACTGGCCGTTAATCTTTTCTTAGAAAGTTGTGTTAAAAAATGTTCCAATACCGATACCAATGTAGGAAGACACATGAATTTTTGAACTTGTAGGTTTGAGAGCAAGTTTATCATGTTCTATGTGATTCTTTCCTTTCGTTTTTACATGTACAAGCGATAATGAAGGAGGGAGGTTTCGGTATTGAGCACGTATTTAGTTCTGCATTCGGCTTCTACCTTATTCTTAATGCATTTGGTCTGTTCAAATGAGACCCGCACCATTCTCGAACAAGAAAGCTTGAGGCTTTGCAAGCACAGGTGAAAAGTCAAAACCAATTTCAAGTTTGAACCATTTTCAACTCACACAACCCTAAACCAAGAACCCGCCAAATGAAGACGACATGACGTACGATATTTGATTGAGCACTGGTCCATTAAAAATGAGACACGTGGAAGGTAGCCAAGCTGTTTAATTCTTCATCCACTCAAATTTTTCTTAGCTTTCCCATTTCTATGACATGATAGTAATAACTGATGGGCATGAGGACAGGCACCATATATTACTATATTTGATTTGCAGATAATAATTTCCCGTTGAACTGAAAACTGATGTGGTCTAGAACAATGGTGTCGGGCTTATAATTGTACCCTCTTTTGAAAAAAGAAATTTGAAGACTGAAAATGATAGATCCACATCCACAACACACCTAAATAATTGTGCTCGGGACATCCACACCAGAAGAATCATGTGTTGTGTTGTCGATCTCTTTTTGTTTGTCTTAAGTTGTGTTGTCATCTTAAAAAGTAAAACATTTGCAGACAAAATCTTAAAGGATAAAAACCCCAATGATTCTTAAACTATGTTTTCATAGCCGACTGGATATGAAAATTAAGCGATGAATCATGTAAAATTTTAGAATTCATGTTCGTAAAAGAATTGTTATCATTGATTTTTTATATATATATTTTTTTAATAAGGGATTTTTTTCTTTTTGAAGGATGCTAATTGCATTGTTTTTGTGAATTTCAATCATCGCGTGTATTATGTCACATGATATACTCATTGATAAAATAATTTAGTTAAAAAGAGTAATGGTGGAGCTTTTGTTGCTAAAGGGCATGGTAGAACAATTTTCATACATGAGAACAACTTTGATGATCATGTCGTATGATTATATTAGGAGTTTTACTTACGTGAAGCCAAATGGTACCAAAAAGCAAGAAGTTATACTCTTTTGAGGAAAAAAAACTTTCATGTAACGGGAATAATACTATTTTCTATTTTCAGTCAATAACATAATGACACGTAAGATAAATTTTTCACGTATCATTGTGTTATTGGTTGGAGATAGCAAAACAGTGTTATCTCCATTATAAATAAGTTTCTCTGCCTTGTGAGAGTGGCCGGACAGTCCACTCAGACATCGTGACCCAAGATATTTTTTTGGGTGAAAATGACCCAAGATATTCTCTTCCATACACATATAAGCTATAAACACTTGCTAATGTCACCTTTAGTTAATCATAAATAATAATAAAACTGTTATATATTACACCCTAAAACAAATTGTCCTACACTCCTCCCCTATACTGCACCTTCCGCTTCTTCCACTTCAATTTCATAGAGTAAATGAGTGCAAGATGAACTTACCGTTGGAATAATTATTGGTAACAAAAAAACAAAGCTCCTGGAGAAAAGACTGAATGTGCTCTCCCATAGAAGTTTGGTTGAAGACCTAAAGCAGAAAAGATATGTTAAATCAATACCAGCAACCAAAACAATTGTGTCAAATCAAATATCACTTCCACCAAGAAAAATAACCTAATCCCTCACTCACTGTGTCCTTTTTCCCTCTCCCACTCTTCACTCTTCTCTCTCTTCTCTGTCTGTGTAGTTCAGAAACTGAAACCAAAGAAAGTGAAGAAGATGGTGGAATGGTCATGTGCGTGGGAATGGGCATTCTGACCTGACCACACCTCAGAAGCATAGACCACTTGAGCTTTTGATTTTTCAATGTATTTTGGAGCCACCGGCCCACCCTTCTCTTTTTCTTTGTCAAAATGTCTCACCTAATCCAGAAATATTAAACCCTATCAAAATAATATTACAAAAATAAATATATACATATATTTTTGAAATTGAAATGTCAGGGGTCCTCTCCTCTCCTCGTGAAGCGATGGTTTCAGCATAATGTACGGCTTTGCCCCATATAAATTTGTGCTGATTTTTGTGGCAAAGACTAACCAGACCACAAAACGACACCATTTTTCTTTGGGTTTGCATGTTGGGTTGCACCAAAATCACCAAACCCAACATCATGTGATCAAATCTCTCTTGTTCTTGCCATGTCTTGCCCCCCTCAAACATTAGACTCTGAATCTAGATCATTAATTTTCTGATATTAAATTTAAAGTTAGAACTTGAAAATATAATTATTTGTCCGAGAAGAGAATGTTTTTCTAAGTAGAATAAGATCATATTTTAGTGTTAGTGTTAATCCGAGATTTGTGATTAAACTGGAGTTCAAATGTCCACCAACCACTGCAACGTCAAACAGTGCATGCATGCAGGTGCAGCCATGGGATAATCAGATAATACGACATATATCTGAGAGTTTCCATAAAAACCAAAAACAAAAACAAAAGTCAAACAAGCTAGCTGTGGCAAAATTTATCTTTTATTCTTTAGAAAGAATTTAAAGTTGGAAAATTAGGTTAGAGAAAGAGAGAGCCATTGATGGATGGAATTGGGAAAATTATTGTTTCCCAGAGAAATTAATCTTCGAATACTTTCCTCTTATTAGATACAAAATGGTAAATTGGCAGAGGCCCAGAGAGCATGCACACACACATGTGAAGGAAGCAGTAGCAGCTGTGGATCTGCAGGCAGGCTCTGCCTCTGCCATTAACAAATTGGAGTTGACCCACATTTGACCAAGACCAAGAGATGGATGGATGGAGCCATCTATCTAACTTCCAAGGGAGTAATTAATGTGTTCATCCAAGACCTGAGGATGAAGACAAGCTGATTTGGTAACAAAATTAATAAAGCAGCCAACAAGGTACGCAGGAAAAGCGATTTTTCCATACACAGAAGTTAATGCTGTCGTATCCATATCCCCCTCGATAGCGAAAGAGATCATACGTATAGTCTTTCACCTTTTATTTTGTAGACAGAATTCAAAAGGTAATTTGGCTACTGTGTAATGTGTATGCTACTAGCATCCAACATCCGGGATAAGCTCAGTCACTTATGCACGAGTGAGCTAAGTTCGGTCGCTTATGCACGTGTGAGCTAAGTTCGGTCGCTTATGCAAGCGTGAACGAGAACAATTTATAATCTTTCATCTTACTATAGGATCTTTCCACTAATTAAATTGGTGGCGTACATGTCACCATCTTTCTTACCATAAAAAATACATGTCATTATGCGAAATATATATATATATATATATAATAAGAATAGAAACCCATGTTTGATTCACATGCGCATAAATTGTTGTGAATTGAAAAATAATAGTTGCAATATATTTGGTGCTGTACATGAAACCCATAATGATGATAGATAGATGCATGCTATGCTATGCTATATATGCTACCAACAAATACAAATCAATAATTCATCACTGGTATCAGACAATCTCAGTACTATTCAGATTTCAGAGAGTGCAATCTCTTTCATTACACATCAGCCCATAGTAAGAAACATTAAGGATCAAAGCCCATGTACTTAAATAGCACATAATTGTTAACATACAGAGTCCAGACACACAAAAACAAAACCAAACACTCAAAAAAAACCCAGCTGTATTTCCTCCATGAACTGAAGTATCGCTTTCTCCCTTACATACAAGCTTAGAGGCCAGAGAAAGAAGAAAAAAGAAGAAGAAGAAGCTTGGTCTTTAATTTCATGCCCTCCACTTCCATTCTGTCCCATAATAATTAAACTCTTTGCATTAATGCAAAGTTCAATTAAAAAACAAAAAAATATATACATCTACCATGCATTATCAAAAACAAGAGAGAGAGAGAGAGAGAGGATGAGAGGAGAGAGAGAGAGAGAGAGGAGAGAGAGAGAGAGAGCCACACCTAAAATGTTACATTTCCAACACCTTCTCACTTGTCGCCCCATGCCATGTTTAACAAGAATATAATGATAACAAATAGTGGGAAAAAATTGACAATAATAATAATATAATTAGTGACAGATTTTGGATTGAGAAGCTAAACATCAGATCAGGTGCAGTGTTTAAATATTTGACTGTACTACTTACTTAAGTGTAATTAATAAATCAAGTAGTTTTAGTTTCTAATTATAATTAAATTTTTAAGGCATGAAGAGTTTGTTGCCACACTTGCAGCGCCAAGCTTCAGGATAGTACTCGAGAGGTATAGAGACACCTGGTTGAATGGGCACGTGGACCGCCTTACAAGGCGAGCACCTTCCACACTTGGATCTGCAACTCGGTGGCGATGAACCCAGCCGGCTCTTCTGAGTCTCAACTCGCTCCAATGCCGACGACCCAATTTGATATTCCTCTCTCTGCTTCTGCTGCTGATGAGAATGATGCCCACCACCTGAAAATTCATTGAAGTTTGAACTCAACAACTGAGTCACTGCTCAACGAGTCAAGGAAACTCAAAGGGAGGGGGGGGGGGGGGGTGGTGCTGCTGAGTTGCTTACCGAGTTGGGTTTGACTGGTTATGGCTGAGGAGGCTGAGGTGAACAAGAGGAAAGTGAAGGCTGTGATGAGAGTTGATAGCCTGATGTAATGGTGGTGCTGGAGGCGGTGGCGGTGGCGGTGGCGGTGGCGCAGTACGCCCATCGCCTGAGGTGGAGGTGCGCAGGTTAGCAACTGGGCTCAGCTGTGAAAGTTCGATATTGAGAGAGAGAGAGAGAGAGAGAGAGAGAGAGAGAGGATATATATGAATATGAATGATATGATGATGTAAAAGGAGAGTGAGGAGGAAGATTGGGAAATGAGGGAGGGGGGTGATGCTTTTATTATTGTTTTTGCAGTTTTTACTTGTGAGCGTGTGGGGAGGGTGGTCTAAGTCAAAAACACAGTCCCCAAAAGATCAAACCAGAGAGAGAGAGAGAGAGAGAGAGAGGAGAGAGAGAGAGAGAGATTTCTTAGCTTTGTTGTATTGTTTGGCTAAGGGGTGGAGTCCTGGGACCCTGTAAGGCCCTGAATGATTGTGATGTGGAGTTGAAACAGAGACCAACTTGGAAGCCATATTCACTACAATGCCACTGAGATAGTGAAATGGTTGGGAACATATTTCAGACCAACAATGAACGAGATCTAGGTATGATAAATTTTTGTACGTGACAGTAACTTCACTTGACCTATTAACATGGTGATTTATATGAATTTACATTAACAAGGTGTTATGAACCTACTCATATTATTACAATGATCAGGTCATAATGACAATATATTAGCATGCTACATGTTGTGTATATGGCTAAGAAGCGAACTCCACATGAATTATTGTCTGAAAAATATTTACACACGTGAGCGACTGAGCGTAACAAAATTTCAAATGCAAGCATGCAACAGGAGGAGGAAAGAAAAATAAAGGAAGAGTGGCTTAAATGTAATAATTCGAAAAGAAGGTGGGTTTTGAGGTAAAATGGGTGAGAGCAGAGCACCCGTGTGGGGAAGGATGGGATGCTGTCTCGTACGGGACGAACACGGAACATCTGAGTCAAGGCTGAACCCACCCTCACCCTAATGCCCTCCCTATGCACACCATTATTGCTTCTCTCTCTCTCTCTCGTCTAACATGGTAGGCCTATTGAATTCTGAGAGGGGCCCATTTGTACAGGGGACAGGGCCCACATAGACACATTTTTGTTGTTTTATAACTTTTTTATTATGCATGCCACTTTCTTTCTTCCCTTTTATTTATTTATTTTGTTGTTGGTGAAATAAGAGAATGAGAAATTAATAGAGGAAGGAGCAGTCGTATTAAATGAACCCCCATGATCTTTCTGTAAGTGCGGGCCTGCCTGCCATAGCCTATCCTTAGCCAGGTAGCTCTCAGGCTCTCAGGCTCTCTCTCAGGGTCTGAGCAGCTGAGAGAGGAGGAGGAGGAAGAGTGTAACCGCGTAAAGGGTCGGTGAATCTGGCTCAGTGATTTGATGGGTTTTGTGTTTGGTTGCATTTAAGGCAACAAAAAAAATGAAAAATAGCCGCATTGGGATAAGAGGACTGAGAATGATTTGCTGCTAGAGGCCATGGTTTTAGTCGGACAAGGCAATCCACCAAGGTTTTGTGAAAACTAATCAATTTGCAAGTTGTTGAGAATTGAAAGGAAACAAAAATTATTAAAGAATTGACAAGAAACTTGTAGTTTAACTAATAAAAAGTATTTACTTACGCACCCGAAATTTAGGTTCGATTCTCCCCTCCCGACATAGCTTGTATTTTTGCCAGAAATTAAGTTTTGCAGCTTAATGTGTGTGGACAGTGGAAAACTACTAGGCCTAGCCTCTGTTGGGCCATTGGTGGTTCTTGGATTGGTGAGGCCTAGTGTTCAAACAGTAACAAGACTAACACGAGGGTTTTTCCCATGGCAGGAAGCAACCATTACTAGCTTTTGGCATGCTTGATTTACACATCATCTGTGACTGTACAAGTTGGAAAGGGACACTTCATTGCATTATTATATTTCAAAATCAAAAAAAATCCACACACACACACACAAAAAACAAAAACAAAACGCCATTGATTATTGCTTGCACTTCTGTTTCTGCAACAACTGTTTGAATTGTTACCTTGTGGTTTGTAGTTTTAGTTTGGAGCATTAGAAGTTTTAACTATTTGTAGTACTCATTCTTAACCAAAAATTACAAGCTGAAAAATTAAGTCTAGATTCTGCATGTGGCTTCAAGCCTTCCCAGTCAAATGACTGAGGCCAGGATCTTCTTCAGTTTGGTTCTGCAAGCAATAGATATTATGGCTTTAACAAAGCAAGTGCCATGGGCTGCACTTCAATGATTACAAGCTCCAGTTTAAGAAAGGGGCACCTAGAGTAGAGCAGGAGAAAGACTTAAACGGGGATAACATTATTTTGCTATATTCGGTCAATAACGTTATTATGACACGCTTGATAACACTTCCACGTGTTAAAGTATTATTGGCCGAAAATAGCAGAACAATGTTATCCCCATTGCAACTAAGTTTTTCTCCTAAAGCTGAGCTTTGAAGACTCAATTAATTAAGCCATGCTATAGTGCTGTCTAATTATTGATGGAATTATATTGTGTGTGTACCTAAAAATTTGATGTTTAACGGACAAACCCTTTTCTTCTAGAATGACCTTCCAATACTTTGCTAGTGACGAAATTCGACGAAAATGGTAAATTAGATCTCTAAATTCAAAACCTAACATGTTCGGATTAGACAGGTTTCTTATGAAAATCCAGTCTTATCAAATAGTTGAACTCACAATACTTTAGTCGTGTAGCAATATCAAATCAACACCCCCACCCCCACCATCTCCCCCCCAACATAATAACTTGTCTTAGATTAAAGACAAGTTCAAAGAAAAGATATTTGTAGATTATGAAAAAGAGATATTAATTCAACAATTAAAATAAAAAAATTAATTTCTCGAGATTTTCGAACGAAACGAACAAAAATAAACTCAAATTTTGATTACTTGCACACACAAACTCATGTGCAATTACTAGTAAAAATTTATTTATTTTGGGATAATAAAGAAAGCCTCATAATTTTAAAGTAAACTCTAGCATATAAACCACCTATCATGTAAATTTAAATATTTTCATATGGGTAAAGAATTCAAATGTAGAGCACAATGGGTTGAAAACACCTTTTTGGTCTATTTGCCAAAAGGTCCTTGAATAAACATAATATTATTTAATAAAACACCAGACCTAGTAAACCCCGCCAAAATGTTCCCTTGATCCCTTCCACAGTGGTAGTGTGGCATTAACCCAAAGCCCCTGACTCCCAAACCACTAATTAATCAGTAATTAAAAATAAAAACCCTAAGGTTTAGTCCAGAATCATTCAGACAAGAATTACGTGGCAGTCTAGGGTGAAACGCAGCTACCGAAAAGCCCCTTCCCCACCAAAACCCCCATACGACTTACGAGTGACTCTTTAGTCTTATGAGACGACGCCGCGCCTATTCTCTGTCTCTCTCTCTCTCTCTCTCTCTCTCACTTCTTTGCTTGCAGCCCTTTCCCCTTTTTCCCCCAATCCCACTTTCGACCTCCCAACTCCCGCTAAATTACCAACCTGTCCAGATCGCATTCGCAGGGCTCTCCGCCGCCGAAACTCCCGCCATGAACGCCACCACGACGTCGTTCCGCTCCATTCTCGAGAAGCCCCTCAACCAGCTCACAGAGGACGACATTTCTCAGCTCACCCGCGAAGACTGCCGCAAATACCTCAAAGAAAAAGGTCCCCCCCCTCCCCTCCTCACACCTCACCCCCTTTTTCTACTAATTTTCGCTTTTGCCCTTCGCCTTTCTCTCTCTCTCTCTCTCTCTCTCTCTCTCTCTCTCTCTTCCCTCCACCGCCATGTTCTCCGATACGTCTACAATCACGGAACATTCCACTCTCTCCAACTATATTTATTTATTGAAATTGATTAATTAATTAACGAGGATTTTTTTTCCTTTTTTGGGAAATTTAAAAATGTGATGGACACGTGTCCGTACAGGAATGCGGAGGCCTTCGTGGAACAAATCGCAGGCGATCCAGCAAGTTATTTCCCTCAAGGCTCTGCTGGAGCCCAACGACGATTCCGGCGCCGGAGCGCTCAGACGGATTGTCGTTTCGCCTCATACAACCACCCCGCGCGTCAGTGCTTTGTTATTATGTGTTTGGTTCCCGAGAAATTAAAAATGCAAAAGAAAGTTACTGTCTTTCTTTTCTTTCTCTTTGTTTCCCTCTTAACACTTGTTTGATTCGGAATTTTCTGTACAGGCGGCTTCGAATTCAGCCGGTTCGGCCAAGGAAGCGAGTGCCGATGTCCAGGTTTCCGTGTCAGCCGACGAACCGGTGCCGTATCAGAAACCGGTTCAGGAGGACCGGCCAGCCGATGCCGATACTAAGGCCATCAGTCCAAGGTTTAACTTCTCTATCAGGCTCTTTGGCTCTGGCAACGTCTGAATTTACTGATTGCTGTATGTTTACACCATAATCAACACTGTAGTTTGATTATGTTAAGCACAATGTGGTAGTTAAATATGCTAATTTAGCTTAGTTGAAGCTGTTATTGTTTTAGCCTCCTGGAAACTAGTAGACTTTGGTTTCATAATGTTGGCTTTGTCCTTCGAGATTCCATATTGAGTCTAATTTGAGCTCAGTAGATTGAGTGGGGGAATTGGTAAGTGGATTCATGTTTTCATGCCTAGCCCAAATAGGTGTTAAAGAAGCCCCACATCTTAAAAGGTAGCACCAAGTTTACCATCTTTTTTCCATGGTTTTTGGCTTTTTTCCTGTGCATGCTTTCCATCTACAATATGCTTGACATGATAAGCCACCTGTTAAATATTCAATTGAAGTGACATTACAATTTTTTTTTGGGGGGTGGAGGGGTGGCTGTTTTCTGCGGAAAGATTGGCACGGCATGCTTCTAATTTAGATTTCTTGTGATATGTTTATATTAAGTTCTAAAGAAAAGTATTTGATATTGTGGCCACAGAAATCAATGTACAACTGATGCATCAGTTAGGCAAATGACAATTTTCTACTGCGGCAAGGTGAATGTATATGATGGAGTGCCACCTGATAAGGTAAATGAAGCTTCCTCTTAGCATGGATACCTGGAGATAAGCCTTCCAATGCAGCGCTATATGGATTTGCAGGCACGGGCAATCATGCACCTTGCGGCAAGGCCCAACCATTTGCCTCTGGACAATCAATTTGGTGGTACTGCGGCACACAGATCCTTACGATGCCAATTTCAGACTGCTGGAGACAAAGATGGCTTTCTCCCTCCGAGTGCCACATTCTCTCAGGCCATGCAAACAGGTATTCGCGCAGAAGGATTTCTTAGGTTACCTTGTGAAATACTTTGGGTGGAATGGAGTCGCTGTGTACTTGACACTTAATTGGAACTGCATTTGGTGAATAGAAAATAAGATCCAAGAAATGGTTATAGGCATTGCCATGTTTCTTTCAAGAAACAGTATAATTTTATTCACGGAACAGTACGATTTTAATAACTTTGTTGTTAAAAATTGTTTCTTGGTTGTTTTAAAAAGAAGGAAAATGATGTCATGCTTGAGGGAATATGATTTTCATAATATAGGTGTACTTAAACAAACAAGAATTCTCTATTCAACTTCCTCTATCTTCCTTTTCCATAGTACTAAACATGGCGGCCTGAATCTTTAATGAGTCTTATTTCTATTAATTACAAGTCAATTTGGCTAGAGTCACAGAGAAAGGATTTTTGCTGATATAGTTTTTGATAGCTTAGAGACCTTGACAATTGGCAATGTTGAAACACCTATGCTAGAAAATTGTAGCTTTTGAAATACTGGTGGCTATGTAATGATAGTTTTCATTGAACTTTACAGAGAAGATCGGTGAATATACTCAGCAGTACTGGGAGAAAGGGAACAGCACTCGAGATCCTGGTAAGTTGTTTAGTATTCCTGCACCTCTACTGAAGTTGCTGTTATCAGAATGAAAAGCGTGCATTTCTTGGTTTAAATAGAAATATGCTTATTGTTGTAACTTTTATGCTTTCCAAGGACATACATCTTAGGATCCTATATTAAAAGAGACATAAATCTTGATAGGTGCTAGCCATTCATTGATTTCACACAGTAGGTAGAAGGTTCATGGTGTGTGCCATATTTTCTTACATGAAAAGACATCCTAAGAAACTGCTCATTACATTTTTTTTTCTTTTTTCTTTTCCCCCTGCACTGTAGACGTTGTCCTTAGGAGTATTTTGGAAGAACCTTTTATCATTTCAAAATCTGTAAGGCAAGGTTTAGCTATGAAATCGCAGTTGGTGATGCACCTTGCAGTACTTTGAAGAAGTGTGGTAACTTTAAGATGTATTATTCTTTTATAAGTATTTTAATGGAAGGTTAATGCATCTACATTGGTGTCACAAGATTCACAACACAACCAAACTTTGCTGTCACTTGAGGCCAAAAATAGGAATCGCCATTTCACCTTTGTCACATCAACGTCAACCTCTGGAACTAACTATGCCATTGTAACATCTGAAACTCCATTACAGAGTTATTTCTTCAAACCCTGTAGTCCTCCGCCCCTTGCTGCTTTAAAAGACACATCTCTAAAATATCTTCACCACTGATACTTGCTCTTAGTACTTTTTCACTGTCACTTTCATTTCCCATTGCTTGTGTTGCAATCACTGCCTTTTCATCTATGCTGTTCAAACCATCTCCATACATTTATCCCCCATTTTAGTGAAATGGTTCCATTAAAGTTCAGTTGAAACATATTATATACAACTTTGAACCTAAAGAAGTTGATCTGTAGATACTTCTGGAAAGCCTATCGAAGTGGAGCTTTAACATGGCCCCTTTGCATGCCATGGGATTCTGATGAAAAGGTCTTAGAGGATTAACCAGTTAACGAAGCTTCACTCTTTGATGAAATATGAAATTTAGTAGTTTATTTTCCTTGAAACATTTGGTGGTAATTCTTAAGATGCAGAGGGCCAGGCAAGCAGAAAAGTCTCGTTGGAGAGATATCGTGAAAAGCGAAAAGACAGGTACCTACTGATAGAAACTGTTGTTTACTGCCTCTAAAATCATCTGCAACATAATTAAATTGATTCTAAGCTTCTGATTTCATCCCATTCATTTCCTCCTTTTCTTTGCTCATGTTCCTACAAGGGGAAGATTAAAGATTAAGAAAAATATTGGATCGAGTTCTAGCTTGGAGGTCTTTTTGAATCATCAACTTAGGACACATACCTCAAATGGTAATTCAAGTCAGAGTGGCACAAGCTCTCCACCCCAGCCTGGGCTGCTACAAACAGCTGACAATCAGCCAAAGAGTCTGTGTCTTCCCGTTGACCTAAATGACAAGGGTAAGCTATAAAATTCCTCCTTTGTATGTTTCATGACATATGATATTCATAATTTGTTTATGAATTTGACTTTCTATCATTTGCCGACCAAATATAAAGTGACATATCAGGTAGGTTGGATGTCCTAATTATGTTAAGTGATCGTATTTGAAGGAATCAAGTCAGAAACAGATCATCTTATGTGCAAATATTTTGGATTATAAAATATTTACAGGTGGTTTGTTTGGTTTTTTTCTTTTTCCCGGGTTGGATGTTATGCAGATATCCTGGAACGCCGAACTTGACACTTTCTAGGTCATTCAGAGTTGGGAGTTGATTGAAGAACCCCGGCAGCTATAAATTAGAACCATGACAAACCTGATAGGAAGGGAAAGAAGAAACTAATTTTAACTGCCTCCTAGAGACCTGCCTTTTGGTATGATTTGGGCTGCTCCGAGGACCATGAAGTTTTTTCACTGGCTTTTGCCTATCAGGAGGAGAATTCTCTTTTTGGACTGGTATGGCTTTGATCAGTTTTGTAAGTTTTAGGGTCGAGATGCAGAGCTGTAAGCAGCCATTTTCCTTTTAACTCCTTATGTAAGTAATTATTGTATGCGGTACCATTCTCTGTCAAGAGAGCTTATTGTACAAGTTGAAGGAAATCATCTCCTTTAACGTTTTGTAGCTATGGAGAACAGTTCTATGTAATTTATGGTCTCCTTTGTTTATAATTTTCCCAGTCAAAGTTGGCAAAAATGTGTTGCAACTTGCAGAGAACTCGCGGCTCGGTTGATGAATTGGAATTGGAAAAATGTATTATTTTCTGGATTACTCTACAATTGTTAGGTTTACACTTTAAAGCCACTTTGGGCAGAGCCTGAATCTACTTTTCTATATATAGATTGTATAATATTGTAGGCCGTGTTGTTTGTTTCTCAGACTGTACGTGTATTTTGGACCCAACCCATCTTACCTTTGGACCCCAAAATGGAAAGAAGATTCGAGAAGATACTGCAAAATTGGAAAATGATAGTTGAACGAATTCATGTGCGCTAGGATTGGTGCTGCACGTTATTTGAATCTGGACCATTGCTTTTGTGAGTATTAGATTAGATAGATATCAGGTCAATTGTGTAATTGACATACACCATAATAAAATGGTGACAAAAATTTGCCAAGAATAGCGTCCACAATTAACTTGAAGGAAATCTAACCGTACGCGTGGCAAAATCATTCATGTTAAACAATATCATCGATTACGAAGTTTTTTTAAAAAAAAATCCAGTGCAAAACGACACTCTTTTAGCTTCCATTATAAACAGTGACTGTGTTTAGTTTACTCAGCAAAACGCCGAGCTGGAAAGCGAGTCAGCCATGGCGATCGAGGTGAGCTCGCTCTTAGTATATTAGCGATAAATTAATTGGTATGGTGAACAAATGGGTTGGTGTTAATTTTAATTTTAATTAATGAAATGGAAACAGGCGTGGTTCATGGACGAGAGCGATGAAGACCCAAGGCTTCCTCACCATCGCAACCCCAAAGAGCTTGTTCCCTTGGACCATTTGGCAGGTCAATTCTGTATCTTTTTCTTACATCAAGATTAATTAGCTATCGTTAATTAGTCCCTAATACGAATTAGTGTAATTGATTTTGTATTTAACAAGTTGGTGGGTGCTGGTATTGCAGAGCTTGGTGTGCTCTACTGGCGCTTGAACCCAAAGGACTATGAGAATGATCAACAACTTCGCAGCATTAGAGAAACCAGGGGATATAATTACATGGTATGTATTTATATTTTTCAATTATGAAATATTTGGTTCAAATTCAATTTTTAAAAAGGAAGTATTTTTTAAGGACCTTTCTATTGAGCGATAGTATACTAAACTCACATTACACTACATACACCACTATACTACACACGGATATTAGAACTCAAACCCATGACCTTTCCTGGGGAAGCAATTGCTTCAAACCACTACACTAGTGGTCCTTTGCCCCTCCAAAAAAAAGGGGAGAAGTTATTTGGTAAGACATGGTTTTGGAGAAAAAAGAAAAGATGTTGATTTTATGCTAATCTGCTATTTTGGTTAATGACAAAGAAAAAAGCTTGTTATTGGGTGGGAATTTTGTAGGATTTGCTTGATATATGCCCAGAGAAATTGGAGAATTATGAGGAGAAGTTGAAGAACTTTTATACAGAGCACATACATGCTGATGAGGAGATACGCTACTGTTTAGAAGGAAGTGGGTACTTTGATGTCAGAGACAAGAATGACCGCTGGATTCGAATCTGGATTAAGGCTGGTGACCTTATCATTTTGCCTGCTGGGATTTACCACAGGTTCACCCTTGATACTAGCAACTATGTTAAGGTGAGAATCTAAGTAATATGCGTCAGCAGGCTTCTGCATACATCAAAAGTTTTTTTCTTTTTTGCCTTTCCAAGTTTTAATCGTCAAACCAAATGATGTCGCAAACCACATTATTTTAGTTGTTAGAAAAGAAAAACAAAGAAATTTAAAACACTGCTTCATAAATATTGTACAGTTTTGGAGTTTACTTTGTTGTTCATTGCAATATAGTTTATTTGGGCAGAAGAACCTCTACTGATTTTTATTGTACTGATATTTGTGGCCAAAACCACGTTATTGGGTTCGAGGGGTTTAATATTTAAGTGTATAAGTTGAACAACAATTTGATGAAGACTTAAAACAAATGTAGTTTTGGAGATAAGCACCATATCAATACAGGAAAGATCAACAGAGGATCTCCACTCGTTCATTTTATTTGCACCAAAAACCTTGATTGAAGAAGACGAGAAAAAATATTGGTGAATGTTTGATAATTTGTTATGAAGTTCATATTCATGGTATTATGCAGTTGATGAGGTTGTTTATGGGAGAGCCTGTTTGGATTTCGTACAACCGGCCGCAGGAAGATCATCCGGCTAGGAAGGAGTATATAGAGAGCTTCACTAAGAAAGTGGGAGTGGCATTGGAAGCTCATTGAAGGGTCATGACTCTCCTCTTGCAGATGAACCATCATGGTATTATTGTATTGAATCTTCTTTGTAATGATATTATAAGGTGTATGATTATAGTTCGAACTCTTTGATTGTTCTATATGTGCCTGAAAATTGAGGTTGTGATAATGAACTCTCTGTATTGAGAATCTTATGTCTAAAGGATGGTGCTTTTTGTCAAATATATTTTTGGATGCCTATGAGCCTCTCAGCCAACAGTTTTGGTCTTGACTTTTTCTTTTTGCTTCTTTAATGTACACAAAAAGAAAAGGGAATGATATTGTGGGAGTTGCATTTTGAGATACGCAACCCGAAAGATATATTTCTATTTGTCTTCCTATTTGAATAATTGTGGACTTCAACATTTTGCCATGTGACATGAAATTTTTTGTGATGAATGATCCATCCCGACTTTGACTCCCGAATTTGGGACCGCCAGCCAAGACTATGTTTTAACATAACATGAGAATGAGATCTAAAGCTACCTTTCATTTTACATTAGAAGGAGAGATCGAACCTATCCGTATTTTAGGCTTTGTTCTTTTCTTTTTTCATTCCTTACCACCGGGGCGGTTGTAGAACAGAAAAATGGGCAGGCTGAGTAGCAATTGTCTAGTTAAAATATAACATGTATTATAAGTTGTTATGTATAATTCAGATTTTATAACACATACGGTACTTGTTTGTCACTTTGACGCGTTGAAAGACACTTGCGGCCTAAATTTTTCTCCTTTAAGCTTAACCAACTATATGAGGATACCTCCCAACCCCAACCAAGGGGTAAAAACTAACAAAGCTTAACCAAGAAAATCAAGGGGCCTGCTAACCCTAGTCAAACCACTCAAACCACCCAATCAAGAAGTGGAGATGATTAGTCAAACAATTAACAAAAACAAAAATTCCTTTCACATGATGACATGGCAATGGCATGGTGAGAGTTATAAAACAATTAGGACAAATATTCCTTTCTGTTATAGAAATTTTGTGAGGATAAGAATATAATTTTTTTGGCAAAAAAAAAGAAAGATGAATATAGAAGAAAAAATCCGCAGTGAAAATGCCGACGTGAAAAGAAAACCCATTGATTCAATTAACCTGGACAAAGCACAAAACTGCTGTGTGCGTAAACGTCGGATGGGCATTTTCGTCATTCAACATCCTTCGCCCTTCGTTTAAAAGGGCTGAGGCACGCGTGGTGTCAAAGCGACTCCATAAATTTCAGGGATCGTCGGCCAAAACGCAGAACAAAGGCAGAGCCATGGTTGCCACCGAAAAGGTACACACTCCGAATCTTATAGCTCCAGCCCAGCTCAAATCATTTCTTTCGTTTTCTTTTTTCTCGGGAAAAAAAGAGTAGCCTTTTTCCTGAGAAAATTTTCGTATTGCAAGCAGAGCAGAAAATTTATGTGTTTCCCCTTTCTTCTATTGAAGCTTTTCTGAATACTATTCTGTTTGTCTTAACATCATGTTTTCTTAGAATTTATGATTTGTGGATTGTGTTTGAAGTTTTCAAGCTTGGTGCATCATCAGAACGTGCTTTGCTTGTTAATTGTTATGTATGAATTTTATGGTTTGATTGCTCAATTTTGGTGGTTAAGGTGATTCCAGCAGTAGCTTGCATTTAATTTTGTGTTACTGCTAATTAGTTTTACATGATAAGTTGTGCGAATTAAATATTGCTTCAAGATAATTTGGCTGAACTAAAGTAATGATGATAAGGCAGCTAGATACTGGAATTTGGCTATGGCTGTGCTTGCAGCGATGGATTTTTGGGATTTTCGTTGTTAGATTTTTGGAAACTCTGTTTGGTTCATTGTTGTTTTGTTTGTGGGAATAAAAAATTACAGGGAATTATAAACAGCATTTTTGTGATCAGGGTATCTCATAGTGTTAACATATGCAGGATCCAAGAGAGGAAGTCATCCAAGCATGGTTCATGGATGACAGTGATGAAGACCAGAGGCTCCCCCATCACCGTGAGCCCAAGGAATTTGTATCCCTAGACCAACTTACTGGTGAGCATTTTCAGGAAGACAAAATAGTTTTACGGGATTATGAATGTTTTATTTTTTGAAGAATCAATGCATTAGAGAAACCATGGGAGTGACATCTGTTAGTGATAAGTTAAGATAAACTGGGCTTAAGGTGATATGAATAAATACTAAGTAGACCAGTAGATGTATTTTTAACCAATAATACTAGTCAATGTAAAAGTTAAAATACAAGAAGCTGGCCAAAGACTAATCTAGGAAGAAGTAACAAGAAAGATTTTTAAAACTTACGTTTAATAGGAGATATTGTATATAATGGAAAACAATGGAACATCTCTATTCATCTAGTTGATCTTCTTGGTTGGGACAAAGATAAGGATGATGATAGTCATTCCACCATTTAACTTTTTGGAAGCATTTGTGTTGACCTTGCAGAGCTTGGAGTTCTCAGCTGGCGTCTAGATGCTGATAACTATGAAACAGATGAGGAGTTGAAGAAAATTCGTGAAGAACGTGGTTACTCCTACATGGTTTGTCACACTAACTTATTTTTAACTTTTTATTTGCTTTGTGTCGTCTTCTACCTAAACTTTCTACTTCCCTTATTTCAAGGCAATGTATCACAACCATGCCAAGTTTTGCCCATTGATTGCCAATATGATGTGAAAGAAATTGTTCCGTATTAACTATTAAATTTTTTGACTCCTGTTGAACGTACACTTTGAAATGTGTTTGGTCTTTTTTCCCCTTCTTGTTTATAATTTGAATACTAATAATCAGATTATAGTAACTGTGAATATGCAAATTCACAACAAGTCTCTGTGCACAGTAATACACTTTATGTTTAACTTGATAATGTTTTCCTCACCTAGGACTTCTGTGAGGTTTCCCCTGAAAAGCTGCCTAATTATGAAGAGAAGATAAAAAGTTTCTTTGAGGAACATCTTCACACTGATGAGGAGATCCGCTATGCTGTGGCAGGAAGTGGTAGGATTAGTTATGCTTTATCCCAATTTATTGTCTCATTTTTATTTACCTGTCCAGATTAGTGATTGTGTACTTCTTTTGTGAAGGCTATTTTGATGTTAGGGACCGTAATGAACGTTGGATTCGTGTGTGGTTGAAAAAGGGTGGGTTGATTGTTTTGCCCGCTGGAATTTATCACCGCTTTACTTTGGACACAGACAACTACATAAAGGTAATGGTTCAATGTGTGAAATGTTGTGATGCCCACTGTTTGTTTCCCCCCTTCTCCATCTAGTTATGCTTTTATACTCGAATGAATACACACTTCTACATAATCTGGCACTTACTTTTTTAAAAGTATTTTATTGTGGGATGATGGTGAATGTGTAGACCCGGACTGTACTTATTTTTGACATTTGTGTCCGTGAATTAATGTCGATTAAGAAGTCCCACAATGGTCCTTACAGTGTATAATATCTTCAAATCAAAAGTCGTTCTAAAAGATTTGTGTTCAATGCAGGCAATGCGACTCTTTGTCGGTGATCCAGTTTGGACTCCCTTTAACCGCCCTCATGACCATCTTCCTGCAAGGTTTGATTCTCTCTTTCTTTAAATTGCCGGCACCCCTTGTATACATGCAGACAATACAATGTTGGATAGGCTTTGAGTCTCTTCTTACAAGGAGCCCTTCTTGCAGGCAGGAGTATGTTAAAGCTTTTGTGCATAAGGAAACTGGTGACCATGCAGTTGATGCTGCAGCATGAAATCTGGCTTTTGCTTCTAAAACTGGGATTTACAAATAATGAAGTGACTGTTTTGGCTATGATAAATATATATGTATGCTTGTATCATCTGGGATGCACCGGTGGCTCCGTAGTGTTATGTAATGCTTTGTTTATTAGTAGCTTGGCCTGCGTGACGCGAATAAATTCCGAATAATCTGTACCTAATGATCTTTATATATTGATGCCTAGCTTCGTAAAAACGAATAATTACGTAATTCTACTGTGTTATATTGTGAGTTATTGTGCTTCCAGCCTTGCCTTTTGCCCAGGCATAAACTTCTTAGTCTGGGCCGACTTTAAAGTTTAGTTGGTTTAGATTGGCTGGTTGGGCTGTTGCATTCTAACAGTCTAATCTTTCTTTTGTTTAAAGTTTAAACAATAACAAACCAGAGGACAAGAAAGTTTTAGCTTTTTTTTCAACCCCGAAAAAAAAAGAAAAAGTTTTAGCCTTTTTACTAAATTAAACAGATTAGGTTTTTAATAATTGACGTTAATCCAAACGCTTCATCCAAGTTGTCAATTATGAGTGAAGTTAGTGATTTCTTTTTTTTTTTCTTTCTAATATTCGAAGAATTCAAATTCTCATTCGTGTCCATAAAATAAAAAGACAAGAAAGTTGGGTTAGAGTTGGTTAATACTTGGGACGAATTCAAATTGATACAAACCGATCATGACTCAATACACAGTCTAGTGGTCGTCAATTATGAGTTCTCTTCATAAGTGATTCTAGTTTATTCAAAATCACTTCTAAACAAAACTTTCAAAGTGTTCATCTTTCATTTGCTTGGATTTAAGTGTTTGACAAAGAACCCGATCTCATTATGGTCATGGGATCCTGGTGCAATAATTTATATAAAAAATCTTATTCTTACTAAAGCTAGATTTGGATTGGACCCCCTAATTAATCACTCTTTTCACCTCTCATTTGATTTTGAAAATATATTTTGTCGGATATATTCGATGCACTTCTACATTCATCTTAAGTGCCCTCTTAAAATAATATTATATGCATTAGTTGGTGTTAAATCAGAATTTGGTCTCCTACACTGTTGATTGTGTTTTTAGGTGAATAATTTTCACCTTTAGCAAAAATTCCAAGCCGCACGGCCTTGATTTCACCTTCTCTTCAACCCAATTAATGACACGGGTGTGGCATTTTTGCACTTCGTTAAGGGCCAATTACAGTAACTTGAAAAGTTTTAGATTCCAGCTAGCATCACAGTGAGCTTATTGTTCATGAATTCACCCAACTTCGTGTGTAAGTTCACCCCTGTTGAATTTCACAAAGACAAATCAGTGGCACACTACTGATAATTTACCCAACTTACAAAGCCCAATATGTGTGATATTTTATCACAAAAAGTCTTGATGCAATTAGTAGTGAAACCACTCATTATATGTTGTAATTTGTTTAGTTAAGTTTCATACGTTTGGTTTGTGTAAGAATGTAAAACAAAGTTTGTTTAATTTTTCAATTATACTCATATGAAATCAAATAAAAAAAGAATGCATTTAATGCTATATTGTAATTTTAAATTGCTAATGGAGACAATATGATTATTTAAAATGTGTATTTAATGTAGGCTCATTTTCTCAAATTTTCCCATGATGAGGAAAACAAAACCCATGGGAAGAGGAGGGCTTCACTTTCTCCCCTATTTTCTCATGTGTAAGGCAACAGTTTCCTATACCTGGACTTACCAAATATGGGAAAATAATTGATTTCCCATCCCCAAGTCTTCTTTCCCATGAACTAAACGGGACAGTAGATCATTAGTGTGACAACAATATAATGCAAGTTGATCTGATTTATGCATTTAATAATAATTTAACTTCTAAGATATTTGTTTATTTCCACAACCTTCAACTTTAAAGAGTGGAAAGTGCTAGCGTGAATCGACTTGAGCGCATAATTAAGATTATTCGATGATGCATGTGAGTTTCATGTCGATCATATATATTAATGGTTATAAATCAACCACGCATGCTTAAGCAATTTTTAATTCACCTCTAAATAAGAATGGTCTCGATGTACGCTGGGTACCACCTGCACCCATACCCACCTATCCAATAAAGTACTGTCTAAACTCCCATTTTTTTATTCAGATGATGGCTCTACAAGCTTCTGGTTTTCAACGATCATATAAAGTACAACACAATTATTATTAGATAAGTTCTTTAGTTTATTTAAATGTTTTTGTAGGTCTCTTTACTAAAGAGTATAGTGTCTCACTCTAAAACTCTCTTTGCCATGACTGACTGTGATGAAAACCTAATGTGCCAAGTGGGTTTCCAAAAGGAGAAACGACATTAGGGCTTCGGAGAGAGAAAAATATATCATCAATGCCATTTTCGTTTTGAAGAAAGCTTCACAATCTAACTTTTTCTTGAATATTTGTTTCAAACTCCTTCAAATTGAGAGGATTAGGAAAACATTTTGAAGAAAAGAAAATGTGCTTGTTTTGTATTGTGTCATCTTTGTTTCCCATCCAATCGAACAAATCTTGTCTGGCCAAAAAGGAAAAGAGAAGAAAAACCTTTTTTTATTTTTGCTTTTGAAAGAAAAGGAGCTACCCGCGATTTATAAATTGTTGGTAGGTACCCCCCCGGTTGCCTTCTGTCTGAAAAAAAAACAAATAAAGGAAAAAGAAAACCCCTGCAGCCTCCTGTTCCTCAGCTCTGCAGTCTCTTGGCCTTCTTGGCCTCCATGGCAGCCAGAGCTTCTCTTTCTCACAAACACAACCAACCATCCCTGCCTATGCTCTGTTCTCTCTAACACTACCTTACCATTCCTCTGTGCTTCCTCTGTGCTTTTAATAATTCGTCTACCTGCATTCCTAAAACCGATTTGAACAAACAAACCCAACAAGTATTATCATCAACCCAGATCACTAATCATCCATCAGAGTTTACCATTAATTGAACAATGAATTCTGATCAAGACCCAGTAAGTTTATCGTCTTCAGGTGCGGCACCTGATCATCCTCTGCCAATGGAGAAACTTTATGACCAAGGCCCTCCACCATTTCTCACCAAAACTTATGACATCGTTGATGACCCAACAACCAATGATATAGTTTCTTGGAGCAGAGACAACAATAGCTTTGTTGTGTTGGATCCCCAGAAATTTTCCATGAGCCTTCTCCCCAGATACTTCAAGCACAACAATTTCTCTAGCTTCGTCAGGCAGCTCAACACCTATGTAAGCATGACTTTCTAGGCTGTCCTAATTGCTCATTTATATGATTTTTTTTCAAAGAAATTGCCATGTTGTTCTTTTCAATTTGGATATTGTATTCAAATCTATGATATATCTGTGGGGTTCTTTTGAGTTTGACTACTTTGTACATTCATGCTCATGAAACAGATAGAAATGTGTCATTTTTTTAATCTTTTCTGTCTTTGTTTAATCAGGTCCTTTTTTGTGTATTTGTTTAAGGGTTACTTAATGTGGACATATTGTTTGTTAAATGGCTTCAAAAGGGAAAGTGCAGAAACCAATGTATAAAATATGCATGATACTATTACAGAGATGGGGTCAGTTTTTGTTTGGTTTTTGTTCTTGTTTTTCTTTCTGTTGGATTTGTCAACTTCAAAGCTTCTTAGGGTTGATCTGATGCAAACTAAAAAAATTAGTAGACGCAGCATTTTTATGGATTTGATCAAGAAGAAGTTATTTAATTCATGTAGGGATTTAGAAAGGTTGATACAGATAGATGGGAGTTCGCTAATCAAGGGTTTCTCAGAGGGCAAAAACATCTTTTGAAGAATATCCGGAGGAGGAAGACATCTTACCATCCTCAGGCTTCACAGAAAGCTTTGGACTCTTGTGTTGAAGTTGGAAAGTTTGGATTGGATGGAGAGATTGACCAACTGAGGCGTGATAAACAGGTTTTAATGGGGGAACTAGTGAAGCTTAGACAACAGCAGCAAACTACTAGAGTTTACCTCCACGGAATGGAAAATAGACTGAAGAGGACAGAGATGAAACAGCAACATCTGAGGAATTTCTTGGCAAGAGCAATGCAGAATCCCGACTTTGTACAACAATTGGCACAACAGAAGGACAAAAGGAATGAACTCGAGGAAGCAATTAGTAAGAAGAGAAGGCGGCCTATTGAGCAAGGGCCTAGTAGTTTTGAGGTGGATGAATTAGGCCAAGTTGGAGTAGAAACTTTTGTTAAAGTTGAACCTCAAGAATACGATGACATATCTGATCATTTTGAAAATCCGGAGTTGGACACATTTGCTATTGACATGCAGGGAATAACTGGAAGCCAAAATGTTCATGATGAGGAAGAATGTATAGAGAAGGAAGAGGGAAATGAAAGTGGAAGCAAAGACCCGGGTAAGAGTTTCTGGCACGAATTGTTGAATGAGAGTATTGATGAAGAAATTGGTATGCTAGGTGTTCAAGAAGACGATGAGGATGTCGATGTGTTCGTCGAGGAGCTTGTTTACTTGGCCTCCAGTCCCAAGTAAAGAAGATGAGGAGCTTTCATAAATGTTTTCTTCAAGAAGTTCGGTAGGAGACGCTCATCATTCAAAAAATCTTGAAGTTCCTAAATGGTTTCTTAATTGGAATTGAAGAGTGAATGGCAACACTTTAACGCTGATAAATTACACTGATGAAGCAAAACAGAAAACAATATTCCAATGCAAACTGGTTAGGTTCTGGGATTTTCCTTCAGTGATGGTACTTTTAGGATCTCTTAAATTTCCGGGTTTGCTTTTAGAACTGCTCTCATTTCCTTTCTTGTCCACAGTCTAATTGTGTTCCTGCCAGTGGTAGGAAATTAAAGGTATGTATTTATCTGATAGATCATTAATCTCGACATTCATGACCTTAAAATCCAGTTGGAGATTGCACCATTGAGATCATGTTCTGCTTAATTTGTAACTGACTGTTAACATCAGTGATCTAGAACCCTTTTGCTATGTTTTTTCTCTTCTGGAATATAATTTGTCATTGAAGCATTCCATGAAGGTGGTGGATGATGCATGGTGGTCTCACCAAAATGATTAAAAGCTTGAAATCTCTTACTTGCATCTTGAAATGCATCAAGAGAGGGTGCATGACATGTTTGTGTAAGCTGTTAGTTTATTTGTGCAAATGCAAACATCAATAGAGCAGAAAATTGGTGTTTTACCCTTCTTTTTCTCTTTACGGGCCAAAGGTAAAATTAAAAAGTTGGATTATTAGCTTCCTTTAAATGACACAGAATTTTATGGTGCACCATATCTGCAATTGAGTTGGAACACAGAGCTGCATTTGTCTGCCTCGAGCGATAAGGTTGCACATGCTGTGCATGAGCAGTTTAGCTGACATTATGTAGGGAGTAGTCAAATTTACTGCTTTAACATTTAGCAAAGAAGGATTCAAATTTGGATTTCCGCAGCAGGGCCCGTGAATGCAACTGCCCTTATTGCCCACTGTTGCTAAACTTAAAAAATTTCCCAATGCTCTTTTCATGTTATCCTTTTAAGTATGGCTGATATTTGAGAAAAAATGTTTGACAAAATGTCTGAAATAGGCCGAGGCGGGGCATGGAGCCGAAGGTCACTGGGGAAGGTTGCGTGTGGGCTTCATCTTGTTTTTGGTAAGAAAAATTCATGGATTCGACACTACTTTGAGCAAATTCAATTCATGTTATGAAAATGGGTTTTTGAGAACTAAAATATATTTAGCTCTATGAAAAAGTGTTTTGTCTTTTTGGTTGACAATGAAAAAGGTCCAAACTTACATAGCTTTTTCTTGTTGCATGGCCTTTGGAAACATAACTGAGGAATTTCCCACATATCCTATGGTCGATAGTCTCTATGCCCTTGATTGGAAGTAACCCTAACCACAACTTTGGCATGTCATTCATGTGATAACTAATTAAAGTGAATTTTTTTTTGTACTTTTGAGACATGATTATGATTTGAATATGGAACCTCCACACTGGACAATTCTGGAAAGGCATTAATTAACATGTCATTTTCTGGAAAAGAAAATATATCTGGAAAGGCTGACAAACAGACAGAGCATGCAGGCCCATAAGTCTTTGTGCATACCCTTTAATATGAAAGGTGGCACAATAAATAATTATCAGCCAGAGCCCTAGATGGTGGCATGAATGGTTCTGGATCTGGAGTATGATCATACATGGGAATGTCATGATTCTTTCAAATCTAAAAATAAAAAAAATAGTTGATATGGGTTATACCAGTTGGTAAGAGCAATGAGTTTGCGTCTCCTTGCACTTACGTTCAAATCACCTGTCCTATAAATTAGATTAATTTAGAGTAATTTAGACTATCATTTGTATTAAAAAATATATATATATATTAGAAACTATATATTGATATTATGAACATATTTTGGGGGAAGTTGTATGGGCTGTTCTGGTCTCTAGAGAGCTAGCAATGAAGGGTAAATAGTTCTTGACCAAAAAAACATGAAGGGTAAATAGTTTTTTTTTTGGGTCGAATAAGAGTAAGTTTGAACTCGAAAGTTGGGTGAAGCCCAACTATTTGGCCAGTTGTGATTTTGGGTCAATATACCCAAAACTCTAATAATTAGGGATTGACATTCACGATTAGTGCCACAATTTTGGCACTTTCTATTGAATTTCAATGGATGTTAGGCTCCACTCCAGATTGGTGGAGTTGAAAATTGCCACAAAAAAAAAGGCAATATTATATAAAACTACTGGAAATAAGTAGAAAAAAATACTACCTTTATATTATAATAGAGTGAAAGTGCCAAAATTGTGAAAAAAAGGTTGAAGATTGGATCCATTGAAAACCAAAAGCACAAACAACTTGATAAATCTATTGAACTTGTTTAGAAGTGATTCTGGATAAGTCAATAATTTTCTTTATTTATAGAGAATCACCTACTATGTGCTTCTTTGCAATCACTCACCACAAGTGATTATAGAGAATCACTCCCGAACAAGCTCAAATTCACTAAAAGGAAAAAGATATATTTTGAAACGCTTTTCAAAATATTAAACAAAGCAATAAAAATATAAATTCAAGAAATATTCATTTTGAAGAGGCATAAATTATAATAATGTGTTGTTTGTTTGTAGTTTGGTCTTATTAGCCTTATAATTGGCTTCTCCTTTTTCTTGTTTTTTCCTTTAGAATTGTGGTTGCTTTAGCGTTGATATTTCATTTTCTATTGGTCGTGGGTCGTGTGAGCATTGGCAAATTCAAACTTGAACTTGAAACCCAACGGCAGTTTTGATAAACAAGTGTTTTTCTAAACATGGACTAAAACCAAAACTGGGTCCCTATCATGACCTCATCCTAGAAAGCTCATCCTTAGCCACCGACAGCCCAACGTCTATCCATGAATCAATATCCTACCCTGCCTACTACACTACGCTACTAGTATGCACCCACTGATCAAACCTTTCAAAACATCCTTGATTCTTGATCATCAATTAACATTCATCAAGATGATGAGTAATAAATCATTTTTTGAACATATTAAGTAACTGATCCAAGTATTTTTCTTTTCCGACGTGGCTTTGCTTATTTGCTCGGGGCACTTCATACCATATCCGCTTATTCGAGATAGTTTTATTAAACATCTTGTCCCCAGATATGAGTATCAATTATGAAAAACAGAGACAATTGCAAATCTTGTTAGGAATCCGTGGTTAGCGAATTTGATAACCTGAAGTTGTTGACCATACACGTAATTAAACATTGGACAAAGTTCAATTACCATCAAACTGATCCAACCTATTATGAAGTATGAATGACTAGTAATCTTGGATCTCCCAAGTCATTGGTGATGGAACCAATGGTGCACATTAATCTGGTGGCACGTTCCGCACCCAATCAAGTTTAGGCTTAATCACAACGAGATTAAGGAACTCGCACGCACAAGCGCGTAAAACGTCGTGCTGCAAACATGGGTTGCCATTGGATTGTTCACCTTAATTAATTAATTAATGACAGAGAAAGACTTTAAAACGAAGTCATGGTTTTGGACAAAATATTGCCTAAACCCCCCCAACGTGGCTCTTTGCCGACGGGTTGCATAACACTGTAGCCAATCAGCATGCCTGGAATTAGCAAATTTAGTAGGGAAAGTCTACAAAGACTTTTTAGCCCAAAAGAACGAAGGTGTGGAAAGACTAAAATGCCATTGCTGTCGACTGCTTGAATTTTCTTCTAAAGCCTTTATGAAAAATCGAAGAAGGCAATTAAAAAAGAAATGGGAAAATTGGATTAGGCTAGTTTGACCTCTCTTGGATTGACAAAGAGAAAATTGTAATTTCATTGGCTACAAACATTTGAAGGAAAATTATAAGTACGGAGGGTAAAAATGGGAATTGAATTAGTAATGAAACTGGGGATGACGCATTGTCGTTTTAGTACCTCTTGGTGCAGTCCTTGTCTTTCTGTCTGGAAAGTGCTAAAAACACACCTTCGTCTGCAAGCTTCCCTTTCTTTCTTCGTCTTCTTCACCACAGCACACCTCAAATCTCAATTTCAATCTCCATCGAAGATCCAAAACCCCAACCTCTCTCTGTAATGCCATTGACATTGACGACGTCAACCAATTGCACCTCCGAGATCGCCTCGCCAGGCCTCTGATCAGAGCCCTTGTAATTTGCGTCGTTCACTCGGCACATTCGAACGACTCTTCTGCATTTTTCGTTTTTGGGAATGGGAGCCGTACCTTCTACACCGCGCTGGGGTGGCAGCAGCTCCGCCGCGCGTCCACTGGACACGGCGGAGTACCTGATCTCTACTTTCATCGGCGACGAGTCGTTTCCTATCTCCTCCGATTTCTGGTATAAACTCCTCGAACTCCCTCTCAACCTCCAGTGGCCGCCTCACCGCGTTCATGAAGCTTGCCAGGCTCTTGGTTCGTCAATTTCTCTCTTTCTTCTCACAGTTTCTATATTCTGAATCATGAAATTTGTTGCTTTCTTTGATTCAATTACGTCACCATAATGTGATTAGGGTTCTGTTATTTGCGGCATTGGCATTAGTATTGATGAAATGCAGATATTTGGTTACTAAAGGGTAATAGATTTCTCATTTTTAAGTGTGCAGCTTTGTAAGAGAAAGTTAATTGTCCTCTCTTCTTAGCTCAAACAAAAGGAACCCTCCCATATTGGATGCAAGTTACTTAATCCACTATGTAGAATACAATAGTTAAATAAAAGAAGTAAAAGGAGAAATGCTACTATATTGGGGAAGAAAGCAATGGAGAATAACTTGTATGCTATGTGCAATTTTTTGCCTATATTGAAGACATCCGTGTACAAATGCCTCTTAGTTTGAGATTCAGTCTTTAGAGAACTCCCTACTCTTACCTAACCGCTCAATTCTATGGTTGTGTTAACCAAGGCCATAGAATCTCTCTTCAAGAGGACTTGCTGATATTGCTCTTCAATTGCTTGTCATGTGTGGGTTTTGAGGGCATTCCAATGCTCTTTGATATGCTGTTGTGTTGTGGTAGCTTGTTGTCAAAGTATTGTTCTTTTCTGTTCATTTTTTTGAGGGGCTTCGTTAGTTCATTGTCAAGGAGTTGATTGTGGTGTTGGCTTTAGAGCATTTGAGCTTTGTATCTGTTTGACTCTCCCTCTAGTAGATACAAGTATGGACTATATAATTTTGAGTGAAGGACTATTTCCCTACAGTTCAATAGCATTTGAAAATAATACCAATAACTCTATAAATTTGTAACCAAAGTATAAAATTGTCCAAAATTCTACCCAAGTATATATAAGAATATTGGGAAGATTAAATCATAGCTCTCAAATTTCTATATTCCAATTTCAGTCTCTCTGCAAATTGCATCTCTTTTGCTGGAAGTGAGTCAACTAGTTGGTCTCACATACGCTTTTAGTAGCTATTGATGTTTCTAGAGGCTTAGTCTAGCCATAAGATATCTGTCTCAATGCTGTTCATAATCTGAAATTTTCTCATCAGAATGTCAAGGCAATTATGTAATTGAAATTTAAAATAGATTCACATGTCTCCTCATGAAACTTAAATGTCTACCATGGAACTTAAAACAGTTACGGGCTAAAATTTTGTAGAAATATTAGATGCAGGCTAATAATTTGAGTACTGACTTAAACATTTTTCAAGATGAATTTCATGAGTACTTGCCAAATAACATTCCTAAACAATGAACTCTAGTGAATCCAAATCCATAACCAATTTGTGGGAACAAAAGACTTTTAGAATTTAAACACTGTCATAATATAAAAAAAACGCAGCCATGACATCTTCAGGTTACCATCAAATCTCAAAATTTTGTTGTGCATCTAGGTATTGAATGATTTGGATGCTGAGCTTCTCTTTATTCCAAAAGGGTTTGTAAAGTTTTGATGATAGTATTTGATCATGGCTTCTTGAAACTTATGATTGGTGACTCTAATCTTACCAAACATGCACTCAATGATTCCTGTCAGTGAATTTTCGTTGAACTGTTTATGATATGGCAGAGTTTTCTTTATTTGTTCTGGTAGAATGTTATTGGAGTTACGTGTTTTCTACTGTTGAAATGCTTTACCAGTTGACCATTTGTCAGCATACCTTCATGTGCTCATCTGACTCTTTATTGTTATTTTTTAAATATTAAATATTAAATATGTATTTATATTTCTTTGTCTCATTTCTGCCTTTTGCAGCACGAAACAACTACCATACCAGGCATCTTGCAAAAATTTTGATCCACATGGCATGGTGTTTGCAAGAATCTATTTCAACTTCTTCTGGTGCACCTTCTCTTGTTTATGTGAAAGCTGTTAATGCAGTGTACATTTCATCTGTCTTTTTAAAGTACTTCATTGAAAATGAAAAGGGAGACAAGATTGAAGACTTGTATTTGTCCCTAGATGAAAGTGAGCCAATCCCAACAGATATTACAAAAGGTAATTCACTTATATGATATATTTCATTGGCAAATGATATCAATCCTGGAGTGAGCTCTCTCAAAACCCTTTTATTATTTTCTTATGATATCTTCAGCTAATCTAAATTTTGAATTTAAATTGTATCATATTTTTTATTCAATATGCCACAAGATTTGGTAAGGCAGAAGGATTGTATTACTTTCTTTCCTGGTTGGGTGATAACTACAGTTTTATGAATCAAACAAAAACCCACACAATGGTTGTTAGTATTTTAGAAATCTTATGATTTAGTTCGCTGGTCTTGGGGGCTGATGGGGATGCCCTAAAGGGCCAAACAGAATTATTATGTAATAAGTACAGCTAGATCTTCACTTCATTTGACTTTTAAATAAGAGCTATTTGCCCACAACATAAATTTATAGCTGTTGTTCTTCATCAATTTTGCAGATCTAAACGTTGAGGATTTTGTTATGCGTAGTGTGCTTAGCTTTATTGGGTCAATAGATGTAAGGTACATCCTCAAATACCCACTTGTTCCTTATCATTGAGATAATGTCCACTGTGTTCCTGATTGTATATCTTTTTTGTCACTAGTCCTGATACATACCTCCTTCATTTGGAGCTGCTTAACTTCATGCTGATTGCAATGTCAACTCAGCTGCTTTCTGGGCCATCTCCAGGACCAGAAGATGTGAACCCATTCATCGATGCAGCAATGTCTCAGGTTACTGGACGAAACTTTTGCTTTATTTTTCAGTCCAAATTTCCAGTTGATTCAATTTTTCTGTGTCTGACACCACTTCTGCAATCCACAGGAAAGTTCTTTGGTTATCTTGGTTGTGCGTAAACTGCTACTCAGTTACATTACGGGACCTTCAATATCCTTGAATAGTGCATCTTATTCTATATATTCTGAAGGAAGTCAGCCTGGTGTTTTACAAAGAGTTAGTTCCGCAGCTGGTATGGTGGTTTCCTTGATGCACTATTGCAACTTAAATTGTTTACCAGTCTAAGATTTTATATCGGTTGGGAAATATTAAAACTTAAAACTTTTGACCAAGTAGCTGTTGACATCAATTATTTGAATTGCAGCAAATCTCATGTTATTGCCATTCAACTTTCTGGCCAGTTCAAGTAGTGAAGGCTCAAGAAGTCTGTTAGCAGACTGCAGTCTCCATGTGTTACTTATTCTCAGTCATTATCGTAAATGTGTTGTGGGCAATGAACCAATTACAGATATAAGTAATGACACCACCGCTTCAGAATCCTTTTTAAAAGGGAGTACGCATTTTTCTGATAACCCTTACTGCAAGGCCTTAGAACATGCAACGGATGTTGAATGTAAGATGCTTTCTTGTTTGTATCTCTACCTAATCTTATTATGGAAGTATATTCACATAACTTGAGTGGATATTTTCCCTGCTCGCAGTTGATCGTGTAGATACTGAGGGTAATGCACATGCTGGTCCAGTTTTGAGGATACCTTTTGCTTCTCTGTTTGATGCCCTTGGAATGTGAGTGTTGGTTTTCCTTTTATTCTTGTATTTTTAAATCAGATGTACTATTTTATCATATTATAGGCTAATTCTTTGTATGCATCATAGTCCATCTATGGTTGAATGGGATGTAGGCCTACTGAAATAGGGTTTACTTCTTGTTTGTAATTTGTATATAGAAGATTAGATGATAAACAATTACGTGTCATACAACAGAAAAATCTAATTAGGATAAATATTTTATCTTTGTGGTGTGGGAGAGGGATACGGAGTTTTTTTTTGTGGTGTGTGTATTTTTTTTCCACAATAAAATGGAATTTTTTTGGGTGGTAATTTGTATATAATTGACTAATTAGTTCCACGTTGGTATTGATGTGTATAACTTCCATATCTTCAATTCTTACGTTGTGTTGTTTTTATCAGTGTTTTATAAGCTATGTACAAGAATTTATCAGTAGGTCGTTAAAAGGTGCAAGTTTCGAATGCCTTTACGGTTTATTGTGATTTTCATGGGTGTGATACTTTATCCTTCTTCAACCTCTGATCCTTAATTCAACAGAAGACAAAACAAAATCTATGATCCCTAATTCACAACGAAAGCATGGATATCCTTGTTTCTCTAAACTTTGCTCACTCTTTCAATTTTTGTTCCTCCCTTTTGTTTTTGAGTATCTCATAACCGTTTCTGCTTTGTCAGGTACTTGGCTGATGAGGCTGCTGCTCTTTTGCTTTACTCTTTGTTGCAAGGGAATGCTGACTTTCTGGAGTATGTCTTGGTGCGAACTGATTTGGATACATTGGTATGGACCAGCAGCTTATCTTGTTATTGAAAAAAGAGAAAAGGAAAAAGCTATATTTTTCATGGCAAAAGATTCATTAAGATACATATTGTTTTCCTGGCATGTTGGTTAATGGTCATTTACCAATTTTTTGTTTCATGTTATTTTGGATGAGAGTCGTTTCTGTTTGTAATTACTGTCATCATTAAGTTTGCTTCTACATTGATATGAAAACATGATGCTCATCTGTTTTATGAAATGGACAGTTGATGCCTATTCTGGAAGCATTATACAATGCTCCAAAGAGGTCCTCTAATCAAATCTACATGTTGCTGATTATTCTCCTCATACTTAGTCAGGATTCTTCTTTTAATGCCAGCATTCACAAATTGGTAAGGATTTCCTCCGGTAGCCAACACAAGATTTGTATACATTAGGCTCCTATTGATGTATTTATCATATGACAGATAGTTCCTAGTGTTCCCTGGTATAAAGAACGTCTCCTCCATCAGACATCTCTTGGTTCCTTAATGGTCATTACTCTGATAAGGACAGTGCAGTATAACCTATCTAAGTTGCGGGTATCCTTCTGTCCCTTTTGACTTTGAACTTTCTTGTATTTTCTTTATGAGTGTTGTCATATTGCTTGTATAAGTTGATATTTATGTCAACTGCATCTAAGACCTTGAGATTAAGCTTTCACCACTTAACATATTTTCCCTCTTCTTATTTTTAGATTTTGTGAACTTTCCTAATTATCATGTCTGGTTTGTTGAATTGTAATAGGATGTTTATCTCCATACAACTTGTCTAGCAACTTTGGCGAACATGGCACCTCATGTCCACCGTTTGAGTGCATATGCATCCCAGAGATTGGTCAGCCTTTTCGATATGCTCTCTCGAAAGTATGCCCTTTTAAATTTTATGGTGTTCTCATGAGCTTTACATTTCTATTTGCTCTGTAATTTATAATCTTATTCTGGCTTTCATACACTTCTGGCTCGAGTTCATTAAAATTTTGCTCTTGGTGTAATATTTGATTCAGGTATAACAAACTAGCAGAGATGCGAGATAATCAGATGCGATTAGTCAAAGGCAACTCAATAGAAGGAAATGGTCTTGCAGATGATACAGTAATGAAACCATACCTTTATATATTATGGAGCTTAGAAGTGTTCTGTTAGATGAATGTCACCCTTTCTCACTCTCTTGTCCACTAAGCTGGAATTTTTTTTCCATTGCAGTCAACAGAGATGCATATATATACTGACTTCTTGAGACTTGTCCTTGAAATATTAAATGCAATTTTGACTTATGCCCTGCCACGGAATCCTGAGGTATTATCATATGCATTAGAAGAGGTCCATGTTTGATAGAACAAATTTGTTTACTTTATGCTATTACCATACAATGTTTTCTGTTTTCCTTACTGTATGCAATGGGCAGGTTATATATGCAATAATGCACCGGCAGGAGGTCTTTCAGCCTTTCAGGAATCATCCACGCTTCAATGAGTTGCTTGAAAACATTTATACTGTACGTTCAGGACTGGGATTTTGTTTATTTGTTTATTTCTGGTTTTCATTACGGAACTTATAACTTATCCTGTTTTTATATCAATCGGCACCTGTTTTTATAATTCAGTGCATTTGAATTATATTGTTTGTTTGGCTTTGTAGGTATTAGATTTTTTCAATAGTCGCATGGATGCCCACAATGTGGATGGTGAATGGTCGGTAGAGAAAGTACTTCAAGTCATAATCATTAATTGCAGATCATGGCGGGGTGAAGGGATGAAGGTAAAAAGGAATTTACATTGTAGGTTGGCCTAAATGCAAGGCTGTTACCTGAAGATTCTTGTTCACAATATCTTGAAAATCTTGTTTTCTCAGATGTTCACACAGTTGCGGTTCACATATGAACAAGAGAGTCATCCAGAGGAGTTCTTTATTCCATACCTTTGGCAGCTAGTTCTATCCCGCTGGTAATCTATCTTCTCTCTTTTTTAGAATAGAGAGACGAAATCAATAAAAAGAAACAATGTTCTCATTTTAATGCATTTGTAGAAAGGGGTTGAATACAGGACCTATTAGGTCTTTTCTTTTGGGTCATCAGTTTATGTTAGTTTAACCAATATCTGCTTTCGTTCACGTTTCTCTTTTCAGTGGACTCGGTTTCAATCCTGACGCCATAAATTTGTTTCCAGTTGATCCTCCTTCCGAAGTATGTACCTAAAATCATACCTTGCATGTGTTATATAGAGTTCTTCTAAAGGGGATCACATAGTATGGGGAAATTCTTAACATTGAGTTTGATTTTCATTATAGTGACAATTACTGACTTATTTTTTTCTGCAGAAACAGAGTGATTATGAAGTATCGTCCAACGGTCATGTAAACGGAGAGTCGACCAAGCATGCAGTGTTTGTTGAGCCATAGATGTGATATAGACTGATGGCACAAGATATGCTGAGGTTTCTTGGTGGATATGTAAATACGTGAAATAGTAGAAAATGTATTCTTCTCATTCTTTTCTGTTTATATGTTGCCATAATAGAGGCCTTTTTACCAAGATGTAATCTAAAATCCCCGCTGTAATGACTAATGAATAAGAGAAGATGCTCATTTCCATCTTCCATCTCCATAAAATTTTCAGCTCGTCTCTTGTTAATGCGACTGGGGGCATTTTGCACAATTATGATTTCATGGATAATTGGGCTTTTAAGAGGAGCTGCTTTTCCATTACTCTTCAAGTGAGTAAATTGTTACTCCTTTTTTTTCTTTTTTCTTTTTTAAATAATACAAACGATATTATAAACTACAAGGGGAGGGATTTCTCTCACACTACCAAAATATCATGAGGTTCGAATTTAAGACCATTGGTATGTAAATTAAGAGCTTTGTTCATCTCGTTGGCAGTAACTTGTTACCTTTAATCTGTCCTAATTTGACCCTATCTTTCCGAACTTGTGAAGGAATTATAATCTTGGGTTACATTTTTAACAAAGGCGTTGTTCACACGATTGACGATTCTAGTTTTCATAGTGACTTTTGTTAACGTCAATCGCTCATTTGCGTAGGGGATAGGCGATCTCTCAACCATAACCACCGATCGAACGTGCGTGCCACATTGATCAACGGTGGGCATAATAAGTTATTGACCTCTTTCAAGCAGAGGCACCGTGCACGTTTTCATTTGCTGCAATCTTTCGTAGGCTTTGATGAGACATATATCTGCCACAATTAATTTCCAAAAAGTAGTGTCGCCATTAGGGTATTTGATCCTCATGTTTAACGGTATATTAAAAGTTGGTTTGGAGTGCCTTTGGAAGAACTCCAAATGCGATTTTAGACAATTGAAAACGCTTCTGATTGCGTTTAGTAAAAATAAAAAGCACTTTCAAATGCTTTTCCATCAAACATCTCTAATTGCTTTTTCAGCAAGCACTTGAATTTTAACAAAAATTCAACATCCGAGCACCAACGGAAGTTATGATTATTTTGGACTCTGAATAATGAAAATGTGGCATTGTTATATAAATTTTGTAAACTCAAAATACATTAAGCTAGCAACTCAAAAACCTACACAAGGGTCCCTCCTTTCACATACTCAGTGAAGGCCAAAGCTACCAAACCTAACATGGCCAGCCTTCCATTCCAAAGCTCAGCATCGGAGGTCATGATCCCATCTGATTTGGACTCCACGCTCACCCCTCTAAAAAGAGGTATCAAAGATGCCACTGACAGCAAAATACTGGTGCCAAGGAACAACGAGACTCCACCGTCGGATATCTGAGCAAACAGATCCTGACCCTTGGCTAGCTCCACTGCCAGAGCTGAAACAAACCCCACCATTGCAAGCCTACCGTTGATCCTCTCTGGGGCTGGCCCACTGAACGCAAAAACGTCAGAAAACTTAGTGCTAATCTTAGGACTACGTTTAGGAGGAGGAGTAGGTGTAGGAGGTGGTGGAGGAATTTTAGATGCCTCTGGCGCTGTAGATGGTTGCTCTTCCTGACCATTCTGCAAATTAAACATTAATTAAACATGGTTAATTAGGATAGCTAATTTAAGAACGCACAAAACCTAAATGATCAAGCTAATGGCAGTGTGTCAGTCCTTTCGATCGCCTCTCCGTACATCAGAATAGTTTAGAATATCGTTTTGGAAAAGAAAAACAGAAACAAAAGAAGATTAATTAATTACCTCGGCCATAGATCGCACCCTCATGTTAGGGTACCTATGTAGAGTTGGAGCATACTTAGCAGGAAGAAGGCGATTCACCCTCAGAGATTTGCTCTTTCCAGCTCCATAAGCCACTGAGTTAGCTAGAAGTGATTGCATGGAAGCTGAGGCAGCCATTGTCTGTATTGTGTAATATTTCTTAAGCTCAAGAAGGGATATCAAGAAGGCAGAAAATGCTTTGAAGATGCTTTTGGTTTTTGATCTTAGTTTGCCAAAGAGTTAGGGTTTTATAGTGCAATGGCCCAAAGAGTGGGAAGCACGTGGACGGTGGATATTTTGGCACCACGTCGCTCATTTTTGCTTTCTCAGTGGTACTCTGCCACGTGGGTTGTCTTGTCCACACATGGTGTGTTTGAGAGACGTGGCTGCGGCACACACCACAACGTAGGAGTCAGTGATTTCTGAGGCCACATCTTCACTTCTTTTTTCTTTTGAGCGAAAGAGAGAGACAGATGCCTCACGGGTCCACGAGTGCCTTTGAAATTGAGGTTTTTTCAGATACAATTGCACTTGGACTAGAGGACGAATATCTTTTGCTTCATTTTCGTCAGAAAGAAAGGAGGAAAAAAATAAAACTAGACGATTACTTACTTGCTCGCTCTCTCACAGTCAGTTGCATAATTGCATTTGTTTGATAGCTTAGGCTTATAGCTAGGAGATGCGATCTTGAGCTTTGTTGGCCTTCATGTACGGTTGTCTTGTCCATACATGGGGGTATGAAGACGTGGCTCCCCAAACACACCACAATTTTCCAGTTAGTGAATTCTGAGGTCCCATATTTCTTGAACGTTTTCACTCTTTTTATTTTTTTTCCTTCTAATATATTTTCAGCGTACTGTAGCTAGGCACAATTGCATACATAATAAATTGGGTTAGCTGCAATTCATTATTTCACTGTATTCTGCTGTATGAGTTGACACTATCTCTGTTGTGGATGCTAATTTATGGCCCACTAAATGCAGTTGCGGATGTATCCTTAAATTGCGAGGTAGTAATTTAAAATTCAAATACTTATCAACCAACAAAGAATCTGAGTGCCCGATATTTGAGCTTGTTTGGTTCGCAGATTGTACTTTGTGGGAATAAACTTCTCATGTTTAATTCCATGAGAGAGGAATTGAGGATGTTCATTCCCATGTCTGAGAACGTTAGGAAATGACATTTTCTCTCATTACCTTGTTTGGTTAGTGCACTATTAGAATTGATGAAAAGTTATTTATTATTAAGTTATTAATATGAAGAGTTTTTGAAGGGTCAAAAGTGGTATTTGAAAATAATATCATGGGTAAGTTGGTCCAAAAAAACTGCATTAAATGTTTTCCAAGTGATGAGGGAAAAAAAAGTTTCCCGAGGTGAACCAAAGGTATGAAATTCCCTCATACATGGAAAGTCCATAGCCATGAGTCCATAATTGCATTCCCAAGAGTGCACTTACTAAACATGGGCATTCAATTTGAAACTCATTCCCAAGCTCCTAAACCTTGAACCAAACGGGCTTAGAGCATCACAATGGTAGTGTGTAAAGGTGGATGTATGCTAAATTTACACATATGCCCACCAAAATTTGCTGCAGTGGGAGAATGTAAAGTCTTGTATATTTACATTGGCCACCGGAGATGCATAAAAAGATACTAATTTACATCATTTTTTACACCCATGTTGCGAATATACATCTTTGGATTTACATATTCTTCAGAGCATCTCCATTGCAAGGGTGTAAAGGGAGATGTAAAAGACATTTACACCCAGAGTTGCTGGAAGTTGCTCCAATGGTGGGGTGTAAATGAAGGCAAATATAGCATTTGGCCCAAAAATGTATAAATATATATATAATTAAAAAAAAGGACATTTATAGCATCACCAGTGGGATGAGAGGAGAAGGGGGGGAGGGGGGGGTGGTGTATATGCATTTTTTACTCCAATAAGAAAGATGAAAATTTTTACTCAAGTAGGGAAGATGCAAATCCAAAGACACATTTCAAGGATCAAGCTATCGGTTGGGTTTGTATAGAATGAATCCTGGTCGTCCACCTTGAAAGGAGAAATCATAGCCACTAGATTTTGTAGGTGTTGGAATTTGTTTACAAATTGAATCAAATATAGGCCCACCACAAGACTTCGTGTAGCGAGCATTCTGTAGCTGTGTGTGCTGGGCGAGTTGGAAGTCTGATTCAGCTTTAATCCTCTATCCTCCTTTCTAAGTGGTGAGGCCCATTCCAAAGGCGTAAAAACAGATGTAAACATAGAACTTTTTTTGCATCTCCGGCATCAAATGCAATTTTACAACCTTTTACATACTCTTACTATAGGAGTTTCCAGGTAAGAAATATGTATATTTAGCATACATTTGGATTTACATGTGGCTATTGGTGATGCTCTTACATATGATTTTACATTCTCATTTGATGGGCCCCACATGTTGAAAAGAAGGAGAGATAATGCAAAAGTGGTGGGCTCAAAGCATATAAAAGGTGAAATCACTACCAAAATACCAGAAATATCCTTTTGTTTCAACTTGATATAAAATCATTTCCTTTCATTTCCTTTTTACATCTCTAATTTACATCTATTCTATTAGAGGAAAAACAACATTTAAATATTCCATAGGTGAAAAGGAGATGTAAATGTGGTTTTACACCTCCAATTTACACATATTGCAATGGAGATGCTCTTATTGGAGCAAAAATCACATTTACATCCCATAGAAGTGTAAAGTGAATGTAAAAGTAGCTTTACACACCCAAATTTGCACACCATCATTATAGATACTCTTATAGGTATGGAATTCAAAGAGTCCCATAAACTACCAAACCTTGCATAGCTTCCTAGCAGTCACAATCCACACTACTTTGCCCTTCTTTGTTGTGCCTTAGTTTCTCAGAGGACTTTTAGAAAATATTTCCCCTCATAGCATATCTTACTCCACTTGTTCCAATACCTATCAACGCCCCTCAACTTGTTTAAGAAATTATTGATGTGAGTGGTTCTTGGAACTTAGACTCAGTGGCAAGCTATCTGAGTTGGGAAACAAAAAGACGAATCATTTCAATACCTGTAGGGGCCTCAAGGCACCAAGATATAGTTGTTTGGCCCTGGACTTCTAATGGATTGCATTCGGTGAGATCAGGATATCGCATTCTTCATTCAACACATAGAGCTTTAGCTATGGGGAATTCACATTTGTCCCATATTATACCCATCCAGGTTTGGAAAGCAATCTGACAGATTAGCACTCTGCCAAAAATCCAGTTGTTCATGTGGAGAATTGTCTCGAATACGGTTCCAACTAGAATGAATTTATTTTGAAAAAATATATGTGGCTCTCCTATCTGCTCTTTGTGTGATCAGTTTGAAGAAACGATAGAACACTTGTTTTTTCTTTGCCCCTGGACTCAGGCAGTATGGTTTGGGTCCTCTTTGTCATTGCGAATTGATCAACAACGTTTGAGAACTTTTGATGTGTGGTTTAATGAAATTTTGAGTATCCGATTGGAGTCTAAGCAAGACAAATTGGATATGCTTACCCTTTTAAGTTTTTTCCTTTGGGAGATTTGTAAAACCAGGTGCAAGGCTGTCATTGAAGGGAGCACCATTGACCCGGCCAAGGTTATTGAGAATGCGCTAAGTGCTCAAATGGAGTTTATTGAAATCAGAAAGGTTCCTAGTGATGAAGTGGCTGTGAACAACATTTTGAATGTCCATCCTGCTTCCTGGAACGCACCTTCAGGTGATTTTGTGAAAATAAATGTGGATGGAGGATGGATTGGTGGCACTCTGAAAGGTGGCATTGGTGTTGTTATTAGAAATATTGATGGTCAATTTGTTGGGGGTTTAGCTAGTCCTATTTGCTATGATTCAGCACTAGCTGCGAAAGCTCATTCAGCAATTAAAAGGCTTGCTTTGTTAGCTAACCTTGGCTTTAGAGGTGTCATTGTGGAAACTGACTCAAAATTGCTTATCAATGGGATAAATGGTGACTTTTAGAAACAAAGTGTGGTCCATTATGCCCCTTCTTGAGGAGCTTCATAGAATCTGTGGGTCTATGCATGAGGTTCGATGGAGCTAGGTGCATAGAGATTTAAAGCAGGCGGCTCATGAAGCATCCATGATTGAAGTTAGAGCTATGGAGCTGGAAAGTTGGGTCGCACGACCACCATTGTCTCTGGTGCAAGTTCTGGTCTCGGATGGACTCCCATGTCCTCCTTAAGTTTATTTTTTTTTGGGTTGAAAGTTTTTCTTTGCTGGGTTGTATGGATTCAGTTGAAAGGCTTTTAGTTTTGCTTTCTTTCCTTTATTGTAAGCTTTTTTGCCGATTTTTCGGCCTTGGAATGAAGTTTTAGACCAAAAAAAAAAAAAAAAAAAAAAAAAAAAAAAAACCTACCTCAAGGTGAAAGATGTAGCAAAAGGACAAGTAAGGACAATAGCCTTCACTCGTCCTCAATTGAAATATGTTGAAGATTGAATGCGTATTTTATCATCAAACATTTCATAAATAAGAGAAATTAAGATGAAAATTGTTTCTGTTATGATCAAGGAAATCACCAATGTTCTACTTAATGGGTGTTTGCATTCCCAGTATAATGGCATTATTTTGGAGAAGCTGTCTATATGTTTAAGATGAGAAACTTCTTCCTTGTAAATTCCTTCAATCTGATTATGAGTTTGAGTAAAAAGTCATATTTAGTGATGTGCACTTGTATTGCAATGGGGGCCTCCTATCCATCTAACTTGATTTGAGGAAAGTTTTTGGTAAATCTAAAATTTGGGATGACTTCGGGAAACCCCATAGGGAAGAGTACTTCAACGGTATAGGTCAAATCCTTCCCAAATCTTTTTGAATGTTTCCAACTTATCCCAAAAGCATTCTCTCCAAAGCTTTTATACTTCAAAACTTTGGAAAATTTTGTACACGATATGCCCCGGAGAGGTGACATATCTTTATGCTAATAAATTTAAAGTACATTAGATTCAGAAGTATCAAAATGTGATGAATTTCTTATAAACTTTTGTAAGCACTAAATAAGTATACATGTGGAAGACTTTTACAGGGCCGGAAATGATTGTGACCTAAACTAGAGTCCCTCCCGTCACATATTCAGTGAGGGCCAAAGCTACCAGACCTAACATGGCTAACCTTCCATTCAACAACTCAGCATCGGACGTCATTATCCCATCTGATTTTGACTCCACGCTCACGCCTTTAAACAAAGGAATCAAAGATGCCACTGACAGCAAAATACTAGTGCCAACGAACAACGAGACTCCACCGTCGGATATCTGGGCAAACACATCCTGTCCCTTGAATAGCTCCACTGCGAGGGCTGAAACAAACCCCACCATTGCAAGCCTGCCGTTGATTCTTTCCGGGGCTGGCCCACTGAATGCAAGCAAGTCCGAAAATTTTGTGCTAACCTGCCATAAATAAAGAAAATATGTGTCACTTCTTGAATGCCATTTTCCACGGTTAAAATAATAGTTTTTTTTTCTTCTTTTGTTAACGGGTTAATTAATTTACAGTCAAACGACATAACATATGAGACAATTTAACGATATAATAATTCTCGAACTGCATATGTTAGACAACTACCTTTGAAGGAAAAGGTGTATTAGATGGTGGTGGATTTTTTGATGCATTTGTTACTGTAGATGGTTGCTCCTTCTTATCATCCTAAAAATGAGAGATAAATCAGACATAGTTTAATTAGTATCATTAATTTATAACTTATAAGCAAGCACTATAGCTGAAGATGCAAATAAATCAAAAGATAAACACATAATTAGTATAATGTTAGACAAAGCTAGAGAGACTTGTTATAATTAATTACTGAAAATGGACCAACTGATTTGTTATTTCTGGCTCCATAAGCCACCAAGTTATTAGCTAGGAATATTGATTGCATGGAAGATGATGCTGCCATTGTATTTGTATCTGTATTTCTTAAACACTAAAAATGGACCAACTTAGGAAATTGATGCTGCAGCAAAGGTTTGAGTAGAAGCTATTTGGAGATGTTTGTGCTTGAGATCTTGATATCAAAGTTGTATCCCTTGACTGCCTTTTTATAGTGTAATGGCCCTAGCGCGGGGAAGCTCTTGAGCGGTGTACAATTTGGCACCACGTCACTATTATTTGCTCTATGAGTGCCAGGAGGACTAATAATGTTGAGAGAATCAGTAGACTCTAAGGAATATACAACTCGTTACATGGAAGTATCTTTCGATCTAAAAGAGAGACGTGGTTGTATTTTGAGGTCACATTTAATTTGGTCAAGGTGTTGAACACTTTTTTTGATCTTTTGGGTAGGAGGAGCGATGTTTCACGGGGCCACGAGTGCTTTGAAGCCTTCAGCTAGAGAACAATTGCACTACACCACGGATCATTTGCTTCATTTTCGTCAGAAAGGAATTTTTTTTTGTCGACAAAGTAAAAAGAAAATATTATTTTGTTGTCGTCGACCTTGCATAGCTGGCTAGGAGGAGAGCTTTGTGGGTATTTATCCTCGTCTTTGTCCATGGTAATGATGAGGGACGTGTGGCTCCCCACACACACCACAACGTACCAGTCAGTGACTCAGTTCTTTTATCGTTTCAGTGTGTAGCTAGGCACAGTTGCATTACATAACACAGAAGGAATCTTAGCCGCATTACTATTCTATTGAATGTGTATTTTAACAAATATAATAATTTTTTGAAACATCAAGCGTACGCATTTGATAAATAAGCAGAAAGTGAAATGATATATATATTTTCTTTCGGTAAACACAAGAAGAACTTTGTATATTTCTGGTAAGGAAAATGCTAAGGTTGGTGGCATTTGGGTGCATGACCAATTTCTACAATAACTTACCCACTTACATATTGGCGGGTATTCGTAGGATTTTTTTTTTCTAGACCATTTCCAATTCAAAAGGTAACATACTCAAATTTTGCATTTTCAAAACGAAACTATTCGTTTATACACAATGTCTCTGTTCATCCTAAATTGGGATCAATTCTATATTGTACGAATTTAGTTTCTGGCGTGCCACTATTGGTATTAGAAAGCCCAATAGAAATAGTGTGATTTAGACCGGAAATAATGTGGATGTCTTGCGAGACTTAAGAAATCTTAATTTCTCTTCAAGCTATTGTGCTACAAGTGGGGAATTAGCTTCGATTCTTTTCTATGTCTAGTTTGTTAAGGACTTCAATATTTCCAGTTATGCGATTATAAACTCAAAGAAAACAAAGTGTTAATGTGGAAATCAGACGAAACTAACTGCTTTAAATACTTATGAAACTATGTCTAAAAGACATTACAAACTAAAAAGAAACAAAACAAGTTCGATCGGACTGAAATACAACTAAATGAAAAGGATTCGGACTGAAAAAACTTCAATTTGGATTGCCTGAAATGAAATACAATGAAACTAAACAATCATAGTTAGGGCTTATTTTCAACAAGAAATCATACCAACCAAGGAATAAGGCAGAGCAAATAAACAAGAGATTTCTCAAAAGTTGTCAATTGGAAATTAAAGAGTGAAACAAAAGTAGAACAAGGAATTTTTCAGCGAGTAGGCTAGCTAAAGTTATTAGCTTAAAATCTAATGCTTTTTTTTTGTACTTATAGTTTCTATAATTTCTCTGGAAATAAAAGTATACATTAAATCATATAAACCATGCTAGTTAATTGTAACGGGTGATATGATGATCGTTAAAGTCATGAGTGTTTATTAAGGGATTATGTTTCTTAACAGAGCAAACAAATTAAATATATATCAAATGATTATAGGCTTACAAAGTTGAGTGAATAATGGGTTACTAGGCTACATTTGGATGAACTACTAAACTTTTATAGAGTAAATGATATTAAAATACATATAGTATATTTTGATTTTTTTAAGGCTACATGTCCTTGAGCCCACGATACCTTGTTGCTAGTTCTGCCAATGGAGTGAAAGCAAGAAGGTTGTTGAGAAACTTGAGACCAAGTTGATCAAGTTTGAAATCTGTTTGAGAGATTGAGTGTGTCTCCTTCAACCTCAATTTTTTGATAATATAGTGACACTTGATTTTAGACATAAACTCTGAAGAGCATTTAATGCTTCGCTTAATCTTTATCTTTGCAAGCTAAACCCACGTGAAGAGATGGAGGCAAGATACTTTCTGATAATTTGGACCCACTCCCACGTGGCCACCGTTTGGATTTCTATTGGATATTTAAGGGTCTGTTTGGTATCCAACTTGGATCCAACTTTTTAAACTCAAAAACAGAATTTGAGTCTAAAACAAAGAAAACCTATTTGGTAGTCCTATTTTCAAAAACTCAAACTCAAGAACAATTAAAAAACACTCCAATGATTAAAAACAAAAAAAAATATGTTTTTTTCAGTTTTTTTTTTTAACAACCCACAAGTTCTCAAATTTTTAAGATTTGAAAACAGTTTTCAAGTTGCATTCCAAACAAGTTTTTGAATCTTAAAAATAGATTTAAGAACTCCTTATTTTTAAAATTAAAAAAATCAAAGTTTTTGAGTTCTCTATTTCAATAGAATACCAAACGCCCCCTAAATCTGCACTGCCCAATCCTTTCCTTTTGAAAACAAAGCTCCGAGCTTAATTTTGTCCTTTATCTTCTTTTATATGGCATGTTTATTTACCAGCAATATATATAAGGAGAAATGGAATAGGATAAAAAGAATATGAATCAGATCAATTAGGAGAGGATAGTTGATTCGATTCTTATTCTTGGAGATATCTGATTAAGTATTTTTCTATAGAACCCGCGTATTAAATAATTCTTTATATGTAAATAAACACATGGAAATACATGAATGTAAAGTTTATTATCAGTGACTATTGTTTTGTTGTTGGAATAATCAGTAACCATTGTAAACATATCTTTGTGCTGATAAATTAAGAGTATATTAGATTCTGAAGTATCAAAATGTGATGAAATTCTTATAAGCATTTGTAAACACTAAAATACGCATACATGTGAAAGACTTTTACAAGTATTAAGCCCCAAAAAAAAAAAAAAAAAAAAAAAAAAAAAAAAAAAAAAAAAATGAGACCTAGACTAGAGTCCCTCCCTTCACATACTCAGTGAAGACCAAAGCTACCAGACCTAACATGGCCAGCCTTCCATTCAACATCTCAGCATCTGACGTCATGATCCCATCTGATTTGGACTCCACGCTCACCCCTTTAAACAGAGGAACCAAGGATGCCACAGAGAGCAAAATACTAGTGGCAACGAACAACGAGACTCCACCGTTGGATAGCTGAGCAAACACATCTTGGCCATTGTATAGTTCCACTGCCAGAGCTGAGACAAACCCTACCATCGCAAGCCTGCCGTTGATTCTCTCTGGGGCTGGCCCACTGAAGGCAAACAACTCCGACAACTTTGTGCTAACCTGCCATATATATTGAACTTCGTTAGTGTAGTTAAATTATATATTGTGAATATACACACATGTAGATTAGAAAAACTACCTTGGGAGGAGGAGAAGAAGGAGAAGGTGGAGGAAATTTTGATGCATTTGTTACTGTGGATGGTTGCTTCTTCTGACCATCCTACAAATGGGAGATGAATTAGACAAAGTTGAATTAATATCATTAATACACATGCATTATAGCTAGAGACTTATGAATATATATACCTGGGCCATCGAGCTTACCCTCATGTGAGGGTAGCTATGCAGAGTTGGTGCAACGAGGTGGCTCACTCCAACAGATTTGTTCTTTCCCGCTCCATAAGCAACGGAGCTAGCAAGAAATATTGATTGCATGGAAGATGATGATGCAGCCATTGTATTTGTGTATATGCTTCTCAATTAAACACTAACAAATCAGAGAGAATAGATTTGAAGGCTTTGCTTGTTTGTTGATCTTGTGTATTATAAATTTGTATGCCTTGAGAGGCTTTTTATAGTAGTGTAATCGCCCTAGTTGAGGGAAGCTCTTGAGCAGTGTGTAGCTGTGCCACGTGGATTTTTTTGTCCGCAAATGACGGATTGGAAAATAGTTTAGTAATAGTCTTGTCGGTCGGTCTGTCTGTCTCCTCTTCTTCCACAACTCATTACGTTATGAGATGAGTCGATCGACATACTTAAGGAAATAGACACCATTACATGTAAATTTTTCTTTATACAGGACGTGGCTGCGGCACTTACCGCAATGTTATTAGACGGTGGTCACATTAATTTGTGGCTCTCTCACTGTCACATGCATTTGTTAGACTTGGAGCTTGGACATTTTTTGTTGTCTTGTCCACAGGGACGGACCTAGGAATTTGATGTCGTAGGGTCATAGTGTAAAAGTTCAATTTTTTTTTTAAAGATTAATATAACATTGAAAATGAAACTACAATACATTCATTCATAATTCATGTAAAAAACAACATTATAAATTACAATTGGCCACGACGAGGTTTCATATTTTGAAAACGAAGCATTATAGCTTCATTTTCAATACAATCAAAAACATCCTTCTCAACATAAACAAGTAAGCTATCACTCAACCATTGATCTCCCATTTTGTTCCGAAGTGGACCTTTGATAATATTCATGACGGAAAATGCCCTCTCAACTGAAGCAGTAGCAACCGGTAAAACTAGAGCCAATGTAATAAGCAAATACACATAATTGAATGCTCGATGCATCCTTGTCTCCACCATTTTTTTTGCAAGATCACCAATCCCTTGCAAGTCAAAGAAATCACTACTTGAACACACATAGTGAATATAAAGTTCAAGTTGATCTTCAAGTGCCAAAAGATCCCCATCCGAAAAGTCTTGAGGATAAAATTGAGCAAGACGAAGTAGCTTTTGTTTATCAAAAGCTACAAATGAATCATTCGGACTCAAACATGCCAAACAAATAAGCAACTCAGTATTTACCTCATTAAAACGATCATCTAACTCCGTAAGTTGCTCATCAATGACATAAATAAAGAGCTCCACACGATAATGATGACGATTTGTCTTTATTGGAGCATTACGCCTTGACCTCCCTGGAAGTACGAAGGCATCATCCATGTTAGGAACATCAATATGATGTTTGTCACAAAATGAAGACACCTCTTCAACCAATGCATCAAACCCATTATTCCTCATCCAATGTAGCCTTTCCTTGCATGATTTCACCAAAGCCATTGCATTCACAATTTCTTGATCTTTCTTTTGCAATGCTTGTGACACATCATTTGTGAGTCCCAATATAGCTTTCATTAAGAATAGGTGAAACACAAACTGAAAAGTAAGCATTTCCCTTTGAATCTTATTTGCTTCACCGGCACTATCATTGGGATTATCATCAATAATCATTTGAAGCACATGAATCACAGATGAAAACATAGAAATGATGCTAATAATGGTACCGTAATGTGAGCTCCATCGTGTGTCACCGGCACGTTTGAGACTTGTTTCTTGATGCAAACCTCGCCCCGTTATAAGACAATCATTTTCAAAAGCTATCACAAGCTCTTCTTGAAGTTGTGCTCTAAGTGCATCACGCCGCTTACAAGACGCTCCAACATGGTTAACCACACTATTAGTGGTTGTGAAGAAAGAGGCAATATCAATATTCTTCTTTGCTACGGCAACAAGTGCTAGTTGAAGTTGATGAGCAAAGCAATGAACATAGTATGCACAAGGTTGTTCTCTCAAAATCTTTGTTTTGAGGCCATTCAACTCACCTCTCATATTGCTAGCTCCATCATAACCTTGTCCTCGTAACTTAGAAAAGCTTAAACCATTGGAAGAAAAGAATATGTCAATGGCATCCTTTAGTGAACTTGAAGTGGTGTCGGTAACATGTTGAACCCCAACAAACCTTTCAATTACATGCCCTTTGTCGTCCACATAACGCAACACCATAGCCATTTGCTCCTTCACAGAAATATCACGTGCTTCATCCACCAATATAGAAAATAATCTATCTTTTAAACCACTCATGATAACATCAAGTGTTTCCCCGGCACATGCATTGACAATATCTTTTTGAATCTTTGGAGCTACTAACTTGAGATTCCCCGGAGCATTTTCCAACACAACTTCTTTAACTTTTTCATCATTGTCTGCAAGGAATTGCAATAGCTCCAAGTAATTTCCCCTATTGCTTGAAGTGGCACTTTCATCATTTCCACGGAAAGAAAGACCTTGTCTCAATAGAAACTTAATGCACTTGATTGAAGCAATTAAGCATCTTCGATATGCCACACGAGCTTGTTCGGAGTGTTTGCTCACAGCCGTTTCAATATGTGTATTTTGATTCATCAAGTTTGTAGCAGCTTCTCTAGCTTTATTATGAACACTACCAACCGGTCCAACATGCACCTTCATTCTTTCTCTCCCTTTCTTCCAATTCTTAAACCCTGCTCCAGTGAAGGCTTCACTACCCACTTGCTCAAAATTGGATTTAAAGAGATAGCAATAAAGACAAAATGCAGCATCTTTAGATACACTATACTCCAACCAATCAAATTCATCAAACCATTGGGGAATGAAGCGTCGATTAATTCCTGAGATATTACTTTGTGGGAAAGAATGACCTCTAGGTTGACAAGGTCCTTTCTGTAGATATGCTCTTCGAACCTCATCTCTAATATTAGTATCATACTCAATCATACGAATTCTTAGTCCCGGGTCTGCCTGAAGATTAGCCAAAACCCCATCTAACTCACTTTGTCTTGAACTTGAAGTTCTTGAATTACCCACACTATCCGAACTACCCAATGATGACTTCCTCTTAAAAAATCTTTCCATAATTCTACATAAATTAATCAAAATAATAAGTAAAATCAATTAAAGAGAACACCAAATTTATACCAATTAACCACAACAAATTCATAAATAAAACATCCAATATATCAAAACAATATAATATAATCATACATTCAATTTCAATTCAATTAAAGAGAACACCAAATTTATACCAATTAACCACAACAAATTCATAAATAAAACATCCAATATATCAAAATAATATAATATAATCATACATTCAATTTCAATTCAATTAAAGAGAACACCAAATTTATACTAATTAACCACAACAAATTCATAAATAAGACATCCAATATATCAAAACAATATAATATAATCATACATTCAATTTCAATTCAAGTTATTTAGGTTTAGAGTTAGAATTTACCTTGAATTGTGAGGTGGTGGAAGCAAAGCAAAGCTTTTGGAAGCGGCGGCGCTGCTAGAAGCGGCGGCAATGGAGGAGTTGGGGCTTAAAGGCTTGGTGGGGGAGAGGGTTAAAGGTTTGTGGGAGGTGGAGATTGGGGATTTAGGTTTGAGGGTTTAGAAAATGGGGGTTTTGAAGTTGAAAAATCGGGAGAAATGGGGAGGGCAGGTCTGTCCCAATATACAAGCTGATCTCTTTCTTTTTTAAAAGGCCTGGACCAAAACGACGTCGTTTTGGCCAGGTCTTTTAAAAAAATTTCGGTGCTGTGCAGCTGGCCCAAAACGACGCCGTTTTGGCCAGCGCAGTTTTATAAAAAAAAAATTCGCTACCAAAACGATGTCGTTTTGGTAACCGGGTTTTAAAAAAAATTTGAAGCTGGGCCTAAACGACGCCGTTTTGGCCAGCTCCTTTTGAAAAAAGAACAGACTTCTGTTCATCTTCTTCTTCCTCAATACCTCTGCAACTTCTTTTCCAGATTTTCATGGGGTCACAGAGCAATTCAAAGGAGCCTTCTACCTTACTTTCTTGGAGTCCATAGGGTCGTTTGACCCCATTGACCCCACTGTGGGTCCGTCCCTGCTTGTCCACACACTGTGGTACGTACGAGAGAAGTGGCTCCCATTCAAAGATTTATGAAGTTCCATTTGTTCAAGGTTTTCTCTTTTTCATCTTTGTACGTATTGTAGCTTGGCAATTGCACGCACAGCACAAGGAATTATTATCTGCATCTTTTGCTATTGGGACACTATATTCTGCTGTATGTGTATTTGACGCTGCATCTCTCTTTTTTGTGTGTATATTACTAATACTCACATAAATTATGGAGTATTGAATTCGTTATATTTATGATGAGGAAAATGTAAAGTTAGTCGCACGACTAATTTCTAGCTATTAATGCATGTCTGTTTTATCATGGGGCCATAGGGACAGAGCTACTATAAATGTTTAGGTTTGAAGTCACTTGTATGTTTAGGTTCAAATAAATGGATATAGGGTTAGAAATCAGTTGTAGTAGTCCTCTTATGATGATCAAGGGAATTATTAATGTTTAGGTTCAAATTTGTGGCTATTAAGCTCCATTTGGATGGAGGTATTTGATAGGATTTTTAGTACCTGCGCAAACAGGGTTAAAATCACTGAAAATACTTGCAAGAATACAAGGTAATTGTAGTATAAATGCTCATGCAAGGTCGTTGTCCCCAAAGATTGTTTGACTAATCTGTAATTAAACTAACTCTTAATTAATAACTAAAAGAGATTTTATCAAAGATTTGAAGTTTATGAATTTGTAAAGGTTAAACTAACAGTAAAAGAAATCTGAAAGTTGGGAAATAATAATAGCAAAGAAGAAAAACGATTTCTTTTTAAAGACTAACAATTTAG